GATAATTAAGTTAATATTTACGCAAATATCGCAATTCTGAGCAAGGTAAGTGTTGATGATGTTTTGTTCGAAAATTTCACATCCTTAACTTAATTTAGATATTGCTATAGTGAATGATGAAATTCTGTATTAACTGAATCAATAATATTGGTAAATTTATGCTTTATCAGCTAATATTATACGCGTAAAATAAAAGTTATATTCTGTGTACACTGTATCTCTACAATTTTTGTAACATAGAATACTGGCATATTCTATCGTTCATTAAATTAAATAATTTTATTTCTTTAGTTGTATATACAGCATAAAGTACAATTAAATTTAATTTTATTATCATTGAGGCAACTAGAACTTTTTAGTCCGAACTGTCATTTGTTAATATACCTAGTATTTATTTACTGTATTAGTATAAATTATATACTGAAGATGCTATGCGCAGATATAAATTCGTATCACCTTACATTCAGGAAAATTGCAGCACAACTAACATAGTTGTATCCGATAACTAAAGTAGGGTATCGCCTTGAACAGTTTTATTAGTATCTGGTGTAAAGTATATTATACTTCGATATCTCATATTATATATGGGCATGACTTTTGTAGCTGTGTAGGTAATTATGATATGTGCATATTTCAGGCACTGATAAGAATGGTAACATGATACTGGGTGCATATGTTAACATATACATAAGCGTATGCTTTAGTATACATTACGCAAAATTAAAGTTTGGCGCAACGAAGGAAATTTATCGCTATGTAGATGTAAAAGTGTGAGTACGATACGATTATTTTAGAGTGTAAAGAACTATTTTAATTTATAAGAAAATGCTAAGCAAAATTTAATATAAGTTCTGATCGGTATACATACCGTAATGTATGAGTAACAAATACCTGCCATTTCAAGGTAATGGAATGCAGTCTTTTATGTTATTGTTAATCAAGGATTTCTACAAGGAATACAGTATAGTATAAGTCAAACTCGCAAATACATTTTATTATATCACAGTACCTGTATTACTATATCGGTGGTTTAAGTATATATCCTCAGAGCTAGTTTCTCTAGATTAGGAGCTCGACAATAAGCGATATCGTATTGTATTTATCAGATAATCTATCATTAATAAATTGGACTTTAATGCTCTACGAGCATGCTATATTTTATGTGATAACTAAATTTTCTATGCGTTTTTCATTCTCGTAAAGTGTTTACCTAATGTGCAATTAAATACGGTACTCGTATGTAACGAGATACGATTTTGACTTTATAACTTTAAAGTTTTTAATTGTATTAATTTAAGAAGTTAAGTGAGGATAATAATCCATGACAACGGATTACCTTATCAACATAAACATAGATAAATTTCTACTTCTTTCGAATGCATGGAAACAATGACAATTACGTGTAGTAATATAGATTAAAAATTTATCAGGTATTCACGTAGCTTAAATGACACTTTTGTATGAGATAAGTGCATCTGTGCTACGTCAAGTTGTTCATGCATATGTAAATACAAGTTCATAGTCCATTAACTGCACACAATAATGCAAAGCTTTCGTTGTATGATACTCGATGCGTTATTGATTATTTTATTTATTAATCCATACCTGATCTCAGTTGATTTGTAGAAAATTGAACCATTAGAAGTTAATAATTCATATGGAAACATACACTAGCGTGGTATGAAGTTATCTAGACTGTAATGCCGTACCGGTATATTGCATAAGGTTACCGATTATTATTATAATAGGAAGTTTTACCTGTAAGCGCGTCTTCTGGTGTATATTTCGTCTTGACCTTCATCGATATCAAGCTTAATTCTACGAAATTTTATACCCGGTGAATTGATACAGGTAAGACTTTACACAGTCTGATTTAGTGTGTCTGAATTGATCAAATAGCTATTTTTTTTTTGTCCCTATTACCTACGAATTTGGCTAGCAATGTTTACGGTATGTTGTAGCACTGTAGTTAATTAACCAGTTGCCAAATTGAAACTATATCGAAGATATACCACTGCTTAATATCGAAATCATGTTACTTTTGAAGATATGTATCCATTTTTGTTATAAGGCACGATAAAGTGCTGCACAATTAGTACAGTGGTAAATTTTACTTTGCCTTTATTTGATTTTTATCTACGTTAGATAGTTTTTTACTGTTTTAATATAAAAGATTTAAGTACTAAACAGTGTAATTCGACTGTAGAAAGTGTCAACTTAATTTGTTTCATGCATATTAAAAGGCACTATTGTAACTATACTTCGGCGAGCTTACTAGGTATGCGCTTAATTAATGGCAACGATTTTTGTAGATCATCTATAATAATTTCTCTGGAGAGAAAAAATCTGTGATGCAGTAATATTCGTAGATTACGATTATGTCGTGGATTACGTACGAGCAATTATGCGATACTGTAGTGCTCCATTTATAGTAATCCATGATTTAAATACGTACAGTATACGCTAAACTGCAATAAACGAAGGCACCGAGTGATTGTAAATCACTGATAACATCTAATAGCCACAGCGTTAATAGTGTTTTGGCCAGTATCTTCCAATTTGGAGTCAAGTAGGTTCTTGTACGTACATTTGTGATGAGTTTCGCGTTAGGCTATCGATGTAAGATTGGATGTTATGTTCGATGAGCTACAGGATATCAGCAGCTGTAGTTATTAATTAATTAATTATTCGTATACTGTATGAATTGAATATGAATTAGTCGATCCCTCGCTTGTTATACTTCGCGTGCTATACGAGTATACTGTACCAGCTGTACTTATACCTTACTGCGTTTTCATGTTTACAGTAAAGGAATTCTTTGAGATTTTGAATCCTGATATAGTATAAAACTGGATATGGCACGCTTCTATTCGCAAGCTAATCAGTATAAAGTATCAACTTGTTATTCAATATGCACTTTATGAACTGTACTGATCTATAGCAATTGTGCTGCATTGACATTCAACTGAATAAGAAATTTTGGGTTGAATCTGTAAAAGTGGGTTGAGAGCTTTACTGGACGTAGCCATTAGGGTCTATTGACTTATCAATTAATAGTAAAAATCGAGTGATTCGTCTATACATGACGCTCATGAAGTTACTGGCTCGGTATGAATGAAATGACACACGAATCGAAATTACGAAATTATGAACTCTGTCTCGATTTTCCTGCTAAAGGCTACATACAGTACTGTACTGTAGTGTAAGTGCGTGCTCCGATTTGCTACGAGATACCGTAGTGACGGAACTGTACTGTACTGTACTGTATAACCATTGTACTGTACAGTGTACAGTACAGTACAATATAAGCTTATCTACAGTACAGTACTGTAAACTGGTGTACAGTACTGTACTGTATGTTACGAATAATCACAGGAATCATACTGTATCATGAGTCTATGTCTTTACTGTCTGATATACAGTATGTACTGTACAGTAGTTAAGAACATACGTACAGTACCCGGTAAGGAGAAGAATTATGGTTAAAAGAAAAAGGGAAAGGAACAGGGAACGGTCGTTCAGTATGATAAAATGAGGGAGCTGACTATTTTACTGGCCATTTTAACTGAACCATATGCGTCAAACGGTAACTGTCCATGGCTGTGAACTTGCCATCCAAATTGGCCGCTTGATTAATTTTGTTCTCATTACAGTATACTGTATATTTCATTATTTTGCACTAAACGGACAGTAATCGTCCCTCTGTCTTTCTACTGGTGTAGTCGCTCTTAAATAGTGCACGGCTCTAACTTGAGCACTAGCCCCAGGCTAGTGAGGACGAATCTCATGTAAAAGTGGTGTCAATATATTCAGCGTGGCTATTATTATTAGCTTAATGAATGAATGAAGAGTGTGACCAAAACCACCAATCAGCAACGATTTCGTCGGGTCGTATCGCTCGTATGATCACGACCTTCGTTCTATTGTTTATACTACTGTAAAGTGAGACTGTACAGTACTGTACTTCAAAATTGACACGTGTACAACATACAAAGTATGTACTGTACACTGTACAATACTACAGTACTGTATACTGTACTGTACTGTACAGTACTGTAAAGTCCAGTACACACTACGATACAATGTACTGTAAAGTACAGTATTTTAACCTTTAAAGATAGTTTACCAATGGCAGCAGCAAGTTGCAGATCGTTTTGTATCCGCATGGTCAAAACCTGAAGCAAATCCCACCATAAAGTACTTTGCTTTCGGCATCAACTGTCTTGTGTGGTAGTGGTATATTTTACGAAAAATACGCTAATAAAAAGGAACAGTGGGACTCGCATAAATAGGTATAAAATTGTAATTTAATGCTAATATTTATTATAGAATTTGAAAGATTGCAAACAGACACTATTCGAATGGAGATTAACAAGGGTGGCAACTAATGAAACTGATATGATTCCTTAGCAACTTACTTAATCCGATTTCTTACATGTGAATGTTGATTTGCATGTAGGATAATATAATCGGTTCAAAATTTTTTCATTATCCTAACATATTTCTTATTAGAGGACTACGTATTTAGATATTCTGACAAGTAGCAATTAGCGTGTACGATTTTGATTTTAGCAGAATCCTGAATGGAATAAATTAGTCTCTAGAATGAAATATATGTGTAGATCGACATAAGCGATTGAGAGAGTACAATACACTAGTAGATTGGTTCAGAATACGCATACTGAAAAGGATGAAATATCTGCACTTTCACGCATAAGTAGAATGATCGCGCTTAGCTAATATCAAAATATTAATCTATATGCTACAGTTTGGCTCATTTCATGCAAGAAAGTACTATGTAAATCCAATCTACTCGTATCGCACATTGTTGTCCTTATGCATTTGCGTATGCATTAGTAATGTACAGTATTATGCACCCTGCTAGAAGTTGTTTATATTATTGTAAATCTCCATACCTGACTAATTATAAATATAAAATAATTGTCGTGTTCTATATGTTTCGTTTATTTGAATGCGCTCTCGTTAATTAGGTACAGAAAATGAATAGTCAGCTAAAATATTGTTTGCATGAAATATTTCGGCGCCAAGCTAGCCGAACACCCGATGCCATTGCTGTCGTCGACCCGGATAACAATAAATCTATGACCTTCAAGGAATTAGATATGGCTAGTGAAGTCTTAGCGACTAATTTACGACATAAAGGTATCAAAGTTGACTCTATTGGAGGAATTTACATGGATAAATGCTTAGAATACGTTATAGCATATATTGCCATCTTAAAAGCTGGTGGAGCTTATCTCCCTCTCGATGTTTCCTATCCACCTGCTCTGTTGAAAATGGTTTTGGAGGACGCAGAGCCTGTTGCTGTCATCACAACACAAAGTTGGGCTTCGTTATTACCTTCTGAGTTAGAGATCATCGTATTAGATGATGGTTGGCAAAATATTTTGGAACAAGAAAATACTGCTAGAGGTGACGTTGAACAAATTAAAAACTCTTTGGACGATTTAGCCTATGTGGTTTATTCATCTGGTACAACCGGTAAACCAAAAGGTTAGTGCTATGCTATGTACGAGTATTATGTGCACTTGTGGCTAAGTTATTGACTATTATATTATTTAGAGTAATTCTAAAACTGTACATTATAAAGTATACAGTAGTCTTCACAAGAGACGACGAACGTCAAGGGGAGTTTATCCAAGAAAGATTGAAATAATTAAATATTTCTTGGATTTGCTAGATCTAGCCAGCTGTAGTGATGACGGCTAAAATACATCATGGCTGGGATTAAAGGCATTGTAAATACTGAAATAGCATGCCTCCGGTGTCTTATATATTGTACTAATAGTGTGCATATATGCGTTCAGCCACGTGCATTCACTTTACACTGTAAATTCGGCTGCAATCATGGTTACTGTTAGCGAATAATTTATTTAGCGTGTTATTACTGTACTCCAACATGGATAGGCAATTGGCATGTACAGTACTGTATTAGATAATTTAGATCCACTATATCGCTGTGATGTATCAGTGAAGATCATTGAATCGAATCGAATGTTAAATACTGTCAGTATCATGTTATAATGCTATAGCTTAGCTTAAAAATTATCAAACTAGCAATGGCCGGATATCAATAAATAAATTACATTGATAGAGCATATAGTCACTGCACAATATGGCTGCTAGTGTATAGTTATTATGGTAAAATTTATAATTGTATTTACAGTAATGTTACTCGATTTATGTAATAATTCATGCACTGTACTGAGCAAACTTGTTACAGTTATTTGTACGGCACTCATCAAATCATTCTAGCGGTTTATACGTCGTGTAACTACTTAAGAATAGTTAGATTATCGAGATAGAAGAATTAATTGATGGTGCACACGATTGGTTATCGTTCATTTCTAATGTGATTGAAATTTAGCTATAAATCCATAATAATGCTAAAATTGTTATGATCGATTGATTAGTCAATCCTAGGATTGACTAACGTATCGGCCAATCCTAGTCTGTTCAATACGAATCAGTAATGTAATCTGTCAATTTCGGGTTTTGACATAGCTGTTATATTTACGTTCTCCATGCGGAATATATCTAAAATTAGAGGACTCTTAATTAGTTGCTACCACTCCTCGTTTTATAATATTATGATGCAGTTTATTGGTGTCTTCGCGTTATGGTGCGCGATAATTAAAATGTTTTCGCATGTATTTATTTCAAGTTATAAATTTGTGAATTATATATACTGTACTTATAGGCATTTGCTGTCCACATCGCGGAGCTGTCTTTTCCTATACCAAAAGATTCTTATTTTATCCGTTTGAAGATAATGATCGGGTTGCATGCAACGTTTTTTTTGTTTGGGAGTTGCTCAGACCTTTACTGAAAGGTATCACTCTGTATATTATTCCAAACGCAATAATATACGATCCGGTACTACTATCTCAGTTTATCTATAAGCACAGAATTACCCGTATCCTTTTCACACCATCATTACTTGAGGCAATGTTGGATTGTAGTGGTATTGACTTTAAAAAAACATTATCCAGTTTACGAATCATCATGTTGTGCGGTGAGGTCGTTGCTACGGCTCTTCGGAATCGGTGTGTACGTGTTTTACCGAATGCGAAGCTAGTAAATCTCTATAGTACTTCGGAATCACACGATATGGCGATGGCTGAACTATCAGGACCATATGGTGCAATTGATAAAAACCGTAAATTTTGTCCTATTGGAAAGCCATACGACGAAGTCCATGTACTAATCTTAGATGATGATTTAAAGCAGCAGCCGGTTGGAGTTTATGGAGAGGTAGGATACTATAACGAAGCGTTCACTGATAAATTAAGGACTCATTACAGTATTAGACGACAAATATGAATTCTACTGTTATTAAATTTTGTGTTATATGATTGAATATCTATAAAATAAAATCTTGCTTATCCGGTTAATAAAATCAATTATTTCTATGAAAGATATATGTTGGGGGCCCAACATTAGCACGTGGTTATCTTAAACGTCCAGAATTAAATGCTAAGAGATTTATTAAGACCCCAGATTATCTATCAGCTTACGGTCCGATCCTATATCGTGCTGGTGATTGGGGATGCTTGTTACCTGATGGTCAATTGGAAATTGGTGGACGATGCGACACAATGGTTAAAGTTAGGGGTTACAGTATCGAATTGCAGGTGCGTAGTTAATTTCGTTTATGATAATATAGATTCTAATCATATTTATCTGTTTTTGAACTCTCTCAATAATTGTTACTACAGATATTTGATAAATTGAAAAATTACTAATATTTCATTAACAATTAATTATTATAATTAATGTAGGCGGTGGAAGCGGCTTTGTTGGAGTTAGATAAAGTGAATGCCGCTGTTGTAATTCCGCAGGGGGAAGAGGGTTCTGATAAATTTTTAGTAGCCTATGTTGTTCCGGAAGGGAAGGTATAGCAGCTTTATTAAAATCACTGTACGATATGTAAACATTTTTATCTGGATCAATTGTATTACAAGCTAATATCACCGATTTTTCAATAGTTTAGTTGGTTTTTACTTTATTTCCGATTATAAATTTATTAGACTACCAGAAAGGAAATCCGAGAAGCTCTGAAAAAGCGTTTACCTTACTTTATGATTCCGTCTTATTTTGTTTTTCTTGCTAGGTATATGGAATATTGTTATCTTATTTTATTAGCAATCTAATAATTTTATTATTATGATACATTAATACCTTTTGTAATAACTGTACTAGTGTACCGTTGTTACCAGCTTCCGCTAAATTAGACAAAAAGCAGTTACCATTGATAGATCCTTTAAGGGCTGTTCCTAACGATGATGAAGATAGTGTTCCGAGAACAGAAACAGAAAGAATTATGGCTAAAATGTGGTGCGATGTGTTACAGTTGAAAGCTGTTGATATTGATGAAAGTTTCTTCGATCTTGGAGGGTAAAAGAATCCTATATACTATAACACTGCTTACTTGCTAGTACTAATGAAGTTTGCTGTAAGATTGGTCGAATGTATATATTCATAATCATAGGCTATTAAAAGAGTATAAGATCAAGTAATGCAATTTATTAATTGGCTACTTTACGATCATTTATTGTAACTTTTCTAGTCATTCTCTTATGGCAACGAAATTAATTACATCGATTAACGATCGGTTTAAAACCAAGCTGAGTGTCCGTGATTTGTTTACGTATAATACTGTTATAAGTATGGCCTCTTACGTTGAAACAGAATTAGGTATATCGAGTGACCTAAGTGGTAGGCAAACGTGAGTCGAATAATTTTATGAACAGATTACAATGTTTACAGTAGTGTTTGGATCATAATCTGATTTTAATATTGATCAATTGTTACGGCGACAGTCCTCGTGAAGTAGATATCAGCAGCTTGGAGTCTGAAGTTGAACGTTATGATGATACAGTATCTGGGTATGAACAGTATATGTGGAGAAATATGAATTTTGATTACGGTATTAAATTTAGGGGTGTCTACATCATTAAATTACTCATAGATGAGATTTGCTTTACGCCATGTAGATTGGATATACAATTGCGGGCTTTTTGGCATTCATTACGCTTTTCGAATAGATGGTATCATGGAAGTGTCTTACTAACCGGGGTCACTGGCTTCCTTGGAGCATACTTGTTGAAGGAAATATTAGCAACTACAGAGGTCTAGTTGTGCTTATTAATAATAGCTTACTTCATCATCTTATCGCAATTAAAAATTTGTTTAAAGCTTCCCAATTAAATATGCATTATTATTTTATTGTAGGTTGACGTATATTGTATAGTGCGAGAAGTACCCGATAGCAGCGGTAAGGATCGCGTAAGAGCTAATCTTGTAAGTTATGGTTTGCTACCGGCTGATCGTAATGATTCAAGTGGCGCTAACCAAGATTTCGAAAATGCATTTTCTAAAAGAGTGTATGCAATCACCGGTAAATAATAATATAATTATAATCTTAGTGTAGTTGTTGTGTTATATTGCTCCATAACAGTATAAAGTGTGCTTAGTCCATACTGTATAGTATATCACTCAAGTAAGGTTTTCTATGTTACATGTCTTTATGCGATCTAAATTCATGTAGGCGATATAACTTTACGAAATCTTGGAATGACAGAGGAGGAATTTATCTTTTTGAGTTATGAGGTGAGTAATATTTTGTGAAGCACATTATAAATCCATACATGTATCCAATTTGTTGACTGATTTTGGATTAAATATAAGATGATAGTTTACTTCTTTATTGCTGACAGGTTGATTACGTTATACACGCTGGTGCTGTGGTTAATTTAATATACCCTTATAAAGTTAGTAATAAAATCGTGCTTTGATAAACTAGTAACATACCATGATCCGTACGAAAGAGGATCTACGTATTAGGAATTCGATTTTGTAAATCCTTATCGTAAAGGTAGCTGATATTACTGATTACTTTCTTAGATGTTACGATCTGCAAATGTAGTTGGTACGAAAAATATCATTAAATTTGCTTCAGTTGGTAAGATAAAGCCTCTACATCATATTAGGTAAGGATAGGTTGTTCGTTCGTAGCTAAAACCTGATGACAATTGTAAAGTTGCATTACAGTTTAGGATATACTTAGGCAGGCTTTTAACAGAATCTGTTATATTATTTCAGTACAAATGGTATATTTCCGAGAGGAAAACACGGGTGCTCTGAAAATGATGACATGATACAATTTGCTAATCGTCTTACTGATGGGTAACTGAATCTAACCTCTGTAAAGAATGAATTTCATCTTTATTTGTTTTTATTGGAATATCGCTAACCTATATTTTTTGTTAAATCATAAATTACTGTAGATATGCGCAATCAAAATGGGTAGCAGAGCAACTCGTGCTGCGGGCACGTAACAGAGGACTCCCAGTTGTTATTTACCGGCCAGGTAAACGTATTAGTTTTTTAACTGACGACTTTGTTAATTTTAACCTTTAAATTTATTCTATCTCAAAGGAAATCTATCTGGAGATAGAGATACAGGTGCTTGGAATCCTTCAGACTTTATTTTCTTGATGCTAAAAGCTTGCGTTGGTGCTAGATGTGCACCAAATATCGATTGGCAGTTAGAGATGACACCGGTAGATTTTGCGAGCGAAGCTATTGTCCGTTGTACCCAGGTGATATAGCTTTATCTATATTACTATACGTCGCTTAACGTTACGATACAGGGGTTTACATATTTTATTATTACTTAGACAGTAGTTACAGATATACGAACTAGGATAGCATGCTTTTTCAAAGTATGCAAATGTGCATTAAATTAAACTTTATGAATTACAGCGGGTTGTTGATATAGAATATCTGTGAATATACTAAAATATACACGCAGATTGTTCATTCTTCATAAAGATATTATCAGTAGCAACTTATTTACAATTATATATTATTCATGACTAGAATCTCACTAATTGCGTTGGGCGAATTTACCATATAACCAATAGAAATACGGTATCTTTCCGGTATGGTCTTAGTATTATATACCTGTTTTATATATTAAAGTAAAGATTAATTCAATATGGGCAATGTAGTTACGATCAGTTGTAGAACTTTTGATTGTACGCGTGTTTATAGATGAGAACTATGTATTACTCTTACAGTTTGGTTTGCGATACCTTAAGCCAATTTGGTTGCACATTAAAATCTGTTGATTACGAAGAATGGTTTCAAATGTAAGGGATCGAAATACAAGTATTTCCATAAATTTGATTATCTTTTCGCAGAAGTGATCAATTATATTATTATCAATGTAATTAATGTAACAGACTTCATAACGATTCTGCTTCGGATGCTGAATTAAAGGTTGGAAAATTACTGGAGACGTTAGTAGGGTGAGCTATTGTGAAGATATATATACGTATAACATAAAGTGGCGTGCTTTTGCCAAGTCAGATTCACAAAGTTTACGTTTAAACATACTGACTTTATATGGAATTATCTCCTGTTTTAAATAATAGTACTTGATAAACGCTGTATATTTTTCAGCAATTATTCTGTTTTATATCTTTTAGGAATGATATGTCTTTCTTTGGAAATTCCAACACATTCGACAACTCCATCTTTACCGATCAATTGACAAAGTTTGGTCTTACTTATCCGAAAATTGATAAAGACCTAATTGAAACCTACTCAAAATATCTGGAGTGTCTTAGGAGTACTAAAATGATTTCTGAAGAGGGTACAGTATACACTAAGTGTTTATTTTTTGATTAATGTTGAGAATTTATGGGTTTTAATAATAAAGAAAGACCGCTTGCATTACAGAATTACAGGAGGTAGCTAGTATCAGCAGAGCATCAGGTATGATATGATATTTAAACGACCTCCTTTCTTTATGCCCAAAAATATTAATATTAATCATTACTACAATTTAAAATAGAGAATCAACCATTACGTGGTCAAGTAGCAGTAATAACAGGCGCCTCAAGTGGAATAGGAGCAACTATTGCTAAACATTTAGCTCTTGCAGGAGCTTCCGTTGCATTAGGAGCTAGGCGAATGGACAGGTTGGATATCTTTCATGCGACCATAAGATTTGCTTATAACTTATTTTCCATGTTTAAAGCTTCTAAGCTATTGTGATTACTATTATTTAAATATATTTACTTAAGGCTTAAGTCCCTTTGTCAAGAAATTAGATCGGAGGGTGGTAAAGCTATTGGCGTACCAACGGATGTAACCAAAAAAGTTGAGGTAAAGATGATGTCACATAAAATAGTTTTCTACTTTAAAATGATAACATACTGTATACACAGGGTTGTCCGCTACATTTACTTATTGCTTACGGCGACGGCCTGGTTGAACCTTAGGTAGAGAAATTAGTGAATACAGCGAGGGAAGTTTTCGGAGAAGTTACTATACTTGTCAACAACGCTGGTTGTATGTACTACACCGAAATGAAGAATGCTCATATAAATGAATGGGAAAGGCAAATCGACGTAAACTGCAAGGTAATTTATAATGAGTCACGATATCTGCAAAATATACTTTAACTTAAAATTTGAAGCGTTAAGTAGTGCTAGTTAATAACTAAAAATTACCGTTACGTACGCTACAGGGTATGTTATACGGAATAAGCAACGTTTTAAGCAGAATGTTAGCAAATGGTTGTGGCCATATTGTTAACATTTCATCAGATGCTGGTAGAAAGGTAAAAAGTTAATAACACCTAGGTAGCAGACATCGAAGAGAATCTAGACATTTATATATATTTATATTAGGTATTTCCTGGTCTAACGGTTTACTCCGGCACGAAATTCTTTGTTGAAGCCATTTCGCAAGGTGTACGATTAGAAACCGCCGGTTCTGGTGTAAGAGTTACAAGTATTCAACCTGGTACGTTAATTAGATACAATTGGAATATTTTAATTATTATATCTAAAATGTTTGAAGAATTCCTGCTATGCTTATTGTTGTATAGGTGATGTATCAACGGAAATTCTAACTTACGGTGTAGATGCTGAAGTAAGTACATATATTTGTGCATTTATTGCATATATGAGCGTATATTAGCATTTTTTACAAATTTATTTAGAACTACCAAAAATGATTTTATTCAATGGTTAATGAAATGTTATGATTTAAGGCTCGAAAGAAATACGGTGGCAGTGCAGAATCGAAAATATTACGACCCTTGGACATAGCTAATGCTGTGGTATATGCTTTAACACAACCAAGTTTTGTTGCTGTGAATGAGATACTTATTGAACCTGCAGATGTACCATGTTAGGATATCGCTGATATGCATTATCGTAATTTCTGTAAATTCCTGGATACTTATTTTATATCTCATTAGGCTTAGCTTTATTTCGTGGCCTTAAAAGCTGTGTGCTCGATATTAATGTTATTAAATGACCTATCCTATGTAGTAGCTATATAATACCTAGTTATAATTAAGGGGAATTTACCAAAATAACCTTAAAGTGATAGTTACTTCTTTTTACGGCTTTATAATCTTGTTTTTAAATTATAAGATATGGTATTTATACTATAATGATAATTAACCTTCTTTTTGATTTGCCGGATAATTGCCCGTCTTATTCGTTATTATTCATCGTGCAATAATTTAGGTCGCTTAGGAGTCGTTCAGTTTTTATTAACTTTTCAATTGTACTTATGATGCTCTAGCCATTTCCTATCCATGATCTTAATAAACTGGACGCACGTTATTAATTATAGATATATTAGATAGATATCGAAATCGGCACTTTCGTGAAATTGATTTGCTTTTGGACTTTTTAATCTTTGAATTTACGTAATTCAGGCGTTTTTATTCCGGAAAGATTACATTCGATACTCTACGAGCATTCAGCAATAATGTTTATATTTATAAGCAAACTTTTCAAAGTGCCTCAATCGCAAATACAAATGCGAGCGTATGACATTAGTGCCTTATACAATTAAATGTACTACAGTACAAGATCTAAAATGAAAATCTTTGACATAACAAGTAGGGCAAAAACGAAAGAATGTAATTTTTACAAACAAGAACAGATGTATACGGAAACATAGATCAAAATGACATAAGTTACATTTACCATTCTGTCATTGTTGTATCTATACAGTGCAAACAGAGCACGGTCTTCTAGAAGAGTGTATAAGTAATAATGCAAAATCAAAAATTTCTTCAAAGACCATACTGTAGACTGGGTATAGATTGTATCAACTATTCGCAAATATTTCTGAAGATGAATGCAGAATTAAATAATACAGGATAAACATCATCAGAAAACAGATAATTTATGAGTCAAGTTATCAGATTAAATTCGTATTATTCCAGTGATAGCTTTAAGTCTTATCCGAGTGACTGGTGTCGTCCTCTTTCAAGTTTACCATAGAATTTTCTTTATCCTCATTCAATTCTGGATTATCACTTGAAACTTCAGCTTTATCTGATGCAGATACAGTGTTGTCCGACTTACTATCCTCATCTATTTCTGGCGAAAGTCCTTTCGTTGTGGTCTCTGACTGATTTCTCTCCATAGTATTCGCATCCTGTCCTTGATTACCTTCCATAACAGAACTTTTATCTGTTGTTGAGCTCATCTGATGGTCACCATCAGGACTTCTTACATTGTGAACATCAACTCGGCATGTTATGGAGTCATCAGATGATTTCTGTAACTCCTCGGTAGTAGACATGACACCACTGGCTAATTTTTGAATATTTTGCTCAGCTCTTCGTCTTATTTCAGCTCGTCGTTTATCTTCATCATAGAGCTCTTTTGTAGGACCGTCAACAGAATTAACAGAGGAATGACGATCAATTTCTGAATCGCCTGATACACCATCGTCTTCAGAGGAGTCGTCCGGGGTGACATAAACAACTTCCAAAAGAATTTCACCATCTGCTTTTGATAAAATATGAACAGCTTCAACATGACTGGAATGTTTCAAAGACATGCCATTCACTGATAGGATTGCATCGCCAATATATAAACCTTTACAACGTTCAGCTGGTGTTTGTTTATGGATCTCTGATATTAAAATGGGAACCCCATATTCTCTACCTCCCTATCATCAAATGTAGTCGTAGTTTTAGGCTACTAATAGGTACGATAGATATATCGTCAAAGCTGTTTACTTTAGGATATTAACCAACTATTTACGCGATTATTAAAGTTTATTGACATTTTATGTCAATCCTTTATTATTTTTGATAAGTGATACAATGGCCCTTATATCATGCAATGTCATAGCTTTAGTTGTTTAGGCAATAATTCAAAATTAAATATTAGAGTACTTACCGTAATAGAAATCCCTAATCCTTCAGAACTATCCTTAAAAATTTGGACAGTTCTTATTTGGCCAATTCCTCTACGCTTTTGATGCTTAGGTACTTTAACTGGTGTTGGAGATTGAACCGGCTTATCGCTAGATTGGTTTCGCATTTTGCAAGTTTTGACGACAGTTTTATGCCGATGGAGATTGATTTCAGCCTCCAGTTGATTCCATAAAGCTTCATGTTGAGCGCCTTTCATATCTCTACCTAGTAATTGTAATTGCTGAACTCTAAAAGTAGTTATCAAACAAGGCAATACAATAAATATTCGACGTAAGTGTATAAGCTTTAAGACGAAAGTGAGTGATAGATTGAAGCAAGCAACAGTCCATGATTCTTTAGGTTCGCGTAATGAATTTACAAGTAATGAAGAGTAAGAAACTAATTACAGAAATATTAGCTAACCTCCCAGCCAATTCTTTATCTAGATATTTGGTAGCCAATCTAGCAGCATATAACTCGCTTTGTAAATAATCGATATGATATCTTAAGTCTACATTTTCTTTCCTAAGTAATTCGACTTCGGCTCGTAAGCGAGACTCTCGATAGGCACTCTGGCGAGATTGTTCTATCTCCAAAGCCTATAAAATTGATAATATTAATACGTGTGTCAATCAGTAAATGGCAATAACGAAAACATCTAGCTAGAATATCAATCCTAGTCAAAGTAATTTTATCCAACCTGGTAGAGAAGTGTATATGACAGCAGATATTAATAATTGATAGTTCGAATGTATAAAGTTAGATCTATAGTACATAAGTAGCGGAGATAACATAACTCATTCACATTCTTACGGGACTCACAAGTTTAGATTTATTCTTATCACCATCGATGGGTTGATTGTCGGAATTTGCCCCATCCTGATCAGGATGTAACCGCACCAATTGATTGTGTAGTTCTTTTTCTAGAGCACATTTTGCAGCTCTTTCATCACAAATATCGGCTCGTAAACTGATAAGTTGTGCCTAGTTCAGGGTCACGTTAAATATTTTATAAAAATTTTATTATAGAACATGATTAACCATATTAGTTTTCTAATCTTAGCAAAAAGACATTATCGCATATTCTTGTAGAAATATTTACGGCATGACTAAATGAGGCGAATATTACAGTTGATTTCGTTCTAAGTAATGATTATCGGTTATCTAAATGACTATATTAGATCGAAACTCGATTGAATGAGAATAAATGGACGTCTCACCGTTTAATAGACTACACAATAAAATTATCAGTGAATGTAGGTTCTAAATTACTGTCAGTATAGTATTCAAAGCGTAAGGTTGCTATATGGAGCAGCCTGGAACGATAATTAAACGTTATTTTTATTTATAACTTTAACATTGAACTATTCAGATATATTCAAGATGTAACATGTGGTCGCAAATTCGTATGTAACGCCATTTTCAGAAGAGAGCAGTTTCAAATGGTTAGAATCGGTACGAGAGTATCAATACACATTTGAATCATTTGTGCTCAAATATGAAATTTTGTGTATAATGCTGTAATGGCTGCACATGCTTATTTATTATGTTGTAGGTAAGTGATGAACTGCCAAAGTAGACAAATTATTATTGTACTCGGATTGACTTGAAGCAACTAAACAAAATTTCTTGACATTCACTCACTGAAATTTTATCCAAGTACCTGTGTGGTTACAAAGTACAATACAGTACACACTATTATTAATGACACTAACGGAAAGAAAAATTCTTGGTCATAGACAAAATTTTATATTGTACGAATTTACACTGTACAGTATATAAGTTTAATACTTGGTTACTAGTTAATGCAATTTATAACACTAGCACTAAAAGCGTAAATTTTCATAATGTTAACAGATATACAGGTGGATTTCTATCCAATAATTTTCTTCGCAGTGTACTGTGCGATCTATCTTTAACAGGAATTATATATCATACATTGTATTCCTCCAGAAGTATGCATATAACAATGTTTAATATACTGTACGTATACATCAATCAATTATGATTTATGTTGTACAATTGCTGCATTATAATCCCTATTAGGATAATACCAGGCCTTTAAAAATGCCACATTCAATATAACAAGTACCTTCCTAATATAAAGGTAATCGAGTGTAGGTGCAAACGAGTTTAGATTGTTTCTAATAAGATACCCATAAGATACTCGTATATTATACAGTACTAAAATTTCGTACAGTTCATCATTTATTGTTACATTTTTAAACTGATAATTAATTGGTGATGCTAATAATGGTGTATGATTCAGTACTATGTGTACTGCAAGTGATTCAAGAGCATCTAATAAGGAATGCATCAGTATCCTTATTCCTTTCCTGCTGTCTGTAAATTATTTCGTAAATTGCATTAAGATTTAGGCTTGTCCTTGGTTTTCATATGGCTAATTCAGTACAGTAGCAGGACGTAGTGAAATTTTATCATAAATCGTACTAGAATAGTAGACAGTAAACAGCAACTGGTAGGCCAACGTCATTACCAATTACGAGATTTACATCAAAAGATTGGGGACCTTATTTAATTATACAGTATTAATATCATATTACATAATGGCTATACTCTGATAGTGTCGATTCTAGAAATCATATAGTATATAAAGTGATTCGAGAATCAATCATTAAATTAAATTAATTATAAATATCAGGCCAACCTCATATTTAGCATTGGATTGGAAAATGGCTTGAGCTTTTTGTGACAACTGCGCGAATGCAGAGGATAAAAAAGTCATTTTATTTCTTCCATCAACAGTTAGCTCGAACTGGTCAGGGTCAATTTGACCTAATAATAGATCTAAATCTACAAAGCTCTTGTCAAAGTCTTTTTCTAAAACTTCTAACCAAGAAAGCATTGTTACACCGGTGGCCATGATGTCTGCTTTGGTGAACCTCTACACTGTACAGTGTACAGTCTAGAGTGTACACGGAGTCTACAGTACAGCACAGTACTGTAGGGTTGAGTACAGTACAGTACAGTACAGTACTGTACACTGTACAGTAGTTGAATAAATTTAATTTAATATCCTACCGATTCTACAGTACAGTACAGTGTACAGTATAAATACTGCTAAGAGTACAGTATGTTGTACAGTACTGTACAAAATTTCGCTTTGTATTGTAGTAGATTTTGTCTTTTAAACTGATATTTTATGATGGCAATTACGAGTAGCGTAATTCTATCAACTTGTATCAAAAATTTGCTTTCTAGCTACATAATGGTATAAAGTATAGTAATTTCACGTTAGTTTCAGTAATATTTTTTCCTTTTTTCGGAGTCTGAAAAGAAAATAAACACTTCGTACTGTACAGTGTACAGTACAATATCCCCAGTCCTCTGGGCTGTGGCGAGGGCTAAAGTCTGTTGTTAATAACTGTACAGTACTGTACTGGAGATAACAGTACAGTACAGTACTGTACTGTACTGTACGTACAGTTTGGTAGTCTAAAGACGTATTGTACTGTACTGTACAGTAACCAAGCCACCGGATACTGCTCAAGTTACATTTCAGGCGTTTAAGAAGTCCATTGTTAGCCATAGAGATTGAAATTTTTCTTTTAACTCCATGACTTCGATATTTTTAACATGACTTTTCCAAGATACAGCCTCGATTAGCTGTAAGGCTGTCTTGGAAACATGTTCAAAATGCCGAGATCTAATATACAAGCAATAATATCATTTCGATTTGTGTTTACAGTATCCCCACAATCATTTATAGACCTGATGTTCAGTAGGTAGTCAGTAACATGCTGTACAGTGTACAGTACTGTAGAGATGCAGTACGGTACAGTACAAGTTTTTTTCTTATACTGTACTGTACTCAGTACACTAAAGTCTACACAGTACAGTACAGTACATCGAAAATTTACCAACGTTGCTACAGCTTCCACTGTTGTGTCCATTGACTTAACACTACATTCTGTGTAACATAGTTAATGAGTTTTAGCAAATATCGAGTTGGAGATTGTAGCCATGTTGTAGCATATATTAAAATGATAAGCTGCATACTAACTGCTATACGTGTATCCTTATTAAATCAAGTTTAGATTTGACTTCTGCAATATATATTGGGCTAGATGGTCGGGTTACATACCAACTACGCTGGATAGCTGATCTCTGCATAATTTATGTATATAATTAATATTAATTATACCTGGAATAAAGTACGTACGTACAGTCACAGTCGCCACAAATTTAGGCGCCCTTATATCATTGCAAGAAAGGTTAAATTTTTTTAATGTTGCAACATTAGGCCTCATCGATGTTTTAGTTCTATTAAGAATCGTGACCTACTTATTATACTCTACAGGTCATTGCGTTGTCACTTTATAATGCATTTCAAATTTACTTACTTTTTAAAGTTTGTTTGCGCGATAACTTTAGTTACATTAACAATTTTACTCTATTATAAGTTAAATGTTCATAATTACTCATGGTATCACAACAGAAACATCAAACATCCATGCAAAATTGCTGAAAAGGATATGAAAGCGATGATCGACTTGTTAGGAGGAATTCATCGGACTTTACAGACTCTAAATGTGACACACTTTTTAATATATGGTACTTTGATAGGCGCTATTAGATATGGAAAAATTTTACCGTGGGACAATGATCTTGATATAGGTGTGCGATGGAAGGATATTTCACGTTATAGCAATGCACAGTTAACTCTAGCCTTTGCAAAAGAGTCTATTACCACTAAATATTGGTATAAGAACGGTTTATATAGATTACGAAAAGGTCAATTTGCTCGCGCTGATATAATGATTTTTGACGACTACTATGGTAATGGAGTAATGACAAGAATTGGCATCGAATCGTATTATGGCTGGATTAATTACAGAAGATATCATGTTTTTCCAGCAAGATTCCTTTTATTGCCGTTACCTACTGTAAATATTGCTGGTGTCAACATATCTATTCCGAGGGAAGGGAAGACGATAATAAAGTTATTGTACCCTGACGATCATTGGAAGGAGGTGAAACCATTCGGTTGCTGAAGTATTCGAGAATATAATTGCAAGTACGAAGTACAGTCAAGATATAAAGCTGGTTATAATAGAAATATTGAAGATTAATTTCGGAAATATGTTGTAGTAGCACCTGCAGCACTTAGTGAATGAGATGATTTCTTTACAGTTATTGTAATAACAATTAGGGAAATTACGTATTTGAGTACTGTTGCATTTTTACACTTGAGATTTAGCGCAATTTCATTGACAATTATTGATAGTGAATCAGTTATAGTGTTACGATAAATAAATGATATTAAAAACTCGTAAATTATTAACTCTTTCGTAGGAATGGTTTATTAAACTAGGTAATAAATTATAGCTACTTCTGCGTGTACTCGTATTGTTAAAGTCACTTTAATTTATATTCAGCTAATACTCATTCTGTAACTTAGCAAATCGCCATTAATGGATTTGTCATACGATATAATAGTTGTTGATATCTTTTACATGATTTCATTGAGGTGATTCATACGTGCAGTTTATGTGATTATATGCTTCTATGCGTATATCTTAAAATATGTACATAGTAGTAAACGTACTATAGTATGGGTAATAAAGGCAAAGATACAGTAGCGAATTTATATCGGACTATACCCAATTGAAGTTTTATTAAAATTCTTTCTAAAAATATATTCTTAATTTTAATATCGTTTCAGTAAGGAAAAGTGCTAAAATACAAGTATGATGCGTATGGTAAGTGGCTTCATTGCGGATGAAGCCGTCCAGGACAGCTTCCTTCGATAGGGTTGTAGAACTGAATTTCCTGATATGTTTATAAATGGTTATTTAGAGTAAATTATCCACAATACTAATTTAAATTTACTTTTGGGAGTATGCGTATCAAGATAAAATCGATTCAATGAATGCACACGAGCATCTAAATGCTAATACTGTATAAAGTTAATTTTAATTTTTGAATAGTATTATCATACCAATATTAAGAGACACTATACTGTAGATAACTTCGAAGGAAGGTACTGTATACTGTACTGTACTGTACTGTACTGTACGTACAGTATAATTATTACTCAGTCTACAGTACAATATACTGTAAGAGCTACCATGCAAGCTACAGTACTGTACTGTAGAAGTGTAGATGCTGAAATCTCTAGAAAATATAATCTTGTAGTCTATTGCTACTGTGCAGTGTGCAGTACTTAACTGGTACTTTTTGAATACCTATTTGTTTGTTAATAAAAATCTCGCAGAAAACTACTGGGTTCAAAAGCTAATTTTAATTTTTGAAGCGCCTAAGAAAAAATTTAAACACTTTTGCAAGATTTACAAGGCTGACAGGTTATTTGCTCGATGCTTGCAGTAGAAGTGCAACCATTCCGTAGACACTTATTTGCACCGTTATGAAGGGTTGACTGTACTGTAAATGTGCACCATGATGTGCACTCAGAATCATAAATACGGCAGATTGCAGACTGAACACTGAACAGTGGAACTTATTCAATGAACAGTCGTAAATCGACATAACAGCACGGACAGCATACTGTACTGTATTCGCTATGCGTTACTGTATCATAATCAATCTCATGCGATACTGTATAGTACAGAGTCAGGGATTACTAAAAAGAAAGACTACTGTACGGTACCACTACAGTATACTGTATACTACCTTTGAAACCGTATACCATATTGCACAAAACCAACTTAGCAGGCTAACAGCAGCTAATTTGTACCGCTACAAATACACGACACAGTTGAAATGACCAGTAAAATAATCAGCCTCCATATTGTTAGTATAGCGAACAACCGTTTTCTGCCTGTCCCGTGTCTTTCTTTTAGTAGGTGGCATATACTGTACTCTTTCTTTTTAGTAGTAGGAGTTTACTCCTTCACCAAATCCGGCTTTTTTTTCGGCTTGCAGCGGAGACAAGATTGTGTTTCTTCATATTTTTTTAGGTTATACCTGAAGGTGCGTAGGATACTTGTCTTGGAAAGGCTATCTTAGCAAAGATAGGCGACTCATACTCGTGCATGAGTCCGGACAGTACAGTACAGTACAGTGTACAGTACTGTAAACAATACAGTACATTGTACTGTATAGCACAGTACAATGCAGCTACTGCAGTGATCACAACGGGTGCAGTGACATAGCACTACCGTAAACGTGATTACAACGTTAAGATGGAATCACGAAAGGATGATCTTGTTGCTGATTTACGTGCTCAAGCACAACAGTATGAAAACTTATCCGAAACTGTTAGTACTACAACTAATAGCAAACAACGCGTAGATAATGATGGCGTTGTTTACGAATTTGATGAAGAAAAACGAGCTTGGTTTCCGAAGGTACTATACGTACTGTATGTACGAATATACTATAAATTCTTGTATGGTCAATCGTACTGTACTAAAGTATAAAGCTATGCAAAGTATCTACCGAATGCAGTTTAATAAACATATAGTATACTGTACGATATATTGTATTGGACGAGGAATAAAATAGTTGATTAATTTGGGGGACATACCAGAACTAGTGACGTTTTTATCCATTATCAATTTTACTCACTGTTTACTGTATGCACTGCAATGCACCGCTTAAAATATTACTACATCAAACTATCAAACCTTATGCTGTACTGTACTGACATAATATTGAGAGTAGAGCTCATAATATAATTGGATATACAGTAGTTAACTTAGGAAATTTAAAATTTAAAAGTATCCAGCTTTGCCTAAGAGGATGAAGTGCGAGGATTTTAACTTAAAGTAGTTACCAGTAGAAATAACATCGAGATATTCTGGTATAGATACGATAGCAATATTACTGAGGCTTATATATGCATAATAAACAGTAATACGGTATAGCTTATTTGATGAATTCTTACTTATTATAATTATAGTATTGTAGAATAATCCGTGTGGGCGATATACTACCTCGGTACTATTGCATTTTTAGCAACTAATTTACGAAACAAATTAATGATTGTATTAGATCGATGACGACTTCATCGCTGCTTATCAGTACCATTATGGAACGAATACGAATCAACAGGAACCTACTACAGGAGTCATTACAGCTGCAAATATGGCTCCTCCTACCGCTGAAGCTGCTAAGGTAATATAGCAACCTTTCACATTCCAGCTTCAGCCAGGGACTACTAAAAGAAAGAGATGGGACAGGCAGGAAACGGTTGTTCGCTATACTAATAATATGAAGGCTGATTATTTTACTGGTCATTTCAACTGTGTCGTATGTCTGTAAACGGTACACTGTACTGTCTGCGATTGACGTCCAAATTAGCTGCTATTAGCCTACTAAGTTGGTTTTGTGCATTATGTTATACGGGTTTCATCGGTAGCATATAGTAGAATGATCGAAAAAATGATAAGCCTTCACATTATTTTTACAGTGTGATCGTTTCCTTTCCCATCTCTTTCTTTTTAGTAGTCCCTGCTTGTACATATTGTAAGCTGAACAAAATTCATTTTGTGTTAAAATCTTGTTAGCCTATCGTAAATGCTTCAAATGCGATTCCCAAGCAAAAGCAGAAAGGGGAAGAATCAAAAGATAGAAAATCTCAACCTGAAGGTGATATCATGCAATAAAGCTTAATCAGTCACAACTAGCTAAGTCCTTACCTACAGTTATAACATGGAATAGAATAGTACAATTTAATGTTTACTATCAACCTATATTTCTTCGTGCTAAGAAGTCGCGAAATCATATGCATATTGATTGACTTAAGAATGGTAATCTTTCAATTATAGGCTGGTTTGATGTCGATGAAACTAAAAATACGAACGTTTATGTCTCAGGTTCTATATTGATATACGAGATCATAAATTATTAAATAGCTTTTAAAGAATAAGATTAAATTAATAGCATCTTAGGGTATTATGGAGAAAAGCCAGTTTTGGTATCACCAGTCTAAGCGTGTAGTTATAGTAAGAAAATTTTCGCCTTGTAATTAATTTGATGTTAGGCTTACCTATGGACACTACAGAAGAAGAATTCGTAGAATTAATGAGTAAATGTGGTATAATTATGCAGGACGATGACACTAGTATGTAAATATATATTCGTAAAGAAAAGTTATTATCATCTATAATGAAAGTGTTAGATTGACGGTGGATGTCGGTTTATCGTTATTCATAATAAAAATAGAAGAATTCAAGGTGAAACTTTATAGGGATACAGATGGGCAATTGAAGGGTGACGGACGATGCTGCTACTTGAAGGTATACTCGATAACGAACATTGAATTGCTGATTTACGCTTACTGTAGTTAAAAACTATTCTAAAAATCCGTTCGTGTCATGGTAATTTGCGCAAACAGCTCCTAATCAGTCGTTCGAATAACATTTGCTCAAGCAGCGATTCCTATTTCGATCCTAGGTCGAGTCAGTAGACCTCGCTTTACAAATTCTTGATGGTTCCTTATTTAAAGACAGCACAATTAATGTTGAGAGGGTAAAGTACCTACTAATGCATGTCAGAATGTGAAGATATATAGCTAAATAGACGTTAGAGACCTCCATTTGGGAGATGCAACCAATTCGAATTAAAGTATTTAATTTCTCCTGTTGTCTATCAAAAGTTAAACGTGATATTGAATCTTTTAGGCGATGTTTACGTTAAAAGGACGGTATGACCCATCGCTGCGAAAAAAGAAGAAAAACACGAAAAAGAGAAAGAGAAAAACACAGGAAAAGTAATTCACTGCCATACATATTAGAGTATACCATTTGAAAAAGTTTCATAATATGTTACCTATTATCTTTATCAAGGTTACTTTCATGGAATGAAAGTAAATCAGAAAAGCGTTCCAAACTTGATAAGGTTTTGATTGTTAAAAATATTTTTCATCCGGATGAATTTGAGGTAAATTTGCTAGCTTTCTTGCAGTCTATGATCGTTTATGGGTTGTAGTTTATAAGATAGTGGTATTAATCTTCAGCACCACCATCTGCGAATGTTTTTAATAGAAGGATCCTACATATATAACAGAATTAAAAAGCTCTGTAAAGGAAGAGTGTGAAGCCAAGTTTGGACCTATCAAGAAGATAATAATATTTGATGTAAGCTGTAAAATGCGTGCTATGATATCGTGCGATACAGCACTGTAAGATTTTACAAATATTGTATGCACTTGTTTGTATGTCAATATACTTTCTGGATTATAATGCTGCATTGGATATTGTTTTTATAGAGACATCCAGAGGGAGTAATTTCGATAACTTTTGCAAATCCAGAAGATCGTGATAAGTGTCTCGAGGTTATCATTGTTTGTTATATTTGGTATTTTTAGTTAACGGAGATCTGTTGTATCATTATGCTATATCGGTTTTTTGCTCGCCGTAATTATTGCACAAGTATGATATTGAACTTATTTGGTCCCAGGTAATGCATGGGCGATACTTTGCGAAGAGGAAACTGCATGCTGAAAAGTGGGATGGCTTTACTAATTATCAAATTGAAGAGACGGACATGGAAAGGGAAGAACGTATAAAGAAGTGGGAGGCGTACATCGAGGAAGATAACGCTTAAATATATTTAGTGAAGGTACTTTTTTAATCTTCTATATTAAGTCATGGAATAATTGTTATCCTCAATAATAATTTAAACGCATGTTCTGCTGCTTGTACTATTAATTTTCGATCGCGTAAGACACGAACAATCGTCTAACGATTATATTAGTAAATTCATGCCAGTCTGTCTTCATGAAATCGATTTCAACCTTAAGCCATACATAGCAGATGGGTTAATTAGGGATTTTTGGACTATTACTCTAATATCAATATTGAGATATATATTTTTACGGATTAAATCCCCTATTTGAATGCTTATAGAAATTTAGTTAACTGTAAGCTGTATTAATATAAGCTATTTGTATTACTGCCGTCAATTCTAGGTATGAATCGGATGTGCGAATACGTTGGTTGGTACATGCTGTGAAAATGGGATTGCCACTTGATAGTATCGATTTTTCAATTTTATAATTTAATTTGTAGTGCAAATTTACTGTGTGATGTGATAACATCAACACGTAGGTTGTACATTCAATACCAAGGATGCGAAACGATTTGTTCTTATCGATTGTAATAGCAAGGTCTGTTGGTATTTTATGAGACGCTTGCAAAGAGCTTGCATGTTCTATCAAATGAAGTTATAAGCCTCTATTATGCAATAAAAATTCATACACCTCCGGTATAAGTTTTCATTGCGTGTACACAATCTATTTCTGTAGTTTGTCTTATACGAATTTCAGTAATTATTACTGACTGTATGATAATTATATTAATTATAATTATTGAATAAAATTTACTATGATCTTATTAAAATAATTTTTAAGTAAGGCTGATCAAAACGCCGTATCGATATTCGTTTACTGGTTCATATTTACTCTTTACTAAGTAAAAAATGAGAATACGAGTTATTTGTCCAACAGAAAGCTTTTAAATTTAATGTACACAACATTTTCCCAATTTATGGTATCAAATATAAATTCAGATGTTACACTGAAATTTATTTTTCTCAGGTTTTAATGCAAATTAACTCCGTTATTTATGTTATAATGATCCAGTAGATATCGAAATTTTAGTTCGGTGCTTATATATTCTATAATTTGCTGATGAGTTATGTCCTTATGAATTACTCTTGGTTTTATAATGTCTGATTTTATCAAATTTATGATACTAGTCTCACTTAGATGGGTTGCAACTAAAGCATCATCGCAGGATTACTTACGCCATATCATGTAACACATGTATGCGTATACAAATACTTAAGATAGAGAAGACCTTAAAGATATTTGTTTTATGGATACTTTTTTTATGTTCATTATCTAAAATCTGAAATATTAAACGATCACCTCAAATCCCTAATGAAATTAGGCCGTACAGAATTAGCTATTAATGATCTAATATATACAATTTTTTCAAGGTATCATGTTTGACAATATACTCATAATACTCGTATTAGTTGACAAATCAGTTATAATTATTAGTATGTGTAGTGATACTCTTCAATTTAGAATCTATGCTTAGAAATGTTTTTTATTCAGTTTTCTTCCGTACACATGTTTTTGCCTCTTATAGGAAATTTATCGTTTATCAAAGCCCATTCATTTAAAAGTAACTTCTCCGAGTTTTTGCAAACATCATACTATTCAAATGCTGATATCACTATCTGGATAAAATTTAATAGAATTAAAAGTTTTAACATAATCAAAAAGATTTTTAAAGTTGGTGCACAATTTAATTAACAATATTCTAGTAACCTATCATAACATGTAGCTATTTTCTTACTGATGTTTTAAAAAATATTATAGCAGCACTATCCTAGATTTCACTCGAATACAAAAAGCATGGAAATAGATTTACTGGTATTAAAAAACATCTAAAAAGGGGGTAAAGTATCTAACGTCATATCAATATATTCTGAATCTACCTATTGTATATTGCATAGGTATCCAGCATGCCACGATTTGCTAGTATACAATATATTGCATTATATTACGAAAAGGACGCAGTAGGGATAGGCTACTGACTAATAAATAGAGGTACAAGATACTAAAAAGCTTTAATGCATTTCTCTATATATATAATCCAGATTTTGGATGCTAAATATCTCATCGAAAGTATAACAGTTGGCATTATTACCTACGATAACATATTAGAGGCTAAAAGAAAACATCAGCTTCGTATTAAATTTTTAAGTAGCCAGTGTATGTACGTGATCGATTGTGCCTGAACTGCATCATAGATATTACAAATCCGCTACAATCTATTTAATGTACCAACTTATAGACTCAAAAATACGGATATTTGTATCTCAGCTATGATTAAATTAAATTTAAGCATTGTTTGTAAAATAGATGAATAATGGCATATTAGTAATTTTAATGGTTACTGATAAAAGGTGAAAATATTAGAGTTTTTACGTCCTTGAAACAGAAGATCTCGTAGGACTAAAACCGAATATATTGATACAAGCTAATTGTATAAATAACTTTGATAAAATCAGAATTTGCAGTAATGCTGCAATAGCTATTATGAATCATTTAAGATACTTTATATTAGATGTTAAGGTAGCATGGTAAGAAGTACATTTCCAGATAGAGTAGCAGTAAAAAAAATCTAAATTTCAATTGAAGCTGTTATTAGCCAACTATAAATCTTGATATGGTACAAAATTCTGATAGTAAAGGCTTTCAAGGGCTTAGAGATATAAATAAGTTTTACTTACATATAAGTAATGTTAATATGAATTTCACTTCATACTGTAATTGGTCTCTAATAAACTTTTTGTAAATCTGAAATTTTTAAAGATATTATAAATCGCCGCTTCTAAGCTTTATTGTCGGATTCTTTAAATACGAATAAAAGTCCTCATAAACTACATCTGATAATAGCTAGAGAGAAAAATGGTTTCGCTACGAAATATTGGAAATATTTTAAAATTGTATAAATAAATGGTATAAAACGTAAAAAATATAGCAGATAATTTTGTTGATGCGCCGTACAAAGTAACCGTTATAAGTTTACATTTCCATATATGATTTTGAAACCTCAGTTTATGGACCTATTTATGAATGTATACTTTTTATAACAGTGTATGAGGTATCATGTTTATAATCCTGACTATCGCAGATAATTTTTGTTTCTGAGGTATTATTGCTATAGTACGTGCAGGGATTACTCGAAAGAAGAGAAAGGGACGGGACACAGCCGAAAGCTGCAAGAATAAGTTGGCTGATCATTTCAAAATACGTTACGGTTGTAACCGTACACCGTACTGTGCAAAACCAACCTGGCATCTAATTTGAAGCACGATTGTGTACAGTATAGGGTACGATTACCGATGGTCAATGCAGTTGCAATGACCAGCAGAAAAGTCGGCCAACTCATCGCTAGTACAGTATAGTCAACGATCGTGTCCTGTCCCTTTCTTTTATTTCGAGTAGTCCCGGGTATGTGATGTTTACCTAATTGATACTTAATATCTTATATTTAAAGATATTCAGAGTTAATGAGTAACAGCATGACGGAATTAAAGAAGTTTCATAGTCTTGTAATAAAGTCGACGACCTATATTAGTGTATTTGAACATTGAAGGAATTAATGATGCGTTACCATACCCTACTACTTGAACAGGTATAACTTTCCCATCTATCTATCACTTATCATGATACTATATATAATATGCTAGGACTATGCCTTAATATCAAAATTAATGATAATAAGAAAAATTTGAGCTAGTATCCAATCGCTATCAATTTTGAGATAATAACCAGCTCAACCGATTTATTCTATTCTCTAGAAGTTATCATATTTTAACTATACTTTTGGTGATTGTTAGTCAAGATAATACACTTATAATTTATGTATATGTCGAATTATGCCTACAGTATTTGCCAGCCTATGAAGAGGCGATCTAGGTATAAAATAGAACCTATTTTGTAAGATGATAACAATCATCTGATTTAAGTTCTCTTTATGATAAATTGGTCAGAGAATTAGATAAAATAGAAAGCTAAATGTGCAGGCAAACTGAACGATTCTATTAGTTAGATGAAGCGCCATATATATGTTAGTTAATTCATTCTGGAGATAACAATCCTTGGTATTCAGTTTTCGTATTATACTGTAGTTTAATACTGTATTATTGCTATCATTTGCTGCATCGCGCATGGTTGTATGGTAGTGTTACTGAAAGGACATCGTAGTTACGATTCTTGGTAAATTCTGTAAACTTTCTTGATTTGCTTGCGAGTAAATCAACGGATCATTTATTTTGATACGGATATAACTATTATTTATTTTCGTGCATGTTTATCGATTATAATTATCATTATTTTTATATAAGATTTCTTAGTGTTAGAATTCTTTGCGTGAAGAAGTTTGAATTTTTGCTGCGCAATTTTACAGTGTTTCCATGACATTTGTAATCACATGACAAATCGGCCGTTTCTATTGGCTATTCATTTCATATGCCTTGTTGGTCATTGTGAATGATTATTATTGAACAATATTCAAATTAAATCGTGCTTCCTTTTATTGGTAAAAGCATTGCAGCGCTACGTAAGAAACCATTATGCGGATATCCTATCAAATCAGTTGACTCCAATTTAATCTACGCAATAGACACTCACAGCTACACAACTAAATATCTTCATACGAATAATCATACATACAGTATATAAAAATAGATACCAGCAACAATATAAATATCCAGAATATTTTCATTAGCGTTAATATTGTGTAAGCATCAGAGACATCACCATCGCTGGGTGCACCATTTCGGTTTCGTTGTTGATGTCCCAGTAAATTTGAAATACGTTTAGCTATCCAAAAGTAAGTCTATGATAACATGTTGAGAATACATGATATCTAATTAATTATATATATAACTGAATAATTTTCCAACATGCATGTCTACATATTAAAATGTTGATTAATACGTACTGGAAATTTGGATATTTTATGAATTAACTATGTGTGAGGTTACACTTTACTTTACCATTGCCGAGATAGGTTTACTGGCTGTACCGTAATAATAATATGATTTAACAGCAGTGAAATATGTTATTACTTAATTACAGTAATGCCTTAATCGGAAATCGCTAGCCCAGGAAGTCGTACAGTAGTTACAGTATTATTCGAATATTTTACGAATAATTTACATACAGTACAGTACTGTAGATGTTTCATTACTATACTGTACTGTACAGTACAGTACAGTACTTTTACAGTTACTAACTGAATACTGAACAGTACTGCACGCTGTACAGTACATACCAGTCTCCTGCATTTGACTAAGATATTTTACCCATTTAAAATTTCTACCAAACTTTTACACTCTACAGTACTGTACTCTGTACAGTATCTACGAATTTAGAAACTCAGTAATACAGTACAGTACTGTACAGTACTGGGCACTGAGTGTACAGTACAGTACAGTACAGTACTGTACAGCACCGTAAAGAGAAATCGAAAGTCAATAGTTAGACGTAGCAACTAGTACAGTACAGTACTGTACTGCAGTATTATATTAGTATACTGTAGCACATGTTCAATCGGTCTTCCAGTGATTTGATTGTATCACATTTTCGTAAATAAAGGAAATAAATTGATAGTAAATAATGATTGCACATATGTAACTACTGTATACAGTACGTCTATGCGACTATAAAATCATGCTGGTGTTCTGATCTAGTGGTAAATAGTGCCTAATACCAATATTATAATCATAACGAACAGTTTTAAAACACCAAAATTTATATTAATTATTAAAGCTCCGGAAATAGATAGCGAAAATTGTTTTCCAGTACACAGTTCAATACTACATTTTGCTGTGTCGGTGCAATAAAATTGATTGATCTTGATCTTAAAATAACTGTCGTAAATCAAGGAAACGAGCGCAATCGTTTTCATCTTATCTCAAGAAGTCATTTGATTTAATGATTAATTTAGGTGATTCCTGAAGTATTCGAATTTAAAATTGGATTTGTTTGTGGCAGCTTTAAATTGAGTTAACGTTCTAAAATTTCCTCTTCCTACCGAAAATAGAATAGTGGTTAGTTATAAAAGTATATAGCTTGACATTGTGAAGATAGCACGGTACTATCATACGACAAATACGTAAAATACCCTACATACTAACAGGCATAGCGTAATAGTTTGAATCAGCGACAAAATTCAAGGATAGAGATACTAAAGAACAATGTTCTAGGTGCTAATTACTACCTTCATTCTTAATTTTAAGTCATTTTTAGCAGGTATAAGCCGCGTTATCTCCGAATAAACAAATGCAGTTCAACAGTTTCAGGTTCTACTTTAAATGCTTTATTCAGTTGTACTCGTATTTTCGATTAGGAATTCATAGGTGATTTTCAGATAACATTTTCATCTAATTAATAAGCGTATTAAAGGTACGATACTAAGGTGAATCAACGAACAGGATTCTCTGCAGATAAATTTTACGCACAAAATCAGGGTTACGATTACTTTACCGTATCTTAAACGTGCAAGTATTAGCTTACGTAAATAATTTTTGAGGATTGAGCGCATCAACTGAGAAGCTACTAAACGCTAATACGTAGTACATTACGAATCGCAATCTAAACAATTCGGCTGACGTTCAGTATTGGGATCTAGAATTTGCGCTCATATGTGAGACAAAACCTGGACAAAATTCTTAAGCTCGTCAGGTATTGGCACGAAGTTGACTTAATATTAGAGGCAAGTAAATAAGAAAGTATTACTAGCTATTATTTTCAAATATAGTAAATAGTAATAATATGATTGCACTATCTAGCAAGTAACAAAGTTATTGTTTGGGTAGTTAATATTGTATGTTATATTTTCTATTATAAAGTGTAGTATACACTGTTAAATCTTTAATCAATATAATGACGCAACCTAACATATAGATCCCTGTAAAGAAGATATACCTTTTTATTTTATGAGCTCGACCTTATACTGTATACCAGCTCACTGACTGTTCGTACCGTACAGTTAGTAACACATAATACCAGATATTTACGCTTATCTACTCGCGCGGTACTGTACCACATCACCTGGTAACTCTACTGTACTGTACTATAGTGCAATGAATATTTCATCCGCTACACGTAGCATGCATACACTGATTAAATAATTATAATTGATCAATTTTATATCAAACTACATATGAATAATGAATATTTTGTTTTTATTAACTTAATATTAAATTATAGAATCATTACTCTTCATGTATCTGCAATGTTTGGCCGTCGAAAGCGAAGACACGTAAAACATAGGTGGGTGATAAGATAGCTAGCTCAAATGCGTAATTTTTACAAATCAATGTAGTGCCGTACTCTATAGCACTAGTATGAACTACAGTATACATATAATTTGCAGTCCATGACAGTAGATTGTTCTAGATTAGAAAATAACTATTGGTCCATTGCTGTTAATTTCTTCAATTACTTCCTTAAGTATTTGTCTAGGGTTATTATATTGGTTATGACCTTTGAAGTACAGTAAATGCTATCACAATAGGTCGTAGTAGATATGCAACGACAAATGTTGCAACATTACCAAATACAGTATCTTTACGTAACGTTACCATTGCTAATCTATATGATCGGAGTTGCCTTAAATAAATTATTTTTATCAATATGTAGCATATTAGCTTCAACAAATCCGTCAAAACGCCATCGGGATAAACTTAACTGCGAATTAGATAATCTAACCAAGTTATTACCTTGTAATAATGGCAAAATTGCAAAACTGGACAAATTGTCAATTCTTCGGCTATCAGTTAGTTATCTCAGAGCGAAGACTTTGCTAAAACGTAAGTCATAAAAAGTAACAGATGAATACATTATTTATGTGCACTGTTAAGATATAAATTTTGATACCATATTGTGCAACCTCATAATATTATACGATACCAATTATGAAATTACTATTCCTTTAATAAGAATTCTTATCGTGATGCTTTGTTGACGCAAATTTTAAATATTTAACCTTAGTATTTTCGCTTAAGCTTGCATTTTTAGATTTTACAATTATGCATATTCATATTTTAGTGTGCTAAATCGTTTTAGCACGATAGTACATATACGAGCATAGCACTACAAGATGCATATAATTTCATATAATAAAAAAATTCTCGTACGTATTTCAGTATGTAGCTCATATTCAACAAATGCACTATACCATATCTATAGTAGTCAATATATGAAATGCGACACAGTTAATAAATAAAAAATACATTAGTACTTATGCTGACGGTAAATACAAATAATCATTTTCAAATAGTTAAAATCAAAAATTTTGTAATGCTTCCGAATAAAACCATACTGTGTTTAATTACTGTTGTTATCATAAGATGATCGAGTTTCTCCAGCTAAGAGCCCAAAAATTAGTTGTTGTCCTAGACTGTAAACGCTGGCAGCTCATAAACGCTACTATGTAGATCGAATTCCATTAAATTAAAATAAAAACAAATACTGACACTCAAGGGTGTACCGTAAGTTTAAAAGCGTACTTAATATATATCTACGTAATTGCTGTATATTCCTGATTTCACCGGACATAGCGATCGCAGTTTCTTGAAAAATTTTAAAAGTATATAAATATATGGGTATATACCTTATATAAAATAGCTTTATAATTTATGGAATGTTCGTAATATTTCATAAAGGATTTAGACTGTATGCAAAGTTTTAAATCCAAATATTAATTACTTACAAGGTGTGAATCAAATTGCAGATATTAGCGCGGATTCAGGAGGTGAAGGCAGTACGAGCAGTAGTTCAGAAAGTAGCTCATGCAGCTCATATCAAAATAGTACGAATAGCTCGAGTAAATCCTCTAGTGGTTTACCGGAAGGAGAATTATTGATGGAGGTTATAAATTTTAATATGCTTATTATAAAATAAAAGCCAGTATGACGTGATCAGTTTCGTGTTTTAATTAACTTTGATAAAGACATATAATAATTTTATATACTATATATATGAGCTATCGAATATTGTTACGGTCAACAATATATTGTGTAGTACACGCAGAATAGCTTGCTACTCGTTATAATATATGATTTGCTAAATAACACTAATTTCAGATCTTAATTAATCTTATTAGGCACTCAACGGGTTTATAATTCTAGTAACAGTAGACGGTGAAATATTTTTTGTTTCATCATCTGTTTCAAAATTTTTAGGTTTAAATCAGGCAAGTATAAATATTTAAATTATTGTATGATTAAATTTGCTGTTTGTAAGCGCTTTTAAACTTATCGTAAGTAATCAGGATTTGCTTTTACTTAACATTTAAAATCTAAGGTTGATATTATGCATCACAGTATCTATGACTATTTGCACCATAAAGACAGTCCAATGTTTCAAAATCAACTTTTAGCAGCATGTCAACATGCTCAAATTCACCATAATAATCATCGCGTAAGTTAGCAGTTGAAATTACAACATGTAGCAACTGAGGTGTATGATTAATTGCCCTCGATTAATTTTATATTTATTTGTTACGGATTGGAATTTCATTTATTAGACAAATCGAATTACGAACTCACGCAATTTATCGAGGCGCATACTCATTTACAGTACGTTCGGCATTAATATCTAGTGATCCTATAATGTATAGCAATTACAACAGTAAAAATTATGTCATTAATTGAACTATGTGTCATAATCAATCTAGGAAATACTACCATATTTTCTTGCGTTTGTCAAATGAAATGTGTCTTACCTTCACGAAATGATTATAAGGTGTATCTGCGTTACAGAATCTCATAATTTGTATCTGGTAGTACTTACTTCGCTATTTCTTGGTAATTATTGGAATAAATTGAGTTTGCATTTTATGTTTTTAGGCAATTCATATTCATGGAAAAATAAAAAAGCTATATACCGAAAATAAATGGACGCTATTTGCTACATGCACTGCCATAATGCCTGATTCCTTATCGATTGGGCTTTATCCGAAAAACGTTATCTTTCAATCCAAACATACAATTGACTTTACTTTTCTTGAAGTAGATGATATGTAAGTGACATAATTTAAATATGTAATTAATATTATAGTTTGTTTTAAAATTTTTACATTAATTTCGTCCGTATGCAATCATTAACTGTGAGATTTAGTGTACTCATGTGCTTCTCTACGAAGGTTAATGAAAGTCTTAGGATTCACTAGAAAGGAGCTGATAGGCACTTCTGCCTATAAATTGATTCATCAAGGAGATGTCAATTACATTGCTCAGAAACACGTTAATGGTGAGTTTCTTTTTAATTTTCTCTTTTACATTGATGTCTTGCGTACTTAATTTTGGACAGATTTGTTCAAATTAAATAATATTTGATCTTGGATCACAATCCAAGAATTATACTCACAATTTCCGCAGTCTTTAAAAAATCATTAGGTGAAGCTCGAAGTGGTACATTTCGCTTGTTAACAAAATCACAACATTGGATATGGGTCCATGGTACTGCAAGATGTGTATTCAAGAAATCAACTTTAGATAGTTTGATGGTGACATATCGTGTTGTCAGGTTCGATACAAAATAATATTACAGATTATTATAGTAATTACTTAAAATAACAACACGACTCAAACAAATGGAATTAATTTTATGAAGATATCATTTTTCTATTAGCACCTTTGATTTTATCTTGATTAAATAGTAATTTAAAGTTTAAAACGTGCTTACTTCGTCAAAATCATAGCCAATGTTGTGATAATTGATTAAACTTACATAAACTATTTTCTTATTATATCTCAGTGATCTAGAGGGGGAAGAGAGCCTGAAAAAAAGACCTGAATCGTCAGAATATCAAATAAATGGTTGTGCAATGCTTTGTTGTGAAAAGAGCATGAGTAATAATTCAAGACAGTATGAAAACGGACGTTCAAATATTCTTTCAGGAATAAGAAATTTCGATAATTCAGATTTAACGCAACATATTAGCAACATTGTAGCGAACACATTAATCGACAATCAGAACTGCGATAATACAATATTATTCGAACAACAATATTTCCTTGATGATTGTAATAATGATGTTTTCATGGGTTCGTCTTCCTTCCTTGCAGGCAATTTGTTGAATAAACGTTACAGTATTCCTAGCCGACAATCATCTAGCAATCGCCTAGCGGGAGAGCATGACGGATCTCAACAAGCGAATATCAAGTTTAGCTAGTCATCATCGATCAGGATCAACTCAAGCCATGAAGATAAGCCCGTAACTTACAGGGTAAAGAGTATTTACTCCGAAAGTCATACCATATGGATGATAATATTTCAACAAGATAAGGCAAACGAAAGCAAGCTACGTAAAGAATGGAGTATTTTATTACAATAACTGTCGTAATTTTACTAAATATCAGATATTACTATATAACTTGTAATGGAGTTATACTCCATCTTGTATACGAGAACTTATTTAGAATATTTGTAAACTACTATAAGTTGTGGATAACATAGGTTACTACAGGTTGAAACAGTATATTAATTATGAGATATGCTGATAACATTGTTTCCTTTCTATACTATGTTCTGTTGTAGTCCCTGATTTCATTTGTGTAGCTGCATAATGTAGTAGAATTGTAATTGAACATAGTAAAAAATAGAGAATTAGTATTGGATTGCGGTATAAGTGTAACTTAAATCAATTATTACTTTACATTGTATAGTATACATACACACATATACATATACAGTATACTGTAGTAATATTACCTATAAAAATAGTGAACATGGATGGTAATTTTCAATTCGTTACAGTACAATTGACGCTAACATTCTACAATTTTATAACGTATCGTATTGTGCGTTTTTATTGAGGTTTAGATGATGGCACACGTTTTTGTAAATATAAAATAAAGGACTGATGCTCCGAGGGGGGAAGAGATTAGATAACGTGTGTTAATTCATTTGCTATTAGCGTCGGTGTCGCTCTTCTAAATAATATAATTAGTCCATGAATGGCCCATGGCCAGCTGAACTTTTTCTGAAAGTTTTTCGATCATTGCTGCAACAAAGCCTCGCATGTTTACAAGTGCGATTTACCTTTAGACTATAATTATTTAACATTTATTATTAAATACTGGTTATTAATTATGACCTACTGTGGGTTAGGATAATTTACGTTTGGAGTATATGGTATGTCGTAAACTGTAGTTATGATGATATTCCGTTTGTTGCACACTAAATTGCTAGTGTTTGTGTAATAAAATGAAATGATTACTTTTAGATTAGGACATAGAGGATAAGAGCTTCTATTGATGCGCTAGATAAGGTAGTGGTAGTGTATACTATACACGCATATCTTGAATACGGAAATTAATAACTAGACAAAAGGAAGCGGAGAAATTAGAATAAAGGTAAGACTATCTAGTGGAGACCAAATGTCTTGAGTTCTATATGTCGTAATCAGTGACCAGAACATTATTGTCTCTACAGTGTGTTAAATGTATAATTACACTGACTGTACTGTACAGCAGCCACATTCCTAAGTTCTGTATTGATGGAATGTTACCACATATTGATCAATACTCTTAGCAAGACCGTACAATAGCAATACAGTACTTATATACATCATATATCCAGCTTATGATGAGGAATAGAAGAGTCCAGAGTATGGCTATTTCGAGGGGGCTAAATCCGAATTTATCGCCAGAACTGGCTATATTCGAACGTTTTTTCGGGAATGTATAAATAAAATAAATTTTCTTGAAGATAAATCAAATTTTTATCGACAATAGAGTTTGTATGATAGTACAGCAGTCCTCCTTTACACAGTACTGTACTCAGCTGCCTTTTACCATTCTCAACAACGATGTTTCGTTAATTACACAGTGTACTGTACAGTACTGTACTGGAAGTACAGTATGTACTGTAGGGGTGACTTTGTAAAGGTTATACAGTACTGTACTGTCAGGGAATTCTAAGACTAATACTAAGGTAAGTGTTAGAAGTCTCTGGTACTGTACTGTACTGTACAGTGTACAGTACTGTACTGTAATCTACGGTACAATGTCATCATGCATCATAACTACTGTACCGTACTGTCCGTACTGTACACTGTACACTGTACAGGACAGCACTTGGACTGAAACGTACAGTACAGTACAATACAAATACGACTACTGTACAGTACTGTACACTCAGTGTAATGAATACAACATTTTTAAAAGTTCGTTAGTGAGCTGAACTGGGAGAACGCATCTTATTATGGCGAACGACGAAGATACAGAGTTGCGCGACTTGGTCGCACAAATTTTAGAACGAAAAGGAGTCCTAGGGAAAATAAGGGTAAACTTGAACAATTTAAGGTTATGGAGATATACTTTAAGGATTAATACTAAGAATTCGTGCGTACTCGTATACATTGTATCTGTTATTATAGGCGCAAATGAGAGCAAATGTATTTCTAGCATTGGAGGAACATGACAGCAAGGAAGTCAGTCAAATAAATATTACCGGTTTACAATAATTTAAGGCCTCTACATTGCGATAAAATATTTATTTCAAGAAGGGAATTTTTCCCTCTCTGTTAAATCAAAGACAATGTCTACTGTATTTTGATTGTATGATAGTATAACTGTACGTGCTTCCAAGGGTCGTACGAGTACATGCTACCATACAGTATTATACTGTACGTATATTGTGTTTTAAAGATTAGAACTAAATGTAAACTTCGTATATCGTATAATTTACAGTACATGGTATTTAACCAAGTAACGCTTTATTCATCTAGAATCAGTCTCGAAGTGTTAACCCCAAATTGCGAAGTTTTCTATCAACAGCTGATGGTGTGTAAAATTATAGGCTACAAAGTCACTGCATACTAATTTAATTTAATTTATTTACTAAATCCGACACTATTACTGCTGTATTCATTCTACACTTTTCATACTACTGCACACCTAAATTTTTGAGTCCAGTGTGAGTTCAACCGCTTTTAATCGACTTTATAATGTTCTCATTTCATACCTTATCCAGTCGCTATACTAAGTCACACTAAAATCATTTCATCTCTTATAGGTAGACTTACCTTCCAATTAGTTCGTGAATTATTCGATTTTTTTGAATTGGAGTATACTCAGATAGTTTTGCAACCGGAAGCCAATTTAGTAAGTCACAGCATATCAATAAATTTTCAACAGCATAGGATTTTAAGCTGAATGGGAATCGATTTATTTTTTCTTTCAATCTGCATTGAAATTAGACCGAACAACACTTTAGTAGCCGAGAGATGATCGCTCGAGAATTAAATATTATTGACAGTGAGCCTTCCTCTGAGCCCTTGATAACGAAGGTCATCAGACGAATACCTGAATCACCTATTTCACCTAAACGAACCAGTTCTATTACTGACGTATGTATGATTATATATTAGAAGACTTCATGATTTATATCCGAATGTAGATATATGGGTGTTATTGTAACAATATAATTGATGTGCTGATTGCAGGGTTTTACAAACAGTAAAACAATATTATACAGTAATGCACATCCAGTTAGAATTAGACACGGTAATATTAAGGCTATAGCTATAACCTTATCTGTTTAGGATCTTTCAATGGATCAAATTGCAGATGCTAGGAGAAGATTCGAACACTACGATAAGGCAATAAAAGAATTAATATTTTATGTGTATGATTTTACCATAATTTAAATTATTTATAAATGTCGTATACTTACGCCAGAGAGGCTGCGCCCCAATTGTAGATATGATTTCGTTACATTTATATTATAGATGTGTGATATCATCACGTACTATCAAGAAGCTGTTTGCTCTTTTTCAATACATAATAAAATACTTAGCATTTATTATCTGTTACGCTAACGATAAAGTAATTTTCCAATGATGACAGGACGGAAGTGGATCAATTGATAAAAACGAATTGCGTTCACTATTTGTAGACCTCTTTCCTCATTTTAACAGGTTAGCAGAAAATATTAATTTGTATATTTCATGATTACCCTGCATAATCTACTTCATTTAACTTTTAAAATGTTTTTCATTACAAAATGAATTTCAGTCACATGTTGGAGAGATATGTTTCTGACGAATTCACGGCAACCGATAACGATTTTAGTAGCTGTATGTTGCTTTAAATGTATTATTGCATGCAGCTGTAGTTGGTTAATAATATAATTATAATCTTAATACTAACCATAAAGTAATTTGGACATATTTCTCTTTCTTGAACTTTTCTTGTTGGATTAAAATTTATCCGTTTTTCTGACTTGAATATTTACAGCTATAGAATTTAACGAATTTTTAAGTATGTACAAAAGGCTGTTTATACTATGCAAAGCTAAGGTTGGTTATATGGACTTTGACTTTGCTTTATGATTCATCTGACCCAATTCTTCATAATATTTGAAAGATATCGCAAGACGTTGCAGATATAGTTGGGCCATTATCACCAAACAAGGGTCGCTTTGGGATGTTAGAAATGGGCGTAGAGGTAGGTTTTACTGCAAGTGCTGCGTAATATCTTTACGAATGTTAAGTCATTAGAAGTGAAGCAGCTAAATATGATGTAAATTTTTTTAATGGATATCCAATCTTGCAATAAATTACTTATAAATCAAGAAACAGAAATCCCTTGATAACGCTAAAATGCCTAATGAAACGAGTCGTATGCATGATGAAGTAGTTGCACCTGGGATTAGTAACAAAGGAGAAGCTGAATTTATTTCCAAAGATCCCCCAAGTTCAAGGTAATTCGATTTTGCATGATATTGGCATTGCAAATATACATGATTGATATGAGGTCATTGTAATTAAATTTACACTTTGATTTTTCATACACAGCGAAGAATCTGGCACTAAGAGAAGTAAAGTTTAAGCATATCCAATTGATCCTTCGTAATATGTTCATACGTAATGTGTTCAATACGATGATATTAAAGGTGATACCCATGAATATGAAGAGCCCGCTATTGATGGTAAGAGCAGAAATGCTGGCTCTGCGTTTACGCTGCCTGCGCTACCTACGAAAAATAATCAAGTTGGAGGTTTGTATATCTACTAGTTGTATTAGTGTAGTAGCAATTCTTCGGAGATATATCATTAAATCCGTGATTATATGTACCTATATTCACATATCTATGTAACAGAGGTAAATGCTGATTGGTCTGACTTATCTGATATAGACAGAAAAATCAACCAACTCGGATTTGGTAGGTGACGATTTATATTTATTACTTAGTTTCGAAAACTACCTTCAAGTTAATCTGATTTCATATCCATGTAGATGTCCCGAATGACGGAGATGATTATGAAGATGATTTCGTTCCTTCCAGGTACTGAATTGTGTAGTTATAGTATCGATTGATGCTGACACGCATGTATCGACGGTATTAAAAGGTATCTTCATATTTTAGTTCGAATACAAGTAAGTCCCTTGAAGATAATAGTATCGCTGAAGAAATTGAAGAAGATATCACGGAAGGCAGTCAAGACAGTAAAGTTAGTGGTGATTGTAATCAACCTGATGTACAGATTACTGCATTGTTCGTTATTTTGATTATATATATGCGATGTCAAATTTGTCATAGCATGCCAACGATAGTGAATACCTCACAGCACATGATGCTTCGTTTGCTAGAAAGTTGAAGTAGATTAACGATGGGATGACGTTGTAATCAATTTGACTCTTTACTTTGTAGAATATTTCAACTACGGATCAAACAGTTACTCCTACACCAGATGACCTAGATTATATGGAGAGCGCCATTTTATCTAATTAGAAAGCATTTGAATCAGTTGTGTCTGTTATCAACTGAACTGTAAACTAGTACGAGACGTTATACATATAGCCCAAATGGTTTCGGAATTACATCGTTTTTTGTAAATTTTGGTGTAAACTTATTGTAATAAATTTCGAGTTCACTTGAGAAGCAGTTCTTGTTATTATAATTATTGTTGAACTGCTAAGATTATCCTTAATTTTATATGATTTATAGAATCATATTTATCAAGTAGTTTATATCCTTCGAATTGTCTGCATGGATTATTATTTTCATTTTTTAATAGAAATTGTTTTCAATAGATAAACTGTAATACTGTAATAGAATTGTTTATCTCATTACCTCAGCTGTTAGGTTATTTTTCGATTTTCATCTGATGGACAACATTCTAATTTGTCGATAGCAGTTTTCTCTGATTGTTATTAGGTGCACATGCAAATACTCTTATACTAGTAGTTCGCCTTCTTTGGGTGATATTTATTATTCATACCTAACAAACCGTGTATCAGAAATGCATTTTTTGATGAACAAATATGGTATCCATCATATAAGTTCTTGGGTATATTGAAAACAATTAGCGACTGTTCGGCATTACTAATACCTAATGTTGAAGCTGGAAATTAGTGATTGAGGAAACCATACGTATAATTATTGTAAATGTTTGTATTTGTTATCGATAATAAAGCATTTGCTAGTAGAATCAACAGTTTCTAGAAATAAAGCTTTTACACATTTATGGACCTAACTACCGAAACCCGGCTTCTGATACGTACTTTAAATGATTAGAAACAATTAGTTTTACCAGTTCTACGGGTATTAAGGACTACTTTATTTTAGATTTTAGGTTGTGTAGTCTCTGATAGAGTGTTCAAATCATGGAGTATAATTTCTTTCCATAATTATAATGGCACACGTTAGATTGTACGTTTTATTTCATGCATAAGTAACGAAAAATAGTTACCCCATATCCGGATTTTAATATAATACTAGCATGAATCTGCTACAATGACGAAGATATTACACACCGTTGATGGCATTGTATAATACTAGTTGATAGAACACAGTATACGCATTCTCTGGCTATTGGGGTCAATAATAAGGAAGAAATTATAGATAGATTCTTGCTTAAAGATCATAATTACCTGATTCTTTCAACCGAGTTTAGAATGAAAGGCATCAATTTCTATCCTCAATTTAGTTATTTTTTCATAAGCAAAAAACATTCAGTACTACATGCTATCTTGTGACCGAGAATTGGTTGCATTTTAATAGTGAAATCTGCAATAGAGTTATAATACTGTATACCATTACGAAATGGATTTTATGACCATATTATAACAATCGTACTTCAATAACGTCACTTAATAGTTTATATCGTATCGGCAGCAATATTACTGTAGTAAAACTAATTAGGGTTTTAATTATTGTAATAATAACACCTTAATAGTTGAAGTAATAATAAAATTAATAATAATACATCATGATAACTGTAAGACAGAAAATGAAATATCGGTGATAATATTACCCTAATGCATATTGAATATAACATTGCAAACATGTGTTAACTTTATTCTTAAAGGTCAAAAATACTCCAACATACGAGTAAGTAGACGTCAACAGAAGCAACAGTGCAAAAAAAATTGCGCTCAATCTGACATCATATCTATTAGATTAAACTATTTTAGTAATAGATAATACAAGCCCTCTCTGATTTCATGCGCGTCGGTTTGTACTGTATAAATATTTAATAATATTAAATTATCATGAAATATAGAAATCAAATACGTAAACGAGAATAAGAATAGTGATAGTTAAAGGAGCATCATGAAAATCTCATAACTAACAGGTTATAGGCTAAACGCTGGTATTACCCTGATGAATTGCATGTGGCTGATGTTAGAGTAATACCAGATGACGTAAACCATACCCGAAGTGAATTTTATTGTGAAAAATTTTCAAAAGGTATGTGAATAAAACTGAATTAAGGGTATCGTACCTATCGATAATTTAGCACTTTCAAAAGTGATTCAAGTGAATTAGTTGCTATCAGAATTAGCAATGCCGTTACTAGCTTCTTGATTTGGTTTGGGATCTTTGCGATGTTGTGGCGGAATCATATGTATTGGCAGTTTATCGGGTAAATCATGCCCATCTAATTTTACTTGTATTAAATGCATGACTAACGTGAATTCGTCAACATCAAGTTGATCATCACGATCGATATCCGCCAAGGCCCAGATACGGCCTAACACATTGTTAGGCAATTTAGATTTCAACATTTCACCCTTAGCAGCCACAGAACTGATTTGACCGTTAACAGGCTGCAGTGATTCAAATATTGGTTCGTACTTAAGTTTATCATGTATTAAAGACCAACGTGCTGAGCGATCTTGGTTACCACCTGCCAATGAAGATCTAAAGGGACCGTATGCTAAGCCAGAGAAAGCACCACCGCGCACAGTTCTTTCAAATTCGGGTGCTTCATCGCCTGGCATAATTTCCATTAATTTAGGTATTTCATTCCGTAGCATATTGTTAATGTTTTCGATAGCTTTAACCTTCATAGCTGGTATTTTAGACCAATCAAAAACTCGTAATTTTTCCTTATACTCGTTAATATCAGGAAAATCACCTGGCGGAATATTATACTCCTGTTGAACAATTTTATAGACTTCAGGCAACATATTTAATAAGGCTTCTTTCTTAAGGTGGCGGCCAAAAACTGTAGGTATCTTTTTTTTTAACTCGCATAAAATGAAAGCATGTATCTTCGCCAGTCGGGCCCGTTTAATCAAGTCATTTAGCTTGCGTAAAGCAGTATTACGCGGTAGGCTTTGAATGTCCTCAAATAGATCTAATTGTTCAGCTTCGAACAATTTGCGATTAGCTTCATGTTGTAGTGGTTGATCCCAAAAGCTGCCGATATAGACTCGTGCTACTTCAGGTGTATTAATGACTTTACCTAGAGACCACATTAGAGCGCCATAAACTCGCATTAGTTGCTGATAATCGACCATATCGGATTTATTTAACACGATACGGATTTTGTGATCGTTTTTACCCAGCGCTTTAATACAACGATGAAATTCGTCTGAAATATCTAGTTTGTGAGCATCGAAAAGCAAGATAATGCGATCTACACGTTCAGCAAACCAACCAAGAACTGCAGCAAAATCATAGCCACGAGCATTGCGTTGCTTTTCACCAGATAATATACCAGGTGTATCGATAATACTTAGGCTGGAGATAACTGGATTATCCATTTCAGCACTGACAAATCGGCTGAGAAATGATGTTCCGTAGCGACCTAATCCACGAAATTGTTTGCGTGGATCAGCCACTAAAGCGTTACCAGGCACAATACGATCACCATCACCACTCATGACAGCAACAAAACTATCAGTAGTAGGTTCCGGCCCAATTCTCATTCCTGGATAGTCTCTTTCAAGTAAATATCTGATGAAGGTAGTTTTACCAGTTGAGTATTGTCCGACTAATAATACCATTGGTTTAGCTTCAAAATCGCACGGATCAATTGGAGGTGAAAAGAACTCAGAATAGAAGTAGTAATCTTCAAGCGGGCGTATATTTTCTTTATATAACCCTTGTAGCCCTTCGACAACGCTGTTATATTTCTTTCCGACGTCTTTACGCCTTGATGAGCTATTGATGAAACTGAACATGCTGTTTTTTTTTAATAGTAACCTACATTGTAGACAAGTATCGAGAAACAGAAAAGAAGGATATAATAATTCACTTAACTAAATCGTTAAATAAAATAAGTGAAATCATTTATGGTTATTGATCATTAATGATTTAAGGATTGATTGAAATACTTTTCATCTTATTATGGAATTAAACACTAAGTTGGATTTATTTACTGTAACATTTTCGAATAGATAAAATTGAAACGTTAAATTCTTACCTGTTATCGTCTAAAGCTTTTCGCTCCCGTTTCGTTGACTTATAATCCTCGCCTTAGGATGACGCGTAAAGTGTAAAGTATGACTCTCCACGTCTTAGCATATGGTAGGTAACATGAACATGATCATCGTTTTGTAATTGGATATTATATTTTGAAGCATATTGACCATTAAATAAAACCATCCAATGTTACGCCTCTAAATAGCGTGCTATTTTAATTGTAGTATTATTTAACCATACGCTTAAAATCATTTCAATAGGATTACTTAGAAATTTTCCTTTCATTCCAAACCGATTAGCAACTATATAAGGAATATGGAAATATTTATAGGCTACTTACTACCTGTAAGCATATTAAATCGCAGGTTTGGGATCTATCTATGCATGTAATCGTACATATACGTAAATGCAAGATACACCTTTGACCGGTCCACACAGATGTACACTTTGATAGCATGATTCTCAATACATGACCGCAGACTTTATTTATAGGCCATAGATTTATTTATTTTGATGGATGCTGTCATAAAGATTGGGCGTTTTAGCGTAATACCAACATTGCTTTCACTATAAAAGCATGGCAAGACTTTTTTACGCTTTCAGTCATACATTCTGTGTCTTTAGCTGAGTCATACTCTATAAATTATAGGCCTACCAAAGAATTTATTTAGCGTTTCATAAAGTACCGACGGTTTCCATAATTTTATTATGCTAATTTTGTATAATTGGGTTTTCATGTACGTGAATTGTGGTATGAACTTAATTTAATGTAATCTTATAGGTTAAATCGTTTTTGCTCGGAAGATTAGCCATTAGCTACTGACGGTTGTTATAACAAAACAGAAGAAGTACCGTTTATTCGATTAAATTGTAATATTATTATTGAAAAAAGCTTATCTAATGTTAGCTATATTTATTGATAAAATTTCAATCCTAGAATTAATCAAATCATGTCTCGTTAATTACGGTTAACAAGTACGGTTTTCTGAAATTCTTTCATCCATTTAATGCATTACATTTTAAGATTCTTACTGAAGCGATAGCTACCAAAATGATTAAGTTTGCTAATATAAAAAATGTTAATTATTTTATATGAAACTGTTCTTGGTATACGATATCAAAAAAATTGAGGTAACTATAGCAAATGTTACGTTGTGGTGATTTAATAAAGAGTTGACAATTACCATAGTAATATAATGTAGTGTATTTGGATTGTACTGTAACTGTAATCTACTCTTAAACATAGACATTTTGTATTGCGATTAAATACAGACACATTTACAGTCTGTTCACTCTACATTCAAATATGGCTTACTACATTTAGTTGTTACAGTCTTCGCTATTTTCTACAATCATCTACTATTCTATAACCTGTTATGGTATATGTTGCATCTAATCTTACAATCATGTTCTCTGCATGTGTTCTAATGCTATAGCTATAAATACCGCCGTTTTCTACCTTAGATTTCTTAAGTTGCATTATTAGTCACAGTTAGTATTCACACTTTACTCACGTTAGCTACCACACTGATCTACCGTAATTATCACGTTGTACCTAACTACTATCTATAATAAAGTATCCTCTTTTCTTAAGCTCCTTGTGCAATTCTCTGCATGGCAACTAAAACCACATTATCATACTCTTCGAACCTCCATCACATATAACAACCGTTATAGTTATACTTTCTGTACTAAATCGGTAAGAAATACGTAACTGTCAAAGTTATATTATACCATATTGAACATGAGCTGCCTTTATACGTATTCTCAGATCTTTAAAGTCTAAAGCTTTAGATTTAGGTGTAACAGGAATAGTTTTACACAACTTCAAGAAGAATCGAAGATAGACTTAGTAATTTCATAGAAACTCTCGACGGGAATACTGTAATGTTGTTATCGGGTTAGGAATTCCTCCAATACATTTCAAGGCTTACAAGTACCGGTGCTATTGAAATCTCTGTGTAAATATCGGTGAAATTGCCGTCGTTACATGTAATTAATGTGGTTTGTCATCATCTTAAGAAAATTTTGAAATCTTAATTGTATGACAATACATCGCTACTCATTCTCACATGTATTGTATATCCACAGTAAAGCGAATACTTTGAAATATAAGCGTCATGGCAATCCGACACTTTTTATTTAAAAAAGTCTATTGCTATTAAAGTTACGTATCGGTATTGCATTCGAACATTAAAAACGGTACTGCTATCTTTCACTTTGTTGCCGAATTACAAAATTTTCTGAATTAAATATTTTGAATTCAAAAATAGCGTAAGGATAGGTTTCAGTTTGCGCTTATTTAAGCAAAGATATTTCAAATTTATCAACTTGTGGGAGATTTAGGATTATTACCATATGTACACATGCTGTATTCTAAAAGATATAATTGTTAAATAAGTCTGCGACTAGTGGAAATAATCAAAGCATTGCTAATAATTTACTAAAGACTTCATTTTTAGAGATTAGGATGATAGTTTTATCGCATGTATTTATCTAATTTAAGAATAGGAAAGCAATCTTATACATATTGGGTTATCCTACGTGTTGCAACATCCATAGCTCGTTGTTTTAGCAGCTCATCTTACAGGAAGGGTAAGAATGGACCTTGATTAACACAATTCAAACATTTTATAATAATTGACCAAAAATTCTGCTAGATATTTGCTATACTACGAACATACGGCAATGAGTAGTATGGTGGCATACAAACTTTTCATAGCTAAAACTCTCTGCCCGTTGCATAAGAGTTCGTTCATCGATTACCATTTACTTGCTACATTTACGTAATCGTTTATGATTGCGATGGTGCAACGAAGCAATGCGGTATATCGTTGGAATGCGTTATCACAGTACATAAGTCAGCGGGCAATGTCTAAGAAATTAACTATAAGTATACAGTATTACGTTAAGCAAACACTTATAAAATGATAATTAATGATAATAATCACTCTCGAAGGGAAATGATTAGATAAATAGTATTAAATTTATTAAGAATAGAGGAAAGTATTTCACCAAAATAACACGAGCGTCTGTTGCTCTATGTGTAATATTACGAATCCGATTTATTTTTGACATTAGCTGCGCTAACATTAGTTGATAATTGAGTTTTTGTCATATAACATATAGTAAAGACATTAAATGAAGTTACAATAACAGTAGTGCAATCTGAAGGAAACCCCCTAAAAGACTCTAAAAAGTGAAGGCTTAAGTTTGTATTGTAACAAAGGCATTAAATCAATATATAGCAGTTTGAATACACCGTTAATACTGGCAATGCTGAAAAATGAAAATTTAAATTAAAAGCTAATAGCTATTAATAGAATTTAATTATCGTCGCTTCTAATCATAATTATGGTGTTCTGTTTCAATCTAACAGCACAAAATAAAGGAGAAATCATAGCCTGAAAGCTTATGATGAAGTTAAATAACGCTTGTTTATAATGATTTTTATCAAATAGACTATTCTACTAGGTTTATATAATTTCTTGATTTGGAATGTAACTATGAGATGATGCAAAGAAAGCGAAGATGAAATACTTTGGATAGATTTTTTAATAATCACCTCTAAAGTCTAGTACCACCGAATAGTGATTAGGCCATGATACGATACCTAAGTTAAAAATCAGTTGAGATATAATAATCATGTCCTTCTGTTATGTAATATATATTCATCATTAGTTTCCGTGGAATGTAACAGTATAATATACATGTTGATACAACGGTATTACTATATGATGGCAATATCAATATTTATAACCGTATTATAACAAAATCAATAAATCTACTCAAGATTAGCTTTTACTTATGTCATAATAAAATACTTGGTACTTGAAGTACATCGGACTGAATAAAAAGTTAAGATAGTAATCTTACTAATTTATCTGCAGTGTATACAGAATAGCGACAATTGAAATTGAATAAAAAAGCACACAAGTACATGTTGAAATAGAGCTATTAGTAGTATATAGTACAATTAGCAGATTGAAGAAAAAGCTATAACATTGTTGCGTCTACAATAAAAGGTCGATTAAACCAATTTGCCATGCAAACTGGATAGGATTTATAGCAGAAACAGTTTCAGGATAAATCCTCTATGTAATCTTAATGGGATGATTAATCTTGGTATCGGACTTAAAGGACTGTGCGCCTGATGCTGCTTATTGCTGATAATAAGGATGATTTTATTCAAATAGATCTTTAAAAGCACTCCTTTGACTAGGCGGTATTAATTCGTAGGGCAAAGTTTCCGGTAAATCTTTGCCTTCTAGCTTAATTCTAATTAAGTACATACACAAAGCAAATTCTTCTATGTCTAACTGGCCGTCCTTGTCAACGTCAGCCAACAAAAATATGCGGCCTAGCAGATTATTAGATAATCTTGATTTAATCATTTCTTCGCGTGCTACATCACCATGAACTTTACCGTTTATAGGATCTAACGTCTCAAATACCTGATCGTACTCTTTCTTGTATCGTACGACTGGCCATCGGGTTAACCGAATTTTACGTGTACCTTCTAAAGCCTCTATCAACGCAGTCTTATGGAATGGCCCTACATTACCATCGAATGCACCGCCACTTACAGTCTCACTGGCTTTGGGAACCTGACTTATAATATCAGGTAAATCCAGAAAAAGAAACTCGTCTAAGCGATGCATTAATTTTGATCGAAAAGGGGGTATACGGTTTACATCAATGTTAGATAGTTTAGCTTGCATCTCTTCAATTGGTGGAAAATCGCCATCAGGTAAATTGAATACCTCTTGTACTCTTTTATAGATATGTGCCATATTTTGTAGCAATTCATTCTTTCTTTTGGCTCGATTTGCTAAGCGTGACGGTAAATGTTTATGAATATAAGCAAGAACGTAAGTATGAACTTTAAGAAGCCTTGTGCGTTCGATGACATCATTTATAGTTCGTAAGATAACATAACGAGGTAGAGAGCGTATGTCTTCTAATAAATCAAGCTTTTCAGCTTCAAAATAATCCCTTTTTTCATTTTTCTTCAATGGTTCTTCCCAAAATGAGCCGACGAATACGCGTGGTACTTCGGATGCCTTAATAATTTTAGTTAAATACCACATTAGAGCACCATGCGCACGAATTAAATCTTGCTCTTGTACTGAATCAGCTTTATTCATGACAATGCGCAGTTTTTTAATGTGTCTGCCAAGTGATCGTGCAACATTAACGAATTCATCACCAAAATCAAATTTGTGTGTATCAAAAAAGAAGACAATCCGATCAGCTCTAATAGCAAACCATTTAATAACTTTTTCCATCTCGTATCCACGTCCGTGCATATAGTCTTCAACATTAACAATACCTGGGGTATCTATAATCGTTAAATTCTCGAGTACTTTTGAATTACATTTCGAGCAAACGAAATTTCTTAAGAAAGCATTACCAAACTCAGCTAAGCCACCATAGCGTTCTTTTTTATCGACCACGAGTGTACTACCTGGCAGCAGCTGGTCTTCGTCGCCTTTCGTGATTAGAGTGAAATTATCGGTAGTGGGTTCTGGGCCAATTCTTTCTCCAGGATAGCTACGGCCCAATAAATAGTTAATAAATGTCGTCTTTCCTGTTGAATATTGACCCGTCACCATAATTAATGGCGTAGTCGCAAAATCTGCACTAGTAAGCTGTCTGGCATGAAGTTCATTGAATTTAGTATATAACTCTAGTGGCAATACTTTATTAGTGTACGCTTCCCTTAAGTTTTCTAAAGCGGCTTCTGGCGATGGTTCAGGCAAATTCTCCCATGTATTATTACTGTCTGTCATCTTAGCGTTACTATTTAATTAATTCAGTTAGTAAAAATTGAAATGTTTAATCCAATCGATCGATCAGCAATATACAATATACACGTATAACTTCAATTCTTGAACTAAAAAATTACAGATAACAATCAACTGTAACTTGGCAAGTCATGAAGATTTGTAAGCCTGTATAACGGTTCATCAGACTTACCGACGCTGAATAATGGCTCTCGAAAACCTGCTTAGTAAAATATAGGTACTTATATACTGTACATCTTACTGCATATTGGATTTGCTTTAAAACCCGTCATAGTTACGGTTAGACGTACGCGTACTGCTATGCCATATGGCTGGCTTTCCGTTGATGTGACGTAAGCAAGGCGACTACTATCCTTTAGTATAGAATTACAGATGGACTAGCAAGAGTGATACACTTTCGCAGACAACATGTATCCCACTATGATTTTTAAGAATCTGCGGTATCCAGTTTAATAAATTGGCGTTGTCTGCTGATAATATAATTATTTTTGATTTCGCTCCGGACAATATTTATATCTACCACTCAGTAAAAGATCTTATGAATTTTGTATTTACTAATTTGTATTTGAATTCAATTCATTTTCATAAAGTTAAAATTGAAATAAGCTGCATAACTTATAAATTCATTATCTTTGCTGAAGGGCATACTATTAAAGCAGTCAGCAATAGAGCTGAGTTAGCTTGATGCTATAATCATATCCGAATTAAAAACTTTTCAACAGTTCGCTTACAAGGGTAACGTAAATAATATCATTAATGAATTCAGTGTCACAATTAAAAATAGCAAAACCTGCAAATCAAACTAAATTGTATCGCTAGTAATACAGTCACTGGAGGTAAAAACTACGCTTTCTTTATTATATATTAAATTATACCAAGCGGATAAGATTCAAATATATTTATAATCATAGAAAAATGATAGCATTTTCTAATTTACTATAGTGGTTACATAAATGTACTTTTTGATTTATTATAAGCGAACGGTTCACATCCTTTGACTTCACTTTCATCGCCAACATACACGTCGTTATAAAGATCTTCTAAGGGTAACTCTTTACCGTTTTGGGCCTTCTTTAATTCACCACTGACGTAATTTTTAATTTCGTTATCGATACCCTTTCAAGCAGGACACGTAAATTATCATTTTGTGAAAAAGTAGTGAAGCCAAATAGAAGACCATATATTAGACTGAGCTCATCTATTACATTAACAAGCTCAAAATATAGCACTGTAGTGAATTTAAATTAGAATATCTGTGCTATCCTAAGTACCATCATTTCAGGACTAGAGCAATCGAGGTTATCGGTTTTGTAAATAAGATACCTTAATTTCATCTTCAGTAGCAAGGCTACTATCTAATAGCTTCTTCTTTAGCATCGCAATTGGATCACTCGTTTTACGAACATGATCAATTTCATCTCTCGTGCGGTAACTATTTAAAATTATTTAAAAATGTTAAATATAATACAATGTCTTTTGTGGGTTTATAAATCTTATGCTACTATGCAACGAAAAGTTTTTGATATAGGAGTTGCTACGTTATTACCTAATACCAGGATCGCTAACACTGTGACCTTTATATCTGTAAGTTTCTAATTCTATAATAATCGGTCCCTAATACAATACCCAAAAAACATGAATAGACTGAAAAATATTATCGTACATTTTGTCACAGTTATAACTATTCACATACCTTTCCATTACGACACCAATCAGCCGCAAATTTTGTCACTTCTCTAACAGTAATCACATCATGTCCATTTGCCTTATTAATAGAAAAGTATGTGGTCAAAACCATAACATAAACTTATTCACAGTATCATTTGTAGGCCATATATCGTGTATCGGTCTCACCCTAATTCCGGGTATATAATCTCCTCTTGTATAGTATTCGGTGGAAGCAGATGCACGTTCTACTGATGTTCCCATTCCATATTTATTATTTTCGCATACAAAAATGCATGGGAGACTCCATAACTTGGCCATATTGAAAGTCTCAAATACCTATTTTAACGAAGAATGCAAATAAAATTTTGTAGACAAATTTCTACGTATAGCAATCAACACCAAGAAAATATGCTTTGTAGGAAGAATACATTGAGTGAACATAGCGAAACCACAGCTTACCTGGCCTTGATTAGCTGCTCCATCCCCATACAAGGTAATACAGACCTTATTGTCTTTGTTGTACTTATGAGCAAATGCAATACCAGCTCCTAGGGGAACCTGTACGCAGATAGTTTCAAAATATTTCTAATTTGCAAGTACTCTTAAATAATTATAATGTATCAAACTGACTATGATCGCTTCCAACAAGTACCTGAGCTCCAACAATACCATTACCGCCATAGAAATTTTTTCCATACATGTGCATAGATCCACCTTTTCCTCGAGCACATCCATTTTCATGACCTAAAATAAATACATATACGTGTATGTCGTTACATAGTGTTTATACGGAGAAAAGAGCATTCAGTAATACGCTGTACTCAAGACAATCTAGTTTCAAGAGTAAGATTTATCTTCGGCTGAATATTTATACGTATCTCAATCCATACCAATTAATTCCGCCAAGACCCCTTCCACACTTACTCCACGCAGATAAGTCCAACCATGCGCTCTATAAGCAGTAATAATGCTATCTTCTGGTGTTATTGCGGCTTCGATTCCAACAGCACAAGCTTCCTGAATATTATAGAGGCATGAAAATGTATATAACCTTAATACCGGCATAACTTAGCATCAGGAAGTAAATTAAATTTCTTTTTATATATAAACATGAGATGTTAAATATAAATATAAAGGTACTATTATTTAGGAGATATCGAAGTATCATGCTCTTTATATTAGATACCAGAACATACGTTGCGCTCCATTTTACATTATAAACCTTGATAGATATATCACATACCTGGCCATTATACAGATGACAAAATCCGCGAATCTGTTTTGATTTATATAGGTTATCAGCTGTCACTTCCAGCCGCCGAATTGTTTGCATCTGCTTGTAATATTGGAGTGCCTCACTGCGTGTTATAGTTGCTGCTGTTGGTAATTCATTTTCTAAAGCGTGGACCTGGTATGGCTATGCGAAAGTATGATGATTACTAACGTTTATGTATGAATCGTGGTACCATATGACAGGCGAGTGTTTTCGATACCGAAATTAATTTGAGATGATTATGTCACGTTATTACTACAAATTAAGAGCTGACTTATAGATAATTTTAATTAATAACCCACTGTTTTTACCAGAGCTATTACTGGATAAAATCGTCATGTAAAAGTGATAATATCATGTGCAAAGCTACGTACAATTGAAAGCAATAGAGATAACATCTTCCAGTAAAATCGAATGACAGTATGCTAGACAAACGCTGCATTGACTTTCCTATATTGAATTCGAGACTGTTTATTCAATTTGATATCACTGAAAAATATGCATGCAATTGCAGATGGTGTTGTAAATTTACTAAGTTCAACTATTTTTAGTTACATTGGTGTCATAGTAAAGTGAGTAATCGAAATACAGTAGAAAGTTTATATATAATTTACTATAACTGTTCATATGTTTGCAAGGGAATGAATTGTTATTACCAATAACTGAAATTCAGCTTGGCCTTCAGTAGCTGTTGACGAGAATTTGTTGCCATAACCAACCTGCAGTGAAAATAGGATTAGTTAAAGCAGTAGTATTGTTAATGGAGGTCACAAAAAGTAATATTACGCGACTATAGTCGATAAACTTGCATTGACAACTGTTATGCCTGTTGGTTTAATTGAAGCTCAAGACATTTATGGTCTTCTTAGATAGAACAGCCTCATAGCGTCGATGTTTTTTACAAGCAGTAAATATTGGTTACAATGCTAACTCTGATCATTTGAAACAGATAATTTAAAATGATTTTCAAAGCGTAGCTGCTTTCGTTAACGTAAACTGTAAACGATAAATTAATAATTATATATACATATACTGTACATATATTTTATTCACAGTATGGGTTATACACTAAGGCGTACATTATTCTGTACAGTACAACATGATGTAAGCATTAACGACAGCTTTTCGAGAAAGAATGAAACTTTACCAGTTGACGGATTCCAGTGAATCTAGCAAATCTGTGAAGGCTGCTGCACCTCTGGAGCATGTCGTATCGGATTGCTTAGTTAGTTTTTCCCTCAACAATTGCAATTAATTAATACTCTGCTATATTGGAGATTAATGATGCTAGTGCGGCAAGTCTGTAGATTAGAGCATTCATCTAACTTGCTCCATTCCACTGAGCGAATCGGTTTTTAAGCGTGGAGGAAAAATCATCTGCTACAGTCAGTTTCCAGTTTCCAGTTTCCAGTACTGTACACTGTACATTACAGTACTGTACACTGTACATTACAGTACTGTACACTGTACGGTACAGTAGCTACAGTACTGTACTGTACTGTATACAGTACTGTAGGCACGTGTACCGTACTCGTACAGTACAGTATATTGTACTGTACAATTGTAAAGCACTCGAACGTCTCAAATGATACTATAGTGTACAGACACGCGATACAGCTGAAATGACCGATAAAATAATCAGCTTCTAACTTCATTAGTATAGCGAAACAACCGTTTCTTGTCGTCCCGTCTCCGTCGAGGTGAGAAAAAACTTGTTTTTCTTACCTCTACGCCCGTCTCTTTCTTTTACTAGTCCCTGGTACTGTCATAGACTGCAGTACTAGAAGAAGACCTGGACTGATCACCCCCTCAGACAGACGGACTTTTCTTAGCAAATGAGGCTGTCAATATCAAAAAATGACTACTTAGGTAATATTGCATAGAATTCTATGATCTGTTACATTGATAATCATCGACTCTAATATACTGTATATTAAAAAAAATTTTGTATCGCGTGCGCAACCATTATCCCAACCAACCAAATCCTCTCTACTGTAAATTGTATAAAGTTGATAGGACGGACGGATACTTGGATTACTACAGATATTTTCGCCAGCAAAGTCAGCGGGTCTAAACTCGCACAGTACAGTAGTTATACAGTATATACAGTACTGTATAAGATCATAAACGCTATTTACTGTACTGTAAATTAGTACCAGTGATTTAGAAAACAGATACGGAAGATCCATATTAATTAAGAAAACATCGGCCAATTCAAAATCGGCCGCCGACTGCATACTAAAGTAGTGCCATAACGAAGTGTTTGGCATAATATTTTGACGAGATGAGGCCTGAAATGTCCGCCCGTCCAAGAGTGATCAGTTTAGGTCTTCTATGGTACTAAAGGTAGTCTATGCAGTGACGCCGGTGATACTGTCCGACATACAGTACTGTACATTAGCGCTAGTAGAGCCTTATGGAGACGTACACGGATTACAGTTAATAACATTTTTTAAACATACTGTATACAGTACTAGGAAACGGTGCAAAAACGCAGAATACTGCTGTATAAGCAACCAACAACTAAGATTTCACTAACAGTACTGTCCTACAGTACAGCGGAGTAACGTGTTAAGGAAGTTATCGACAAATATTATTATTATAGGCACTACTGTACAATATTAGTTTTGCATTGGTAATATAATAAACAGGATTAAATTGTCTTATCAGTGCAGTGCAAAGCCTTTTTTTACTTTACTTTACACCGCAACATGCACTTGAATAAGTAATTATGTAAGTTATAAATTACGTCATGGACTACAAGATATATCGGTACATCTAGCAGTCCTTACTTACGTTAATGCAACTCTGAATGTAGGGAATTAGCCCAGTAATAGCCATGCTGTAACATAGAGGGTATCTTAAATTAGAATAAATAGAGCCCTGAATTTTTTATTTGGTACTTCTATAGTAATACTGAACAATGATTAATTATTTAAAGAATATAAAAGCTGCAGTGTGGAATTAATATTGATAGTTAATATAAACAAGCTTGCTTTAATTTTCTTATTTCCTATAACAAATATTATTTACTACATGGGTCACGACATTTTGTATCCGTTGAATCGTAAAACAATAGCAAGCAATAATAGCCGCCCGGTTCATTGAAAAATGATATTTATTCGTTTACATGGCCTAATTATCAGTTCAATCTTCGTGGAGTACCGTACAATCTGGCTATAATTCTACGGGTATAATAAATTTTAATTCGATTGAATAACAGTGGTGATGTCATCACATTGATTATTTTGTCTTTACAGATTCATTTTCTACATAAATTAGACTGGGGTAAATAACTACCGCGGCATAAATTGATCTAATAGCCACATTACACTCGAATAAAGTGCAAGAAAATGTTATAATTTATTTGAGAGTTACCGCTTCTAGACGAGGGGTTCACAATTACTATCTTGAAAACAGACATTGGCTTTTACTTTCTGTGTGAAAGTGCGATTATATTGATGTTGTAGTGATAACTACCAGCGTTACACGATCCATTTCTAAATTGCTGACGATAGGAGTATACTGTAGTATGTGATACATCACTTTTAAACGGATGGCATGTCACCTTGCGAATTATTCGAGATGGCAAAATCTCAACACGAATACAAGTACTCTTATTACTTGTATATGCATATTGATACTGACTTAATTTGTGATAAAAATAAAATATTAATGAATAAAATAATAAACAAAGACGCTAATCTGAATGTAGTAAAAAGGTTGCTTTGTTTGTAGGCTTGCATTGATAATGCTTATTTAATACTCTAGGATCCTTCCTGTTGAATGACGTTGCTATCATCAAACTAAATGTTTTTTTATGTTTTTCCGGCTAATGAAATTGATAGTAAATCATCAAAGGATAGAAGATTTACTGAGATTCCCTTTGGTAAATATGTAAACAAGATGCAATTATGGTACTCGTAACGGAAAATTTATAAATATTTTAAGGCAGTTTTTAGCAATAATTAAACGATGCTAAATTTAATATGTGGAGCAATAACGTAACTTTGGGCAAGGAAAGTGTGTTGGGTAGTAGAGCTTAGTTGGATAGCTAAATAAACTACGGTAAAATAAAATATTCGTCTTTTTTGGTATAACACTACTACCTTAACCTACTCTGAAATACCGCTAGTTATACTTGTGTTTGTAACGATTGATTCCTTTTCTTCTTGCACTATGCATCGATTGTTGTTGTTGTTTTCATATTCGTCATTATATTTACGATATTTTATTACCGTTATTACTAATAATATCGTCAACAGGATATGCAATACGAATAATATGACCAATTTGCTAATAAAATTAAAAGAACCATGCCTACAGCATTACATAAACTGGCATAAATGTATCATGATTTAAATCGGAGGACATAAAACAAGCGGCAAATGTATATCAAAGGATTAGAGCTATAATTTTCCTATATGCTATAAATTGCAGTAGTTATTAGGGACTGCATAGGTCGGCATTTTAACCTAATCGGTTATTGAGTTGACAAACTTAACTAACAGATGGTAGATTAATTTACTTCAAGAAATAAATTATTTGGGAAACACATAAATGCAGTACCCAAAATTCTTTGATATCTTTACTGTAATAAGAGATTACCCAAGTTTACGTTGTAAAGCTACAAAATCGTTTCGTTGTTTTTAATACAGTCGTACTTATTGTATTGGAGCATACAGGAAGTGCTAAAGTTGTAAAATATTATTAGTGCTAGTTAGAGTATATGAGAGTCTTTGCGCATAACGTCATGTTATTGGTTACTCGAAGAATTCTAACGGATATCGAGATGTGACGGAAGTTCATTATTGTCATTTAGTTGTTATTGCGATTAAATTTTCAATAAAAAGCCAGCATTGTCTACTTTTGTTGCTATAATGCAGATGCAATAGATGACCTTGTTCTTTTGCACATAAGAAGATTACGATAAAAATATTTCTTAATGTAAAGGATACAAAATAGAATGTTTGGCTTTGTTTTGTTTTCTAAATTAGAAATTAAAACGATAATCTATACGTTCTGTCATTTTCTATTGGCAATAATTACGTTTACATGTATTAATTCTAAGCCCAAAACGCTATTTTTAGTTACTACTCTGACGCAATGTACGGCACTCTGATCACTAGCAGATTATGTTTTCAACTTAGGTTATTATTAATCTTTTTACGATCAATTGTTATCATTGTCTATGGGAAATTTTAAAATTTTAAAAATCAGCAATGGTAGGAATAATAAATCAATACATATATAATCCATAGTTTCTCAACAGAAAATTGCTATTCTATACCCTTAAAAATTTATTGCCTGCAAGATTAATTTTTTTGAATCTAGACGATTAGTTGATAATAAATTGTCAAATACGCTTTCTGAATTAATTCTGATAATAATTGACACTCTTGCAGATGTTCTAGCTAATTTTATATGTTAGACATATATGATTAAAAATTCTTTATTTATTCTAACAAATTAGGTTACCGACTTCTTAAATTACTGGAAGAGTTGTTGTTTGTAGTTCTGATTCATATAGTAATTTCGACCAATACAGATCAAAGTCAATTATAAATAGTCTTGGGTATTATGTAATACGTAGATGATAGTGTAATATAATGTATGAAAAACTTTACATTATGCTTGTGATATTTAATTTCAGGATTAACGTAAAGGTAACAGTTTCGGCTCGACTCAGGCTACTATTTAATAACATTGATTGTTACCGTATATAATGAAGTAGAAATATAAAATCCATTTTAGTATTTATTCATCAAAGCGATTTAACAGTTAATCGTAATCAAGCATTCCTATATATCTTACAAAATGATATTCGATACACATAAAATTGTAACGTAAAAGTACCGAATTAAGATAACCAAATGAAGACATGGATCAAATTTCAATCGTTGACATTAAAATAGTGCGTAATATTATGATAAACATATAATGTATAGCAATTAATTGCATTTATAATTGAGCGATGAAAAATATTAACAACTATATAATAATCAAACGAAGACGAAAAAGATTTGGAATTCGCAAAGAGTTATAAACACAAATTCTATCCTAGAATTAAGTAAATATATTAACTTGAAGTCTTAAAGATTGTTATCAAATGTTATATTGAAATATTCTGTAGGTACAGATAGCATCATTATGTTCGAGTATGTTGAATTCTTTAATCAATTTATAGGTGCAAAAAGTGCTAGATTGAGATTTTAAAATATTTTACTAGGAGATCATTGTATTTATTATAACCAAGGTCACTATTTATGATCTAATCAAGATTCTAAAAGTGATATATTATTAGTAATGCTTAGAGTGTTACTGGCTAGCGAAGTTATTACTAGTAATAGCATCGATTGCTTAAATACGAATACTTAAATAATTTAGTACTAAACTATCGCAAGAAAATTAATTAATCTGTGAAAATAACTGTAATCTAACTCAATAGTGTACAGTATTTGCAACTTGCCTCAGCAAAGTAAAGTATCATTAATGCATTTCTGCTAAAATAAATACCTTTAAAGCAATCTAACCGAAATCATATGGAAGACAATTTGTTACTAAAATTGTTAGTAAAACTGTTACTAAAAAGCCGTAATCATCAATCAGGATATCTTGTAGTGATGCAATTTTTTACTTTGATAGCGACGGCAATGAAGACGTTCTGGACTCTATTATGTTTATCATTCTTGCTTAGTAATATGTTTTTAAGCTATCTAAAGAATTTGATTTTGTTATTTTAGGTTATAGGATGCCACAGAATTTCAAAATGAAATTGAGATTACTGTAGCAAAAGCTATTTGAGGGTCTATTTGTATCGAAATAGTCGCAAGACTATTCTTGTGTATAAAAAATAGGCAGAAATATCTTATAATGCTTACCGCAGTGTTTACTAGAAAGAAGATTTTTGAATACATTTTATGTACTGAACAAAATTTGCTATTCCTTAAACAAATAGCGGAAGTTATAAATTATTAGCTTTGGGTATGACAGTGATGTGATAAATTCTAATATGTTAATAAAATAATAATGAATAACATTATCGGAAAAGGTTACGGTTGATGCAAACAGTACGCTTCTTGGGTCACAAGGTTATGTTCGTATGATTGTAGTGTCGTGCTGCTCATAAATGCATCGCAACTTATTGACACTTTTTGACTGTTGCTGTGTTGAAGATGTGTGCTAAAAGTGAATTAATGGTAATAATTAAAGTCCAATGTTATTATATTGCGCTAAAATTACAGTAAATTAAGGTGGCTATGTGACAAGTGCAGACATAATTGTACCAAACGTGGATTTAGGGGGCCATTAAGGAGTAAGAATTTAAATTTTTATTTATTGGCGCAATACTTTATGATATATCAGGGATTAATAATTTGATCAAGATGAGATAGATGGGTTTATCTGGCTGCGAAAATCATATTAATCTCGCCTTGCAAGATATTTAGGTGGCGTTTGTTAAACGACTATCATTGCAAATTGTGTATACTAATAATCTCTGTCATTACTGAAATCGTACAAAAATAATCATAAATGCGCTTTAAGGATTTGGAAAACATTTTGTTATATTAGAATTTAAGCCTAACTGTTAAATCCTGGGTCTTATTTAAACATATCTACCTATATACCCATAACCAGACCGATTTCCAGAATTCTTTTAAAGTTCAGTGCCATTGACTTGAGTATGGCAACATTTTACCAGAAAGTATAGGCAATTCAGTTATTCTATTATCTTTTTATTTGCTATATCCATAATATGCTTACACTTATACTACAATCATAACTTACAATAATTACTAACGCGGTAACAACTATTTCAGTATCATGTTTTTTTGTATTAATCTAATATTTTAGTTGTATGTTCTATCACTTAAGGTAAATAAAACTAGGGCATATTTCATTTATTGTTTGTTAGCTGTTGTCCTTTTCTGTATTTTCACTTATTTAGAAATGATGAAATTCTTTTATAAACCATATATGGTTATGCGATGTGGGTATTTATAGTCAGTCAATAATAACGTTTTGTTGGTATTGATGTCATATTACAAGAAATAAAACGACGTATTTTTGTTACTAATTGTCAAGATTTCATAATTCCGCTTTCTAGTTGCTTTCTTATTCTTATTATTTGATTTAATAATAATAGACACTAGCCTGGAATAATAGGAATGATTAAAAATGATCTTGAAGCTGGATTGATCGATCCTTCTTATTTCTTGCACGACTTGTTTATCTTACCCATAAGGCCTATCAGGTCAAATAAACGATCAATTTTACCTTTGTGCCTACTGGTGTGTTAGTATTCATGTTGCAGAGATAAAAAAAGACTAAAAAAATTATTATTAACCATGTTAAACACGATATAGTACCTACGTGAAGGTTAGCCAGAATTAATTCTTACACCAATTTACCTAAAATGGCTAAAATTTACTCTAACCTTGTGAGACCTAAATTTTACAAAAGTATTTGGCATTAATAACAGAAATGATAATAATAAAAATCACAATAGATATTTAGAAGAGGAATAAGCTATTATCGTGCCTTGAATAGATCACATCGTAGGAGTTTATTATTACTGGAAATTTACAGTCGAACGCTAAATTGATGTAGTAATTATGTAGTAATACACAGCCTTAACATGATCTTGGTGTTGTTGTCAGTAAAGTGATAAAAATTTATATGAAAATCGTAGCTACTATTACCGATAAAGTAGATTGATTAAGATTAATGGATAGCAGATAGATTAATTGTAATTTTTGTGTATTAGTGTAATGTGCTGTGTTTAAAAATTGAAATAAGGTAGTTTAAAGGATGATATTAGATCAAGAACTTAGGATAGTATGATAAAATAACTAAAAAACATTTTAGATATTAAATCATCGAGTTACTAAGAGTGATTTATAGATATGCAATTGTAGTACAGTTTTCTTAGAGACACAGTAACTTGATGATTTTATACGTATTATTTATATCGGTTACGAATAATCTAGTAAATATTCTACATTTTGAAATGTCATTTTTGTTTGCCATGACTATCATCATAATCATCGTCTACATTATCGTATAGTCAAAACATAATTTTGATATCGATAGGACTCTTCGTGAATAAAGAGTAAAAAGAGAGATTAAATGGGTAATATTTTTGTTATTATTGTTCTTGCTGTTGTTATTATTATTTCTAATATTGATGGAGGGTTAGCTGCATGAGGTGTCGCATAGAAGAAGAAGATACGAAAATATTCTTGCTGTGCTTGATCTGAAATGAGGTTGAACTATGACAAGATCGGCCCTATTTTGCATTAATAAGGATATTTGTTTAGCTATGAATTTAATATACATTCAGTAGATGCACTAATGTTATATGAATGACAATTTTTAGTTTTACATTGATTCATTTCTTAAAAGGAAAATCCGCCTCCGCAATCACTTGAATATATTGTCTACTTCGACACCTGCTTGAATAGCACTAGTGTCTTGTATGAAATCAATTCAATTGTAGTTATAACAGACATCTTGAATAGGATGATCACCAGTATTAGACAGATATTGTTCCAGTAAATAGACAATATTCCAATATACAAGAGCATGAGTGAATAAATACGTTATACCCTGTACAACGCTGGTATGCAAATGTATATATGTACGTATATGATAAATACTGTATATGCATGGTAGATATAAATCAATATTGCTAGAGAATGGTAAATAATTGTAAACCAATCCAATATTTTTCCATTGTGATATTTAGTTAACAATTGTATTTACTTACTCTACTTAGCCTTTTTAGAAATCTGCTTCTCATTCTCGTACTTTTATTTATGATAGTAAAAATAAGTTGTTAAGGCCTCTTTAACCCATAGCTCCCAGTTATCGATACTATTATCTTCTGTTTTGCTGGTTACATCGGCTAATAAAATAAAAGACTTTCGAGATCGAAGGGGGAGAAGAGATGATAAAGGAACGAGTTTCATTCTTGGTTCCTAGTAATATGCTGAATATTCTTATAAATTGATGTCATTTTCTCCTCGCCATTCAAGAGTTGAAAACTGTACAATGTACATACTATGCTGTACTACAGATGTCAACAGCAATGGGGCCGAACCACTTTCGATAATTTAAGTGTACGTTCTTATATGTTTATACAGTACTCATAGTAAAGTCCAATATGTCAATGATGACGATGATAATATCATCGATCATCATCTTATTTTTATTGTATTATTGCCTTTCCCCTAAATCCTATTACCTTCCTTCGTCATGACACCCAACAACACATTGAAATGAATAAAACATGATTATTTGATTGATTTTCACTGCATTGATTCTGACTACTCAACTCTTCCCTCTTGTCTTTGATCAATTTACTTATTGACGTCAGAGTTAGTTATTTTAATTGTTCTACACGTAGACAATTAAATCAAGATTTTTTATTAGCAAAACAAAGTCAATAGGGATAATGATCATTTATCATCGAACATTGAATACAATGAAAGAAAAGCAGTAGTTGAGGGAATTTAAGGGTGATGAAAAGGATAGGGAGACAAGGGGGAAAAAATTTATATTACTCTTTTCAAATTAAATCAAATCAAAATAAAAAATGAGAAGAATAGCTAAAAATTGATTATTTCCTCTCTATTTTGTCTATGACAATACTTGGCTATTGATGAGACTAGATTATAATAAAGCGATAGAGAGCCTATCTACCCGTAACTTCATATATAAGCCTTAAGTTAACTTGGCCAATGTCATTATAATTAGTACAGTTGAAAGCCGAATCTACGTTAGTCTTGAGTCCTGTTACACCAACCAATGAATAAAAGTGACAATTTCAATCTAGAGATAGACGTGTTCATTCCAATAACAATTCAACAATTTTTTTAATCACACCAAGTCAATACAAGATCACGAATTCTTTTTTACTTTAGATTGCGAATTCAATCGTACAATTTAGAAATATATGCATACACATACCAGTGTGGTATTTTCCTTTCATAATTTTTAAGCATTTTCTTATGCAAAGAGGCAAGACTTCAACGTTGCAAGTTAAATTAATAAGTTAAGAGGGAGTGGTATTCTATCAAGAATTTAAATCGATAACGAAACACAGTCATACGAGCATAACGACATTGAGGTGGTTTGCAGCCGCTGATGTATTAAGTTGGTAGGTATATTATATACTAGGATAATTTTTTAACTTCTTTTCCGCCTGTATGTAAAATAAAGTGACAGAAAACATGGATTTCATATTAACAAGACTAGATATCAATGATGCAAGTGTTGTATATAATAATCTATGATCGGATACGTTTGTAATAATATCGATACTCAAATTTTAAATCAATTTCTGTCTTCCATCAAGTATCTTTCCATTCTGTCAATTTTGTTCAAGAATAGAGTATAGAGTATGTTCCAACAGCTTTATTTTATAGTTAAGTATTACTTTACTGGCTAATAGATCAAATTAAAATAGAAAAGTGAAAGTAGGATCAAATAATATTATTGGACTCAGATTTTCAGAAGGCAGAGTAAGTTCTTTGGCTATCTAAAATGAAAGTTCAATTTAATTCTACTATATTTATAAGCGCGCAGCTAATCACACTTTAATATATAGAAAGGTATAATACTGATTTCATCGTTTTCTATTTTACAACCAATTTTTGGATTCGATTGTGTAATCACTTATAGAACAACAAATTTAATTCTGCTACTACTATAGCGTAGAAGAACATTGCTATGTGAATCTCTTCATCATTATCATTCTATGGTTTAAATGAAAAGATATATAATCACATTTAAAATACCATGGTAGTACAATTTTCTTCTTTATATTATGTATGGATAAAAAATCTATCCTGACACGATTACCTTGCTATCCTATGCTAAGAGGATATCAATTCTATCGTAACATAAAATAATCCCATGATAGTTTACTACTTTTTAAAATTTTGATTCTTTGATGACTCCAGCCGGTAATTATATAATTATCTCGGTATTGATAAATTCCCCATATATAATATATATGTTTAATAGATAGATATGAAGACTGCACATTGTAAGACAGAAGAGGAATTAAAATTTGCCTATTTCATTAGCAATCTGATCTTTTCCTTATGGCTGACGTAACATTTAATTGGAATTATCGTCGATTTTAATATTATCTTTTTACTTCTATGATAGCTTTTAGCAGCTGAAGATTGGATTAATTGAGTGAGTCAGTCTACCGTTGCTTATTCATTCCTACGTTTCTTAAAATTTGACAATTCACGAACTAGAAAAGCTAAGGTATCATCCTATGTTATTGTTGGTCATTGCCTGGTCGACTTCAGCTGTCATCGTTCAACTTTGAATATAAGAGTTACCGATAAACTCTTGAGAATTTTCTTCAATCCTTGTGAATGCTGTAAAATCTCGAATTATCACCATCTAACTAGTCCAATTCATAAAATGACTACGATAGCCACTATGACAAAATTGAATCTCCACCAATTGAACAATGAAGAAAGGAATAAAATTCTTAATGTCTTGGAACGTTATTATACAACACAAGAAGCAAAACGTGATCGAATAAGGTGAGCTTGAGCGTTTAACTTTATTAATGTAATGGTAGTCCTGGTAGATTTCTTCAAATGGTTGTATAAAAGCTTGCATATTGATAAATGGCGGCCATAGTAATTGAAAAAGTCGTTCTTATAAGTAGCTCGTTTAAAAACTGTTTTATCTTGATTGATATTTGACCAGATAGAAACATTTAATTAATGTTGAAGGTACTGCAGCATATTTATTTGTCTATAGCTATCATTCTGCTAACATGATTTAAAATGGACGAAAGCTAAATCCATAACAGCTTCAATCATACATTTACGTTTTATTTTTTTCACGAGAGGCCAATTCGAGAGGCCTATTCAAGGATAGTCATAGGAGATTATATATGGCCATTGTGCACCTGACATTAGAAATGAATAGAGAGAATTTACGGAGGCGTCAAGCTTAGACTAATTGCTGTAGATTGATTTAAAATACAGAATAAAAAGACATTTTAAGAGCTGCGCCAACACTATCATATTATATTCCATCACTTTAACTCACTGTAAGATTTTCTAATTATTTCAATAACTTCTACTATCATCCCTTCCTTGACAATCATAACCTTTCAAACTTTTTTCTCGTGTACAGCAATTTTATCTGGGTATTTGTCATATCAATTCGCTCCTTAAGAGCCTATTTCATTTTATGCAAACAACTTCTATGTCGCACTACAAGGAATACTAATAAATTCATTGTAATGGCAGACTATTTCGAGCGTCTATTAAAAATCTAATCGTTACAATATAGTCTTCGTCTATTTACTTACTGTACAACACCTACAGTGGTTTAAAATGCTAACGCAATTTAGTTTGCTACATTTCGTGTCATCCTACGTTTTGATTTAAATTTTACCTAGATATCTGATAAACTTTGCAAAGATTTTCTCATTTTCTTGCATTACTATTAATTTATACACATGAATTCCGCTACTAGATTATGCAACATTTTAGATATCTTCAATTAAAGTTTTTCCTGCCTTCTTGGCAATTGTCCAAAGATAGTAAAATTTATTAGGTTAAGTACCTTTTCATACATATAACTATCATTCTTTTCTATGATTTGAGTCCAGAACACATTTATATAGAAGATAATTCTTTGCACTAGTTTATTTTATAACATTCTGTTTGCGTTAGTTAATGCGCTGCGATAGCTATACAGCATTATATTTTCTGTCCACTTCGCCTAATATTATAATAATTATATGCTACCTTAGCATTATATCGTATGAAACATATTCCCTTGCTATCTACTTTATCTTGCTAAGTAAACCAAAAAATTTTGAAGGCTGCTGGAGTAAATTAACTATTTAATTAAACACGTATTATGCTGACATTTTACTCTCTTCAGTCTGAAATTTTAACGCATATTGTTGGCCGAACAAGAGTGATGATTTTACCATTAATTGTAGTTGCCCGATGTGGTGTCCTCATGAATGACATTAGACAAAAATCTGTCGGATGCCTTCAAATTAAGATCTTAAGAATAAAATGATATTTTTTCAATATAATAAGTCACGTTTCATAATTTATTAAGCCTTCAGAATAATTAAGTTCACCAATCGGTCTATTATTATATGTGAATTTGATATTGCACATTCGTGAATGTCGTCATCCATATCGATTTACTGATCCAATTAAATTCATCTAGAAAACGCCTTCTTAAATCAAATTAGCCCAACATACTCACCTATGGGATCTCTTGAGCTGTGAGAATAAATTATATTAAGGCTATAGGAATCCAAAATAAAATTTTACGATACCCTGACCAAATGAAACAATTCAAAGTTTAAAATCAGAATTTATTTGTGTAACACTTGCATAAGTTCAAGTACATCTCATTAATCGTGAAAAAGGCTATTTCTATTGCTATGAATCGAAAAGGAATAATTATCTAGATAACCATATTAAAATAGATATTGACTACTATACAAGTAGATTAAATATCAAATTGAATTTCTATTCTTCGCTATGCTTAAAATAGTCTATGGGTACTAATTTGTCTAAACATTGAGTTGCAGTAAAATTAGAATGTTTATTTCAGGGGGTCCCGTAAAAGAATCGAATTTTAGAAATTTTAAATTTTGACCGTAAAAGAATTTATATTTGCACAACTTTATTTTATTAAACTCTATTCTTTGTAGCAATTTAAAATATTCTACTATAGCCGTCGTACAATTCAGCATTGAATGATTCAAAGAACGCTAGTTCTATGTCTGCATTATTACATAATCGCCACTGTCGTATTGTAACATCAATCTTTCCTCCATACCTTCAAAGGTAGTGTACTAATATTTTCTGCCTTGATATAACACATGTAATTTCATACTAATTCTTTGTAGTGCAATTCTTAAATTAATCCAGATCCAGATATGTGATGAATTTTTTCGTTTTTGAAGTACAGTTGATAATACGGAATGGCAAAGCCTATTCCTTCTCCTTCAGTTTTAGCCAAATAACGACTTTAATAAGGATATTTCAGCTCTGCTTTAGAACTTAATCTTATGAGAGAAACTAGCCTTATTCTGTGCAAAGCTAATTTGTTTGTCCTTAGATTGTATCTCAGGGACTGATTTTAGAACAAGAGATTTATATTCACTTTTAATATCGTCATCCTTCTATTATGTGTGATTGAATTCCATATTTCAGACTTCGTAGATATTGAAGTTCTTCTCCTTCTAATAGGAAGATTTTACTAACGAGAAATATTTTCTGTTTTTGTTTTGTGTTATCTTTGTCTCGGGCATTGATACCATGGTAGGCAATTACGTGAACGATTAAAGATATTAAAGGATAAAGGTGTTATTCGTTCCCATGAAAAACCAGGAATACGTGTTTGCAGCCGTTGTAGAGGAAAATTAGGCATGTTTTTTAATACTGGTGCTATATGTAACCGCTGCGAACGTCGAGTTTGCCAATCTTGTTGCCAAGAACCAAGATCTGATGGTGGTGCTCGCTATATTATTTGCAATGTTTGCAGTATTGAACGGTAAGATTATCACCCCCTATTCTTAATTTTTCATTATAATACCTCATTTACAGAATGTTCAAGTTAGTTTGAGTCTATATCTTATCTTAAGATTAGCAGTTACTGTACCGTTTAGTAAGTTAATGTTTAACCCAATCACATATTACTTTCAAATTTTTGAGGGTTACTCAATGGTACTATTGTCTTGATTTAAAATTTTTTATTAAGATGGAGGGCAGGGAATTGTGATAAATATTAGAAAAAATCAAGAGCTATCAAGCCGCATGATTAATTTCTAAAGGCATTTTTTGATCACTAATTTTAATTTCTTCTCGTAAATTGCGCATACTACGTGAAACATAGCAGAGAAAAATTAAAATAATAGCTTAAATGTAGTTGTAACACGACACCGGTATAGAAGTAATATGAAACAGATATAATAAGGAAAGAAAGAGAATAAAAGAAAGACTTTTCTGAGGGTAAATTAATTTAATGCATATCATGATTTATTTAGATCAAGTATCATATGACGCTTTAAAAGTTTGAAAGATTACATAAAAGTTTTTAAAATATAGAGATAAAACGAGTAAAATATTCAGAGAAAATAGTAGATACACCATATAATTTTATAAAGTTCAGGTTTCCTTCTCTTTCAAGAATGATATTGATTAGAATCATTCTTTTATTAATAGCAGCAATCAATATCACTATTAAAGTAAAGTATCGACTCGCTAGAATCATTTGAAAGGCTAAAAATTATACCTTTAAAGATATAGCTAATGTAGTCATAGATGTAATCTTGCATAATAGCCAAATATAATTGATTTGATATTTTTCCTTTGTCCTTACTGCTGTGTCTGTTATTGATCTCGACATAATTATCCTTTTTTCTCATTCTGTTAATGAATACCATGAAGATGATACAAATAATTAATTTACAAAATTATGAAGGTAGTGAGACGAATGACCACCATTTTCATACAATATATGTATAACTAAATCTAAATTTACATTATCGAAATGACGTTATCTCCATCTATTTTCTCGTTTTAACGCCGGAAAGAAATCAAATTTAGTTATTCATTTTATGCAGATGGCGAGTAAGCATGGAAATAAGTGTATAACATGAGTCGTAGGGAATTTATTATAATTTAACTATATTATGATATAAATAATTAATAAACCAGTCCGCATCCATTTATAGTAACAACAATATTGTCCACATATCAGAATATGACTCTTACATAAAACTAATGTTTCAAGCTTTTTCTAATTCTACAACACTAACGGGAGGGAAAACTAAAGTTGAGCTCGTATTTTCACAATGTGCAATAAATGAAATCTAACAGTTTAATAGCAAAGGTAATTGTAATTTCTTTTTCGCAAAGTTAGCTAACTTTGAGCTTTTTCAATATAACTATGACGTTTATTCGCTATTGTATCGATTCAGTTGTAGCAAGTTACATAGTAGAGAAATTATCTTCCTTAAAATTTGATTTGAAAATTTAATTATTTTAAAAGGTTATCTGTAGATTATCTTGAATTTTTCAATTATTTTCTGTTTCCATAAAATAAATAGCTAAGAAAAAGGAGATACTTGCTCTAAATATGAGAAAGTAACATTTTCACCTTTCATATCAATACGGCTTCTTCATTACAGCAGATTTAACTGGAACTTGTAGAGAGATTACTACAAACGAAATTCAAATTTCAATACTCTTATATTAATACTAGCATACCCATTTTTACCAGAACATTACAAATTGAATACGATAAAATAGAAAATATCGGACTAGTATAATGCTGAAATTCTTGCTACATGATCTTTTTAACACTATTGCTGTTCCTGTAATCTGTTTGGTTACATTTAATTAAAATATCTATGATTTGGTAAGGACTGATCTACATAAATAGAGCATATAATGACTACTTATAGTGTTAGCTTATTAATTGGGTAATCATTGCTACCAATAATGATAGAGATAGTTCGCAAGTTTCCGTGAGTTATAATATCGAACGAGAGACTTCACAACCATCGCTGATACAGAGCCAAAACTCTTATAGCCTATTGAACTTCTTTTTAATTACTGTTGCGCTAATGTTAAACTTTAAAGAAACAAATGACTTGCTAGGTCTATTATTTGTTTAAGAGGGTGAAAATCGAAGCTGTTTGGTAAGAATATAACAAAATAGTGCAATAACTATTAATGCTGAAATTGTACACAAATATTAAAATAATAATTTCGAAGGTGGACTTAGTTTGATTAAGGGAGGTAGTAACTTAATTTAGTACAGTATAACGATAAAATACTTTACTATCCTATTAGCTATCTTATACTTAAAGAAGGCTCTCTGTAAAATTATTTATGATTAGTAAATAATTGATTATCATATTTCTATCAATACTACGAGTTAAATGTATTCAATATACAACAATGAAAATAAATGTAGATAATAATGTAATTCGATAAACTCTTTACCTATGATACTATTAGCACTGAGTAACTTGCGTATTGTTGCATACATACCTTATTATATCCTGCGTTGAGTTGGATAAAATCTCATCAGAAATTAGAATTATATTAAGATTCAAGATACCGTTAAAAAAACAATCCTTTTGTTTGTGACTAAAAACAACAGCTACGGTCGATCTGTGATACAGTTGATAAGAATTTCTCTTAGTTCTAGATAGAACTTCATTTTTCTTAGGTAAATATAAGTTAAAGTTCAATACAAGGCACGAAGGCAATATTTAGTTAATGATAAGTATAATACCGTAGATGGCTATTTTACATCGCTCTGTAAAAATCTTATTAATCTTTAGACTTTGATTACGTTTATTTAATAGAGATGACAAGGTTAAGATCTGCTAGTCATAGTTTGTTGTCGATAAATTTCATCGTTAAGATACTTATTTCCTAAACACTCTCTTCCCTTTTGCTATTGCTATGGACTATAAATAGCTTCATTCTTAGTCTAAACTGTAATATTAATAAAAGTAGGCTAACTGAATGCATATATCATAAATCTGTTAGCTTTCGGACTAAACATTCAGGATATCTATATCAATTAAATCTAGGCAATCAACAGAAAATGAGAGTAATTTACTACTTTTATCAAAGTTAATGACAGATTTGATTTAATTAATATTTCCTTGTTGTAAAACACTTTCTATTTAATACTATAGAATACAAATAGGGTACATTGTTATAAATGTTTTAAAAGGATAACTTAACATCAACTACATCATATTACTGGCGCCAGCTATTTTAAATAGATTGGCTTTAATTCTTTCAGTTGCTACGATTAATGCTTAAGTGTTTATGAAATAGGTAGGCATATAACAGTAACTGTATAATTTCCACAAATGTAGTATTTTTTAATTTAGTATCTACGCAGTAAATTTATAACTTTTCAAATTTTCTCGGGGCAATAGCTTTACTGCAGCTTTTTATTAACCATAGTGCTACGGAATCTATATAATTAGCTTCATTTAGAATACATACTGTACAGCAACAAAGTTTTATTTTTCTGTTGAAAAAATCTGCTTAGTATTGCATATTAAAAGTACCGGTTACAGCTAATGATAGGTTGTTAGCAGTTTGTACGTCTTCCTCATTATCGTATCATTTCAGTATTTGGGAGAAATTCTACAGGCTGAAATAATTGTAGCTCAAAATCATCATATCTTGATGCAGATTTGTTGTATATGGTATGTTTAATTATCAATATTTACTTATTGTACAGAAGTTAATATTGTCATTGTGAATAATAAATGAAGGAAATTACTGTAAATTGTCAAATTGTACCAGAAATTATTTACTTATTCTATATATTTAACTTTCGTTACCGTTGTTTTCTCCACAACGACATTAATTAGCTATTCTGCTTAATTGTTTAACAATAGCACATTGCACAATAGCTTGACAAGATATTATTAATCATGAAAAATAATTTTAGTTATCTTAATAATTCCACATCGGCAGCTGTAAACTAAATTGAAAAGGTTGTAATCTTTAATGTAATAACCTAACAACGCCGTAAATATTATCGTTTTGAGAAAATAAGGAAATGAAAGTATCAGATTGAATCAGTTCACTTCATGATTGGATCCTTTATACGGGCTATCTGCAAATTATTTGTTATGATTGAAATACATGGTCATAAAGCATAATTAAAAACATTATCCTGAAGTTTGTACCCTAATCTGGTATATTTATGATCTATTTTAACTCGATAAATTTTATTATGTAAATTCTTAAATAATGAGTCTCTAATGGTTTTGCTAATGTATAGAGCAATGAATTCAGATGATGGGATCAAGGTTTAGACTTCTTCAATTAATTCTCTAATTAAGCACTAAAATTTTCTATATGCACCGGTAATGTTTGGTAATATCGCTATCATACGCCAGTAGAAATTGAAGGGCTTGTAATTCTGTAGTTATCTAGTTAATTGTAAGCCTTGTCAAAGCTGATAACTATTCGATATGATAATTGCATCAAGCTTAACGTTTTAGATGAAAACTAACAATTTATAAGTGTAATAGAAGATCTACTGATGTAGATTTGCTCAACTTTATTGTATAACATATATGCGAGAATATTACTGAAATATAACAAGAAACTCTTAAGTTCATTATTTTAAAGTTACTTTTACGGGATTCTTTTACTTAAACTGGGTCGCTATTACGGAAATGAAATTTGAAAATTTATTACACTATATTATATAAAGCTTTTAATGTGAAGAGTAAAATTTACTTTTTAATTCGAGTATTTACAAGCTGGCTGTTAGTACCACATGTGACGCTTAAAATATTTATGAGTTAAATAGAATTCATCAATAGGACTTGGTAATATTTGGACATTTATTGATTATTACTGTACCAGCTTTAATACAACGAGATAGAGATTTCTTTGCTAAAGCGATATTTTTTATACCTCAATTGAAATTAAAATATTAATTGCGGCTTTTACTAAACCGCATTGATCTGAGAAGTTGATTAATTCGTATTTAGGAACAAAATATGCAGTTAACTTCCTTTAATTTTCATAATTTAATAAAAATTATAGACAATTAGCGATTGAATCTGGTAGTTGGACTCGTCGTGGTAGTGTAGATCGAGAAACTGATCCAGATTCTACAGTTAAAATGCTATCTAAGTTTCTGAAAAGGATTGATAGTTATGCTGAAGATAAAGACGAAATTCAGGATGAAGGTCTGTAACTTTCTCTTATATGTTGTTTAAATAATAATGTATGTATCTTATTTTTTCCAGCATAGATATTATTTTTTACTCTTCTATGGCAACTAGATAAGTCGCATCTTAGCATTGTTATTATTTTGTATTATTAACATTGCATTAATTCACGATTATTGCATTGCTAATTTTCTATACTAAATCTATGAAGTAAATTCTAGTTACTATAGTCTATCCTTTGTATTTAAATCACGTAATACCCGATTTATAATAATTGGATGCAAAGGAAAAGTTCTTACGAAAGCACTTTCTTATTATACTTTACACGAGATTGCGGCCTATAAAATAATCACACTAACACGATCATAAAGATAGTTTTAGTTATGCATAAATAAAAACCAAGAAAGTCGTTGATGAATATTTTCGCTTTAACTTAAATAGTAGCACCAATTAATACTCTTCCGCAACAACAATTTTAGTGTATATGACTGTGCTACTGATATTAATTTCTACTTAAGAATATTCTTGTCATACTCCCGTAGTTAAAGACGACAAAGGTAATCGGAAGTAATACCAGCGTCAAAGATTGATGTAACGGTTTTGACTTCTGCAGACATGAATATTCAACTTTTACAGCGCTATAGATAGTTTAAGTTAATATTATTATATCTTGTAGTATTAACAGTGTTACAGTGTGTTTTAAGAAATGATAATGAATGTTTCACTTATTTACACTCTTTCAAAACTGGAATATTCTATATCAGGAGTCAGATATCTGAGAAAAATAATGAAGGATACAATAATTGTTAAAAAATACCGTTTAATAATGCTTATAATAACCAAATACATGCCTTAATAGGTATTTGCCTTGTGCGGTACTATAATATCAGACAATCATTTAAAATTAAAAAATTATTCAACGTATCTAATTAATGTTGTAATATAAGTAATAATCTACCTGCAGAGGGAACAGATCTTAGTGGATCTAATTTGTATAAGTTCTAAAATCTTCTCACTAACTTTGGCCTTATCAATAGGGAAAATAGAGGATATGAATGAATCAGAGGAAGTAAACGGTATTATGTACAATGGCGAAGATGAAAATGATAACGAAAGCAATAATGAAATTAACAATGATAGTAGAACCTGGCAGAAACAAGATGGAAACTTAGACGATTTGATTACAAGAAGTACTAGCTTTTCGCATAACAAGAATGATTACATACGCGATAGTTTCCGCGAAAAATCAAAACCCCTTACATCTGCTCGAAGTCGTCGCGGACAAATGATGTCAAAACAACGTGTTTCATCAACAAACGATAGTGTCTTCTCTGATTCGTTCGCATCAATGGATTCTAATTGTAGTACAAGATTTTGTCGAGACGAAAGTAGTGAAGGATTTTATTCTTCCATTGATCACGACGGAAAATGTGATTCACCTCATAGCCATGCCCTTCCTAGTAATGGCGGAGCTATTAAAAGAATTGCATCTGCTGGTGAAAGATCTGACCTATCATCTTTTAAAGCTAACCGGCATTCATTTGCAGCCAGTAGTTTGAAAAATCGAACAGGTTATTTTCTTGCCATTGTAATGGTAGCATTTACTACTATAAAACAAATACATTTATATACATCGCATATTTTAAATAGAATTTCGATCAAAAACGTAAATTTTTCTTCTTATATTGCTATAAGATTTACTTAAGCCTTCAATATAATAAATATGTAACTGTTATATTACGAACAGATTTAAGAAGAAAAGCGTTATTAAGAGAGCGTTATCATGAAGGTAATTTCAGTTGCGATGATACAGAATCGCCAATGGGCTCTTTTGATAGCGATTATGCTGTAGAATCGCGCGATGAAGATGCAACTACAACACAGAATGTTTTACTACGCAATAAAAATGTAGTTGTTTCTCAAATGTTAGAAGATGCTACAGGTAATAACTCTTAGTGATTATTTTTATTATAGCTAACTAAACTTAATAATCTCTTTCCTTCTATATTTAGGCGTTTTTCAAAAAGTTTCAATTCGAAGGAATGAGAGATTAGAGGTAAGCGATAAGATAAAGATTTTTATAAACTCTTAAAAATTTTTTCAATTTATCTCAAATATTACAGAAAAGTGTGTAAACTAATTTAACACTTTCTAAATAAATTAGAATATAAAAGAACCAGAATTTCGTAAAAGTACCGAAAAATCTGATGAAGAGGATATCGAGACATACTTTCAAAAATATGCGACTCCACAACAACGGCGCCATTTGCAATTGGTGAGCAGTTTTTTGCCATATATTTGCATTTAGTACACAATATAATTTAAATGATGTTGATGGCAAAACTACAGTAGCTATTGCATAGATGATTTAGTGTAAAAATATACTAGAGTCTAGTTGGACATACGTGTAGGCAGATATTTCATGCTTTGAAATAGTCTTAATTATTAAGATATAATCTACGCTACGAACTATTTTTAATAGCATTATAAGTACGGTAAGTTACTTTATCGGTACCGTTGGTAAATGTGGTCATTCATTGAGTACATTTATCGCATACCAAAAGCAGCAATTTAAGCAGTATCTTATGTAAGATGATAGTCATATTTCTACTTCAATTATATCTAACAACGGGTGTAAACATAATTTATCTTTACTTCTTAAATTATATTTAGACGAGGCAAAATAGTTTTGATAGTGATAATGGTTGTGGTATCGAGTCTGAAGAGGTTGAAATTAAAGGCGAAATCCTCTTTGGTCTTCGATACAATAGAAAGAACAGCACATTAGAGATTGATGTTGATCGAGCTCGTGATTTGCCCGTTATATCAAAAAAGCACAAATGCAATGCGTAAGTTCCTTTACTATATCAAAATTCTGGAAAATATGTGCAATACTAAGAAAAGCTATTATTAGCATTAGCCAAATATAACATAAAACTATCGACCTTCAAAGGTGCATAAATAGTGAAAAGATAATTAGGAATTAATTATGTAAAAATAATGTTTATCTCTAAAAGGCAGGCTTAATTTTAGGCAGTTAATAGCCTTCTTATGTTTATGTATTATTTAATCATGAAGGTCATTAATTGCAACTTTTCAATAGCTTAAATTGTTTCTTAAGAGTTTTAATCATTGTGATCCCATTCCATTCGACTATCTAGTTATATCAAAACTTATTTCGTACCTGAAACGGGCAAAAATTCTAAAAGAAGAACCACGGTAAAAAAAGGAACTACAAATCCGCAGTATAATGAGACTTTAAAGGTAAATATTAACTTTAATGAGTGCAGAAAAGAAGACTTTAAATAAGCATGTAAATTTGTGTGATAATATTAAAATAGCTGGGTATTGAATGCATACTGTTATGATATTCCTTAACTTTCAACCCTTGATTCTTTTGAAATATAGCTGTCAGGTTTATTCTTAAATTCTTCGTATCTTCTTACTAGTATAAAATATCTAGTGACGACGAGATATCGAAGAAAATACTTGTTATCAGTATATGGCATCAAGATAAATACGTTCCCAAAAAACAATTTCTTGGCGAGGTTAGAGTCCCTATGTCTAGTCTACCACTTCTTGATCAGCAGCTTCCGAGATGGCATAAACTAAAGGTAGGATTTAGTTATCATGAATATTTAAAGTATCCGCCAAGGCTAAGTAAAAAAATCGGCCAAATCGATCATTTCTGTGTTTTTTTTATGTTTGTAGCAAAGTTTAATATTATTTTAAGGAAAATTCTCGAATATTTATTGTATATTTTTATTTTTTTGACGGTTTATATTAACAGAATCGAGAGTAACAAACTTGGATTGAATTCATCACATTTTACAACACATTACAGAAAACGTACCTTCTTAAAGAATTAAACCGGAACTATTTATTGAACTCGTTTACGTACTTCAAAATCAACTAATAATTTCATGCTTTTAACAACCTTCTTATATAGTATTATTACAGTAATTCAGCAAATCATATTCTTACTGAACAATATTCTGGAATGGGACGAAATTTCAGTCCGCAATTAATTGCTTATGGCTGTTTTTAATTATAAATAATTGCAATTTGTTTTTATGTTACAGCAATTTTTAAAAAATCTCTGCGATAGGTCATATCGTCTTTAGTATTTTTAACGTACTTTATTACGTAGTCATAAGTGCATTTGAGATTCTTTTACGTTTTACTGCCTTTTCTACAACTAATTTAAAATGCATCCGATTACTGCGAAAAGTAGTTTTATGAGTAGAACACAGTAGAGTATTTAGATAGAGGCTAAATAAATTATGATACGTAATATAAGATAACAGAAATTTGATATAGTGTTAAGTTGAGTTAGGTCATATTAGTAAGGACCTAAGATTATTCGAGCTGGAAATAACAGGTAAATCGAAAGGATTTGTTTTCTTAGTAATAAAGAGCACTAATAATGGTAATTGTATTATGACGACGCACTTGTTCTTTGGTAGAATTCAATAGCTTTCAGTCAAAAGCATCGAGGTCAAGAGAAACTTCTCTTAGCTCTAAGAGCAAAACTTTATCTTAAGATTGCCTTGTATGCATACAGATCAGATATGATGTTGTTGCATTCGATTTTGCATTAAAAGTAAACAATTACAGTGATTATACTCATGAGCTACCAAATAAATTTCATGATCTGAATCATCTAAGAAATTAGAGAAGCGCAGTGAACTTTATGTTTCCTTACTGATCTATCCCTACCCACCTTGTTTAAATGGCACATAACTTCTTTATATATTTAGACATTTACAATAACTAAGAAAGCACTTCTTCAAATACAAATCGTGATGCTCGATCGAAGCATTATTTGCTGTTTTTTAATTAATGCCTTGGATATCATAGACCTACGAGTTTATACCTTAGGAACGATGCTCTAAGTACCCCCAATATAATCGATGTTCCATTGGTATTTGTTCAATATATTACAAATGTACATACCAAACACCAATGACGTATGATAATTGGTTGGACGTTAAAGGTTACCCTGATCGATTTTATGTGCAAAATCTAATACGAGAACACGATTAGGAGTTAATTTAAATTGACTAAACCAGTTTCGAATGCATTTTGTGATGAAGTGTATTCTCAAAAATGAAGCAAAAAATTATAGTTTCTTATAAACTTCGCTTCATTACATGAGTCGGTTACGTCTAGCAACTGCCAAGGACTATCTCTCGAGTCCTAGACAATCCCTGAGGTATCTAAATCATTGATGCAAAATTTATGATTTATATATACAACTAGTTAAAGAATGATTTTCTTTCATTATAATCATTATCTTGCCAATTAAGTCACAAGATCAGATCTAAATCTACTATCGCGCTATATATTCTGTGCAAAATTCGCGCTTATAATATAGTCAAAGGGTGGCAACTCAATTGCAAAATTACGTAGAAGGCACTTGGACAATGGACATGAAACTCTATTCGGACGGTCGGACATACGCGCAACTAATCAGTATCTCGGTATCTTAACTGTACCGTACAGTACTGTACAGTACCCAGTACAGTACGGTAGAGAAGTTGAATACTGTACTGCACAGTGTACAGTGTAAGTATTCTAACCACTACGCAATCGCACATTTCCGAATATACTGTACAATACTGTACTGTAGTACAAATGTACCATACTGTACTGAAATGAAAGTAGGATCAGTTGAATCAGCGCCGTGATTTGTCTGCCAACCTGCATGCCCCGAATTCTACCATCTCAGTTTGCCACTGCAACTAAGCAAATTTTAGCCAAAAGAACTATTATGAGAAAAATTATAAACCTAAAGGACTCTAAGGTAACTGATCTAACTCTAGTTTGTGGTATTAATGTACTCGTATGTATCGTACTCCTTGCTCAAACTGAAAGAGAAATACGATAACGAACCCTCGCTCTGTCCGTTACGCTACAGGGAGATACGTTGCATTTAAATCAATCAGTAAGAATAATTTTGCTTCGTTCGTGGTATGCCATAGGCGCAGTAGAGAGGTTGCACATCTATCGGCTGTTGCAATTATTGATTTTCTCTTTATTAATTTGATTATTTTACTTTGGAGTGAAGTATCATACATTAGAATCGTAGAAATTATTCTGCTACTGGTTTTACTAATGTACGCGTACTATACTTGAGTGTGCACTACGTATTTGTGGTGAGACCTTTCTGACTACATTGGCGAAGCTGACGGGTGTTTTCCATCTATCGACTGCACGAGAATTTATCGTTTTGCTAACGTGATATATATATATACGTTTAAAGATTAGCTAGTTATGAATTTGACAAATACTTAACGTATAGTACCATCTTACATGGTGATCGGTACTTTAGATTCCAGCTAATAGCCAGAAAAAGTTTTAACTTTCGTTCCAAACAAAGCTGTTGATCTCGAATAGACATTGTACAATGTACAATATACGTGTATGGTACCGCCAATCTATATAAATTGAATGTAATTTATATAGAGAGCAATAAAGTATAGGAGAATATTGAATGGAATCTTATTTGCTGTTAGTCAGTACACGATCAAGTTACTCAGACAGCGGTTAGCGCAGCCAAGGAAAGTTTGCAAGCTGGCAACATTATTGCTTTACCTACTGATACTATCTATGGTATTGCTGCTTTAGCCCAGCTCCCTAATGCTGTCGATAAATTATACAATACTAAAGGTCGTAGGAGAGATAATCCAATTTCTATCTGCGTAGGCGATGTTGCTGATTTAAAAAGGCAAGTACATTTACGTCCGTTTACTACTTATGATAACCGAATTGATGATTAGAAATTGATTCTTTATTCATATATATTCGATGTATGTAATATAATTAATTGCTTTCTGCATAGATGGTGTTCGGTATGTGTTTGTGATGCTCTTCTATACGATCTCCTACCTGGCCCGGTAACTTTGGTATTCCAACGCCATCCAGTTTTAAATCCTAAACTTAATCCTAATACAAATTTAGTTGGTATTCGTATTCCTGACTTTCCATTCATTCGAGAGGTCGCTAGAGCATGTGATCAACCATTAGCATTAACTAGTGCCAATAAAAGTCTTGCGCTTAGCAGCTTAGCCATTGATGAGTTTCAATCCCTTTGGGATCAGTTAGACGTTATCTTTGATGGTGGAAGAATTTCACAGAGTGGAGATGACCAGTCATCTCGTTTAGGATCAACTGTTATTAACTTGTCAGTGGAAGGATATTTTAAGATTATAAGGAAGGGAAGGTAGGGCTGTATAAAATATTATTTTTAAGAAATACAAAACTCGATTTCATTATTACTTATTGTGCTATAGTAACTAAGTTAGGCAATTATTATTAGATATACTAGTCAGCTTACGCATTAATCTATTCATGTGCAAATTATAGTGCCTTTGAAAATACGGTAAAGCTACTGGTAAATAAATACGGCTTAATAGAATTGATCGATAGCAAAGACAACTGAGCTGATGCAAGACCTCAATGGTGAAGTGTAACATATGCAAAACCTTATTTAACACTAAGTTATATATCTTCCTTAATCGAATTGCCAAAATCTAAATAAAATCTTTTGGATTTGATATATTGTGTCGCATTTGGTTGGTATTGCACTATATTTTCTTGCTTGGTCGTGCCCATACAGTACAGCTGGTGTACTCTGTTTATTATCGGTTTCTGCGTAACAACGAACTTATGGAAGTATCTATTGTATATACGTTGCACACAAGATCTAATATCAGCAGTAAAATAGATTTAATTGATACACGATTAATGAAGACAATCGTATATCAAATTAGCTTGTACCTCGTCAAGAAAAACCTACTGCCTGTCAAGTTAAAGACTTCTAAATAATTAACAGTCATAACGTTACTATAATTGAATACTAATTCTATAGAAACTTTAACTGTTAGATTCGTTCGATCTTTGCAGTACTAAAATTAATCTTTGTTTCATAATTACCGTACTGCTGATTGTCTGAAAACCTAGCATTTGCTCCTTAACACTTATGTCACAAAACAACTTTCGTGAACGTACCTAAACTAGTCTATCTACTCTTAAGGTTCCCCAACTAACTCCGGAGATCCTCAGTAAAGGAAAACTAACTTATTCCTATACCATAGACAACGAGTCCAACGATAGGTTTAGGTTATTAAATATTTTATTACCAGCTATTGCAACTTAGTACCAGTGTACTCTAGCGTAGCCTTCGTGGAACTCAGATTAAAAAGTAATGATCAAGCTTATATACAGTTTCATATATCACACAAATAAGATCGGTACTAATCTTTCACATTAAATTATAGAATGTGCAATACAGATCCATACAGGCTTACTATAGATTCGACTAGCTCGAGTGTTACTTATCACTTGTCACAAATTAATATTATTAATTGGCACCTTATTAACTAACATAATAATCTTTACAGCTTGACATCTTCGTTGCTAACACCATATCCACGCTGTATATTACTAGGATAATTAATAACAAAACTCAATTAACAACTAGGTTGTTGCCGAGATCGGCAACCTCCATAATAATATTGTTACACATTTTAGATCAAAATATTATTCATTTCGGAGCGAGCTCCGTCACAACTTATTTCGTGTGTTTGGTGGAATATTTTTGGGTAGAAATTTTGAGGATTGCGTTATGTGATAAGAATACATCCATACCTATTTCTTTTTTATTATTTATATTTAAGAGCACATTTATTGAATTGGAAGGAGAAGATGTTTTTAAGATACAGTATATCAGTAAATTTTAGCTTAAATACATGATAAATAAAAATCTAGCAATATTGTAACTGTGCTGTATCACACAGATTAGGAATTGATATTTGGATAGAATGTCCTCTTTTGTAAAAATTAAAATAAGTGACATACATGAAATTTAAGATATAAATACTTTAAATCATAACTAAAAAGTATTATTTCCTGATATAATAAAGTATTACAGGATTTTAATTTGTATTCTTAGGCATACTTTGCTGATAATGGCATAGACGAGATTTAGCAAATTTTCACTTAGTGTTTATAATTCAAATTAATTCCTCAGATACGATAAACTGAATTAATTATAGACAGTTAGACTCGGAATTATCCAACGTAGCACAATACCAAAATTGCTTTGCGATTGATATCATAATATGATTTTGAGAGCGTGAAATGTATTTTTACGTAAAATGTAATGTATACAGCTGTTACATATTCTTTAGTTCGAAATTTTACTATCTCTCAAATTTATTATTGATAGTATGTTCCTGAAGATGAATTCTTAAAGGTTTGTAATTATTGCAATTATCACTTTTTGCTTTCTCTAGTTAAATACATACATGTCTATTATTATATTTTGGAACTCTTCCGATCGTATTATTAGTTTATGTCTTAGCTATATTCATTAAATCAATTAAATTCATGCTAAGTTATATAGTATGCTGTACATATGAAATTCTTAACATTTGCAAGCTTGCTATAGCTTGTAAAGTGCACTATTATTTAATTAATCATATTTTGCCCTTATTTTGTTAACCATTACATACGTACAACTATGAACTAGTAGGATGATGAGTATCTTTCTTTGACGGGCGTTTGTGGCGATTTATGATACCTTTCTTATTCGGTTCAATTTTGCTGCTGGGAAGACTCTCATCACTAGCTTTCATTTTGTTATCGCTGTGTGTCTGAATTAACTTTTTGGAAGATGCTATATGAAACTCTGATAGATCATTTGTTATACTTCTGTAGAGTTTCGTATGATATCGCTGAATTTTTGCTAGAGTAAGCTTAAAAGTAGCAGAAGCATAGCTCGGAATCTTTAATTTGATAGCTCTTGTTATACTTTCTTGACTTAAACCAAGCTTTTTGTGCATGGCTCTGATTATTTGTTTCTCAATATCTTTGGGAAGTGTAACTGAATCGTTAAGCATGTCCAGATGTTGCAGATTATTATTGCAGGAATTGCTTAGCCACTTATGTTTCCTAGCATTTGAAAGTGAAATTCTTTCTCTTGGGTCCACACTTAGAAATTTGAACATTAAATCGATCGCATCTGCCAAAAATAATGATAACTCGAAATAAAATTCTTGTCTGTCAAATTCTATTTTTATGCCTGTTTGATTTCAGTACCGTGTATTTAGCTTTTAAGTACTAATACTACTTGACAAACTAAGTGTAAAAAAATTTAAACATAATTGTCAAGTTCATTATTATTATGATCATCTATGTATTGGATAAAAGATTTTGAGTAAGTGTAATTAGGTTTAATCATAGATTGTTATGCCTGACTTTTAGAAATTAAAAAATTTGAAGTAGCTAAATTCATTCAATCTATTCCTTAGAAGTGATTTATCTTCTCAAATTATATGTCAGGTTCTTTACTCTTAAAATATATAGTGCCTTATTCTTGGCGTAACAGACGCTAATAAATAAATCGAGTACCTTCAGAGAGACTGTCTGGAACGGGGTTGATTTGAAAACTCATGATCTTTTGATGAAGTTCTTTAATATCGGCTGATTGAGTAGTAAATGGCAGCGATGCTGTAAGCATAGCAAACATATCGACACCTCTGAAGAAAAATTGGCGATTATTTATAAAGGAGAAATTCAATTCCAAAATTGCGTTAAAACTGTTGAATTATGAGACTTCAAATAACTGTAATGCTAGAGATTACGCTCATGGTACGGTATGTAACAATAAAGCATGAATGGGCTAATTAAACTTAAATAAAATATTACTTACATACTCCATATGTCCGCTTTAGGACCATACTCATCAATTGCTAATAACTCTGGAGCTGTATAGGCTGGCGAACCGCATTGAGACTGACACAGTTTACGAATAAAGAATACATTGGCTTTTTCACGCCGAGTTTTCGTAAAAGTGCTAAGTCCAAAATCTGCAGTACCAAGATTAGTCAAGGATCTAAGGTTTGTAGTATGGATACTAATTCATATCTTACCAATAATTTTAATGCTATCATCTTCATCAACTAGTATATTTTCAAGCTTTAAATCTCTAGCACACGTATATCAAGATACAAATTATACCAAAAAGTTATCAAAAATCATTACAGGTCATAATTTGAAATAATCTTCAAAAGATAACGTTGAAAGCATTTGATCAAAAAATGTAGAAATAGCATCTCGTCATTAAATTTGTCAAAATTTCAACTAGTAGACTTACCGGTGGATTATATCTTGTGCGTGTAAATAATCAGTCGCTTCAATTATTTGCTTAATATACTTTTTGGTTCGATCTTCAGACAGTTTCCCGTTCTCCTCCAGAATGTCCGCCAAAGATGTATTACAAATTAATTCCATAGTAAGGTAGTAGTTATTGTCTGTTTCAAAAGTTTCTAGCAGTTGAACCACGCGAGGATGACTGATATATCGAAGAATTTTAGCTTCACGATATAAGTGTCTGTTAGCATAAAAGTCATTCCGCAATTTTTGTTTATCCAGAACCTTAATAGCTACCTGCAAATTAGGATACAGATGAAATTTGGGTATTTTGAAGTAGTTTGAAATAAAGCAAAGAAAAGACTGCCATATATGTGTATGTGGCACTGAAATTGATGTAACAAAGTGTTTATTCCCTAAGAATTATATAGCCATTCGCATAGTTAGTAATAAGCCCTTTTGATTTTGAACCTCGTCCAGTTAATGAACATAAGATACTGAATTAGGATTTAGTAAAAATACTAAGTTTTTCGGAACAATTATTTCGTAGCAGATTAAGCTTGTACTTTATCGTTTTAATTATAAAATCAACTAATAAACAGTATATATTCATAAACAAAAATTTTAACTGAAATTTTAACTGTCAAAATGATAATAGTCAATAAATCTATCAAAAACTATTTTAAAATGCCTGTATTTATTAGCCTTCGCTTCAAAGCTGATTTAAGCTATAGTAGAATTTTAAACTTTACTATGCTAATTTTTCTCATTCATATTAAAGTATCCTATTTCATTAAAATATTGCAATAAAAGATTATGATACCGTATGGCTAATCTGAGATCATGATAATTGATTACGCACAAAATCACTGTATTTAACTACTAAATACTGTAATATCTAAGATGGACAAGATCATGTCAGTCCCCATTTATGGTGCGCTACTCTCTTTTTAAATAGTTCTACATCGAAATCAAGACTAACATTACAGATTTAAATATTTAAAAATCAATTAATATTTTCGTTTAATAATCATTTGTATACGTATACCCTACTGACCTTCTCTCCGGTAACAATGTGTAAGCCTTCGTGAATGGCAGCAAATAAACCTTGGCCAATTCTTTTACCAATTAGATAGCAGCTAATTCTTTTCTCGAATTCATAATGTTCGAGTTTCGACATCGGGAAAAAACAAATTTCTTTAGACCAAGCATCGTTTTGAACGCTGAAACTATTACATCGACTATTTGACGCAGTTGCCATTGCTACTAAAGAAGTATCATACTACGGAAGGCGTAGGTCACAGATTTGATTATATATAGCAAATCATTTGTAGAATATCATTATCATCGCTATCTTGTTGTGTAGTACGATAGAAGATTTTACGTTTATAGATGAATAAGGATATTTAACATCTGTAAAGGCGTAATACGTGTTTGTTTTATAACAAATGCTTTACAACTCAGCAGTTTAAAATCATCTATTAATAAAGGCCTTGCTAACAATCAGTTCGCATATATGTTATCACAATGCTCTTGTATCATCTAAACTAGCGTATTATATCGCGGGTATAAATCACCACATGTTACCATATTGGCAACATGAAGTATTACAATACTAACAAAGCGTAAGGTCGAAGCAACGCTTAATTAGAATAAATTTTGAAGCTTTCGAATCTTACTAAAGTTCTGCAATCTATTTATTATTTTATCTATATTAAACTCCTTAATATTTTAAGTAATTGCTAATCGATTGTTTAATCTTCACAATCCTAGTACTTATCATAGTATTATTTATGTACTTAATGTTATGACTGAAATTTAAATTTAATTAAGTTGTGGTAATGTACGGTAAAGATTAAATAACATTTCAGTAACGTTACAGTAAGGCAACTTAGTATACAGTACCTTCGATAAAAGTAATTTTCTTGTGCATAAAAATTAATTACAATTATTAATTACTCATATATCATATAATGCATTGTCTCTCTAATTGAATTATTCAATCAAAGTAACCGATTTAAGATCGAATTCTATAAAATTTTCATTTATTACTCAATGAAGGTATTATTTTGCGTCATAGGTAGGACTGTCTGATCGAAACTATAACTAGAATTAACGTATTATTCTATCAGTTATATTAATGCTCACACAATGCGTGTTGGTAACAAATGTTTGGATCATTGATTTACTACCTAAATAGTAAAAATACCCGGAGATAAGCTTTCACTCTTTATAGAAATTATCATATCTAGTAAAATTTTTAAATCTAAAATCGGATAGGGTACTATAGATGCTTTGCCTTGCAATGCTATATACTTGGATTTGCTACTTTTCGTTAATTTATATAATGCTTTATAGAAATCGCCAAAATTACAATTTACTTTAATTCAGTGAAATGGAATAAAATTTTATGATATCTATTCCATAAATATTCAATAATCGATATTAATGGATAACATCTCACTCATATTCTAGATGTTGATACAAGTAAAGCGTTATTGATCTATTTTGCATACAGGCTTTAATATTACAATGGACTTCCAATTTCTGAATATAATATTCATCAGAAATTCTTTCATTGTTATTAGCAATTCAAGTATCCATATGGTGGCATAATGCTATTATAATTATCATGAACATGTTATCAACACATTGTTAGTGGATTGTTCAAAGGGTAAGAAATTCGTTCAATCTTGAACGTCGAGACTACGTTTTTACGCTTTGATCACTAATACAGTAGTAACAGTATAACTTACGGCTTTCATACCATAGGTGCATGATCATAGTTATCATAAAGTATTTAGGGCACCCGTACTCTATCGAATTTATGTATACTCAAATCGTACTTATGGAAATGTTGACGTCTACCCCAGCCAGTAATGATAGCAAACCTATAATGCTGTGTATTGTACTGAAAATAGCGGCATGATACTTTAGCTATTGCGTATTACTCTATATAATCAGACCGATATCTCAACATCGTTAGTGTGACTACCGTTATTTAATTGCACTATTTACCATTTACGAAACAGATTTATTGCTAGTACGAACGTGTCTTAGTTACTGCTTATTATTTTCAATAAGATGGTGCCTAAAAATCATAAGTGTGACTGCTGTTCTTTAAACGTCCTATTTACCATTTATAAACCATATTTATTCCTAATATGAGTATAACGCAACAAAACTGAAGTGTCTAGTTACACGAACAACATTTAGCATACGCCCTTGATAGATTGTTGTTTCGCAGTTTGATATTCTTTACCGTTTATAGAGTTTATGTAAACGAGGCTTAATCTAGAAATACTGAGTTCTTATCAGTGTTATACGATATTATCTTTATAATTAGTAATTACTTTATCCGATACTGCACACATGTAACTTTTGTTACTGTAGTGCTACATCAAAGCTGCCAGTATCATTCCTAAATCGATTTTGGCAAATTTTTCTCGTCATTATGTTAATACGAGTGATAGCGATTTCATTACTGTTATTTTATTTTCAGCTTTGTAATACCTATCTTAACAGCTATAAAGCTTAACTAGAGGATAAATGAAGTACATTTATACACTATAAGTATGACATAAGCTATTACCAAGATTAAATTGATCCATAGATGGCAGATAGACATCATGAATAAATTCTAGAAAAGCAAATCAGCTGGATTAAATAATTCCATACAAGATTTTACGGACCGAGTAATTGCATAAAAATCGTGTACCAATTTCTGAGATAGTACATAATAATTCCAAGGAGGGAGACCTTCCAATATATCTATCAATGCAATCCGGGTCGTGAATGAAATAGTTAAGATAGTTCATCGTGTAAAATTGTTTTTGGAGGCTTGAGTACAGTGCAAAAAGCAAGTTGCTTAAAGCGACTCTTACAAATCTTTGAAAATATACAATGATAAACTCATTATAACTGAAAATTTTATCAACAACGAAATACTCGTAGTTTACTCTTTTATCGAGTTTGATATTGCATATCTGTTGCTGTTAGGAACTTCAGTTGCTATATATTTATTTACTTATACGTAATTTGATAGCTATAACGCATTACAAATAGCCTGTAATCTTTACTGTCCATGTGTTTATGATAAAGGAATCATATGCCTAACTTGAATAGCCTGAACGGTGTTAAATTCGACTTTCATGAGCTGACACATTTTTCTGAGAAATAGGCTTTATCCAAAGGCAACCTGTGACTAAGCAAGTCTTGATTCTTGAAATGAGTACTGCATACAAATACCCTAATCTAATTATTATTTTTCAATTAGTATTATGGTCGCATGTTAACGCTAATCTGGTTACTGAGTCACTAATCGCGTTATAAACTTGAAATTTTCCATTAAGCTAAAATCATTTCGGGGTTAGCCTCATAGAAGGGGAATTTTTTTCTATACAATTACGAAATTTAGGTTCAAAAACCTTTTCAAAAGGATCAGGTATACATATATAAACTATGAAAATCTGATTATTGACACTGGTATAGCTATTATATCATTAGAATACAGGTAGTACTGGATTTAAAGCTTAAGAATAAATTCTAATTTGAGGAATTTTAATAGCTGATACAGGCACTTGGCATACGGTATTCAAGATAAGTATCTAGCAAATCTAGGTTAAGAAAGATTAGTACATAAGTACTTTCAAGTAAACTGAAATTACTGTAATCACATAAATTATAAATATTTAACGGATTAAATGATAGATTATAAGAATAACTGATATTTTGCTGTCAATTTTAATTTTATAGCAGTCAAATCGCTTACACTATCTCGTTAATACTGAAGGTAAAGATTCGGTCTAATCCCAAGACCTAGAACTTGGCCAGAGTAGTTGCTTTAATATTCTTAAATTGGATTTTATAAAGGAATCGTCCATTACGGTACTGTACATCAGATATGAAATCCCAGTGGATTCTCTGCATTAACTTCATAGCTGTCGTTTGGCTTGTAATAGCCTGTAGTTGTGGAATTGCAGGTAGAAATTTAAATATGAAATATTGATGTAAGGCTTTTCTTTATTTTCGTGTCATATGCTGAATTATTATTATAATTTCTAATAGCAATCAGTAATGGTTGTCCAAGCATCTGCAATTGCAGCAATTCATCTATAAGTTGCTCGAGTAGCAACTTAATAGCATTGCCCGACATTAACTATACTGGCATAGGATATGTGAAGTCACTGTTAGTATAATCATTAATAGAAATATTTTATTCATAGTTTATGTTCAAATTACTTCATTTATTACGGTATATTTAAGACTAATCAAAACAGGCTAGGCTATAAATCCTTTAACGTAATCAATACGTATACTAATATAATTTTAATTATTGATCTGTCTTCACGTGCTGCTTACGCGAAGAATGAATGATCTTATACAGTCCACTATTACTGAAATTGATTATTTAGTCAATCTATATTTTTTTAATAATTAAAATAATGTATTGAAAAGAATCCAAATAGAAATAAAATATAGCTTCCTAACTAAAATTAGCAAGTGGTACTCTACGCGTTCTTTTACTAACCACACGTCTAATAGCTGTAGCTCTCTTACCGATATTATTCCTCATTATATCTTTCGAATTATGCCAAAATTTTACTACTTGTTTGATCTACGTGATGATATTTAAGTTTTTATCGCTTAGGATAATCAATAATACCAGTATCAGAAAGATAAAAGCGAGAAGCTTCATTAACTACCCAGAGTTGATCGTGTTGTAAGTAATTCGAATGTGTATAATGCTATCTTCCTGATTTAGGATATAACTTTTTTCATCTCTGTCAAGTTGTGCCTATTTTATCTAACGACATGACATGTATCTCAAACGATATGATACTGTATTATTTGGAACTTTCGAAAGCATACATCCTAGTTTAGTTGTAAGGGTAAGATTGAGACTCTAGATTATGGTACATTTCAAAATATTAATTAATACGATTATAAGAATTGCCTGTATGTTCGATCTCATTGTTAGATTACAGAGCAAATTCATCTATATCAAAAATCTAAAAACGTTAATATGCTGCAATATTGTTATGATATTAACATTGAGTACAATGTATCATGGAGAATAATTCAGTAGCAGCTTTTTTATCATAGTAGAAATGGACAGATACAAAGGATTGACTCTTTTCATAGTATTTGTATAAAGTACATTTACAAGAATCTAACGGAGCATCTTGCCGTGTCCAATTGTTCATATCAATTTTAAAAGGATGATAAGCAAATGAAAATTTATAAGGCCATTCTTATCTATGATTATTTGCCGTAGGAACATTACTAGTAGTCTTATCGAGGTTATCGAGACTGATGCGTTCTGCAGATTACCACATCTAACCAATCTGTAAGATTTAAAATTCATTCTATTTTCTAGATTGCTATATCGGTAAGGTTTATTTATGCTAGCATCTTTTATAAGGTCTTTAGAAGCCAATCGGCTACAAGCTCTTACATTTGGATCATTTAATTGCCTAAGTAATTTAAAATTATTGTAAGTAGCACTATCCTAGGCTTCCAAACCCATTCTTAGTTTACACTTGATTGTTTGACGGTTGCACTATTTAGTTATTCGCGTTTTGATACCTTAGTCTCTTAGAATGTTAGATTTATACTCAATGTAACTTTAAGATGTTTTATAATGATAAATTTAAGTCAGAATATAAGTGTAATATTAGCTGATTTTAAAAGATAAAAGTTTACCCATGTTACAAATCTTTGCAAGGCTGGGATATGGTTGCTTAAATCATTATTAAGCACATGAAATCAGCACTAAGCTCTGATGTCGTAATAAAATCTTAGCAGAATTAATCGAACTAATACGAATGTATAGCTCTGTAAAAGGCGCTCCAAAATCTTAGTTTTTGTTTTCTAATTACTTTCTGCATTAAATTTAAAATTGTTAAATGTACAGTAGCTTCAACTAAAAATTTATCAATAAGGTTACTATACGCTCAGTACGATACTACTACATTAAACTTCATTTATAACCTGGCCATTAAAATCCGTATATTCAATTTTTACAGGATGTTAAGATCGAATGCTCTGCTACATATTGAATCGAAAGCGTTTTGTATGTTGCAAAATTTGCAGTACCTGTAAGTATAGCATTTAGGTGTTAAGTATAAGTGGTTAAATTACAGATATAATTAGGCGGTGCTATTCTTACCTCTATACGTATTGTATGAAAATGTAATTTCACTAGAATTCTGGATAACAATCGTCTAAAAGCCATGTCTCAAGGTGACTTTGGCTGCCTATTGAATTTGAAATATTTGTAAGTTTGAAGTTTACAGTACGCATTTATAAGTACGCGTGTGCATAGTTCGATTCTGGCTATATTCCAACGCTTAAGCTTAGATTTAAATTTAAATTGTTTTTCGTTACTTCTATGCATCATTGAAGAGGGATCAATAAGGATTTTATTTCTACTTATTATGGATATATTTTTCATAAGACATTAATGAGATGAAAATGTCTCGAGCACAATTGCTTACCATAGTGTCTACTTGCAACATAGCATATCAAAGTTCTATTTGTATTAGGAGAATCAATATTTCACCATAGAAAAGATAAATCATATATCCAGTGAAATTTAATTTGTTATAAATTGCGTAGAGCTAAAAATGTACGCTGTAAAGTTTTATTTTATGATTTAAATGAATCTTTATTCGAAAGAACAATCAAACATTAGTGAGATATTAATCAATAACGACAATATTTATTATGTATTATTCCTTAGCTAAAAAATTGTAGCTTGTAATAGATTAGAAATTTGATCAAGGTTTACTCTTCTGTAAATCTCAGGCGACTTAAACACAATGCTATCACTACAATTGAAGCCAACTCTTTATGTGGCTTGGAATCTCTCATTCGCCTGTTCGTATCGATAAATATAATTAGATTAATAATTAAAGCTAACATATACGGTTAATAATACGTAAATATTGAAATTGCTTTACGAGATTTGACTAAATCTGCATGTTAAATTTAGTCAATAAAATTATTCAAAATTATTAAGCGTCCTCAATCAATATTTATGACCAACAAGCTCATAAGAACTTATTTATTTCTACTATAATGAATATTATATTACACAGTAATTTGAAGGGTAATCGTCTGAAGGTTGTTAAAAATAATAGTTTGGCCTGCCTATCAAATTTGGAAGATTTGTGAGTATCATACAAAAAGACAAAGACAGTTGGAGTATGCGCTATACACATGCTTAAATAGCTAAGATAATTTCTGTATTATAACGATTATCAAAATGATTAGTTACGGAATAAGATCATATCTTATTCTACAATCTCAGGCTCACGCAAGTAAACTGATCAAAATATTTACTCATATATATATATATTAATTATAATATATTTTAGATATCTTGAGTATAATGCCATTGAAGAAATTGAACCGAGTTCTTTTATTAATCTGAACAAAATTCGAATGCTGTAAGATTTTTAAATCAAAAATAATTAGCATTTTTGGAGCTGGTGGACAGTACTCTATTATCAAAGCTTTAAATATTAACTTAGTATTCAATTATATAGCATTGTCAGTATAATTCATTCTGCCACTTATACAGCCGGCATAGCTTTTAAAATTTCAGATTTACTGAATTACCTATCTTCGCATTTATATTTATAAGGTTTTGATAAATTATACCTCTATACTGTTCTTTAATTGTTCCTTTAATCAGAGATCTGGCTGGAAATCGGTTGAAAATTATCCGTCGTACTACCTTCGCTGGTTTGCAGTCAATGCAATACCTGTAAGTTATAGAACTAGATGATCAGCTAGAAGCCGCTAGCTAATCTAAAGGCATATTTTAAGTATAAAGATATACTGCAAGTATTCGTATAAAATAGTAGAACTTTATCCAATTATTTCGTTACTAACTTAGATATCGCCTATATTTAAAATCGCTATCTATTTATCCCAAAATTCAATGTATCATTATACCAACGCCAGCAACGCACTTATTTACTATATTAAATTAATAGAAAGCAATTTTAGTTGCTTACAGTGTATCAAAGCGAACCTATTACTCATATTTTATGCACTACGTAAACTTGTTATGTATGTTACTACTTGCAGAAGTTAAGAATCATTACGTTAATCCATTATATAAAATATTCATTCTTACATCAGACTATATCCAATATTTAATACCCCTATGTAAGCTTTTTCATGAAATAGCTGTAGATACGTGGAACCCAATCACTATTTACGGAAATGAGCTATCAAATTTTCATTGATTTAGAAAACTCGAGCAAAATTCAATTATTTACATAGAACCGAATTCATTTTGTGGATCAGCTCGTATGGTAGAACTGTATGGTTTATTTTACATGAGAATTATCTTGTCTTCGTATGCAGCACAGCATTAAATGACACCAGTTTCTTATTATAATATAATTTACAGTCTGCTTCATGCGAATAAAATCCATAAGATTGAACGTCATACTTTTGCCTGTGTCTCAAGAATAGAATTCCTGTAAGAAGTTATGCATTAAAATAATGATAAAAAAATTTATACCAAGATAAAAGAAATTTTTTATGTTTGCTTCGTTAGTAATAGCTATAGATATTGTTTATGCCCTTAACTCTCTTAATAATGCAGTTTAATTAATTTTTATTTTCGATGTCTTACCGTTTTCTAACTTTAAAAATGCTGAATGTGTTATCAAGTGTTCCAATCATTTCTAGTTGAACTGTTTAGTCTTCATACTTAAATTCAATGGATCAAGTTATCTAGTTTATTAACCGATACTATAGTTCAAGCTCAAATTAGTAATTGTGAATTCTAGGTTGGGTATCAGTTTAAGAATATATGTAAAATATTTCTATATATACATTTTACATTTCATATTTATGTTTCCACTTTATTAGGAATATGGATAATAATAATATCCAATCGATCGAAAGCGAGGCATTCTGTTCAATGCCGAATTTGTTGTTCATGTAAGCTAATCCGAATTTAAATAGTAAAGTGAACATTTCAAATAGTAACAGAAGTTTAAACTTTTCTTAACCATTCCTTAGTTCCTAATTATACTGCACAATTTATAGCTACAAAGTTAATCTGCATTTATATTTTCTACATCTCTAAGCTTTCTTAATAAAACGGTATTCCGTATTAAGCCAGTTGCATTTTAACAACAAAGTTTATCATTAGAACATTGGAATTACAATAATTTCATATTTTTCTATAGGTCTATAAGTGGCAATAAACTATTTAAAGTTTCTAATGGAAGCCTTACATGCCTTTCTCATCTAATTGGAATGTAAGAGAATTTAAAGTCATGTCTAATGCTATATTACAGTAATTACAAAGTTTACGTTCTCATAGCATGGCCTATCTATACCATGTTATATTAATTTTTCAATCATTCAACACATTGGTACTGAATACTAGTAGTATTTTTGATAAATTGACTTAGCTAGCGCGTGAAATTGTGCATGTACAATTGTACAATGTACAGGGCTACTGCAGAGTCATATAAACGCGTGTAAATAAGATTTTGAAGATTTCTACCTTTACAAAATATAAATGAATTATTGAAATTTACTTAATCAATAAATATGGTCATAATGTGATCTCTGGCTGTACAACCAGCATTTGAATTCTTTATAACCAAACATTGCATAATTTCGAGTCATTCGCAAATACCGTTGGTATTTATGCCAGATCTTATGAAGCTAATGAAATTACTGAGATTGACGACAATGCCTTCAAGCCGACAATCAAACTACAATCACTGTGCGTGTAGTAAAATAAAATTAAACTTTATAATCTTATCGTAAATAGTGTGATAATTCAGGCAATTGATAGTAAAGTAAATGTTAACTAATATTTAAAAAATGCTTTTCATTTACAGATGTTAAGCGAATTTATATTTTTAATTACTTCAAATCATTAGCGATTTTTCAGACAATAAGTTATCAAGGATACAGCCGAACAATTTTGCTAATCTTGCTAATCTCCAAGAATTGTATGTTGTAACACTGACAATATCTAAAACTAAGGACAGGAAATTTATCTCGACTTTTAACACTTCAGCAACGTGATATTGTTCTAGAAAAGGTGTCTTTGTATTTAATTAAATATGAAACATATTCAAATTATTCGATTTTAGACAGCTTGCTGGAAATGCAATCAGGACTATTGAAAGTGGTTCATTTTGTAAATTAAAGAATCTTAAAGTATTGTAAGTAAGCTATGAAGGATGCTTATAGCAGACTTGAACAGTCTGTAAAAATTTAATATATTGTGCGCTAATTAAATAATTGTTATTCTAACATTAGCTTATCGCAATTAATTAAATGAAAGAGATTTATATTTTACAAGACTAAATCTAAAAGTATTATTTTACTAAAGATTGTGTTTCGTAATTTAATTCGTAAATCCAGTAAGGATTATATATATTTGTCATAAATCGAAACGTAATTAGTTTCATATATTTTATTGTAATGAAATTCAAATCTAATGAAAACGTCAGTAATTGGTAACAGCTGTAATTACAACTTATTGGGAGTCTAGCCTTAACGGAGGATAAGTAATAACTGTTTACAGAAAGACCTCGCTTTATATGCAACTAGCAAAACATCATCTGCCACCTTACGATTTGCTTTTGCTTCCAAATTAATACAGTAGGAGCTTCTCCTAATACCATCGTGCCTTATATAATCATTATCATTCCAAATGCAGCATAGATTGCAACTAATTACATTGTTCACATACTTTTAGTCGATAACACTATTATAATCATCACGATAGATAAGATGTCTCTACTAATATAGGATCTCCTATATTAAGGTCAACAACTATTTAAGTTAGTTAATCTCGCTAATGTTACATTTATTTTATTAGCACAATCATTCTTTTCTAATATTTGCAAGGGTATAATTATAAAATTGTGTATAGTGTGTTAGCTTTAAAGAATTGGTGTATTAAAGCTAAAATTTAGAATACTTAAAAGAAAATTTTCATGACTGTCTTAACTATATACATTATAGGTCCGTCACAGGTAATAATTTGGAGAGCTTAAAACCTGGTCACATTGATTGCTTAACAAATCTGATGGAATTGTACGTATATTTTACTAGACAAAAATTAAAACCTATTATTTACTTTCTAGCTACGCTATGTTTATCATCGCATCAGATCGAGAAATAATCCATTACTAACTATAATATATGATTTATTCGTCTATAATAATAATGAATTATGACCTGTGTCTAGTTTTCAAGATTATTAGGTTATGAATGCATAAGCATGCAATACGACATTTGCGTAATACAAAAAAATCTTGTATGAATTTTGTTTTTGCGTCTACAGATTACTATCCTAACGTATTTGTAACACCATTTATGTGCGTAAGCAGACTCGGTGTACTCAATGTAAATAGAACTGTAAATCTATATTATTATTTTAATACATTACTTACCCAGGGAGTAATTTTTGACTTAGATCTTTTTATTACGCAGCTTGTGTTTATGTTCTTCCAATAATAACACAACAGACATCATGATACATGAACTTCACTAGTTATATTTAAGGCTATCATCTAGGCTAGGGTATTCGACATGGTAAATTCTTATGCATCCATGTTAAAAGTTATAGAACATTTATATATTAACACTAAATATTATACGCTCATCTAATTTTAACTGACCGTTATAGTTACTTATATTTACAAAACTGTACATATCAGGTTTTTGTAGTTAAATAAACCGTTATCATCAAAGTAACTTGATATTGTTTGCTTTTATATAGAAGTGCTTCTATAAATAGGATAAAAACGATAGAAAATAATACACTTTGCGGCCTTGATCGATTGAAGATACTGTAAGTCTTTGTCGCTCTTAGTCTTACCATTGGCTTTGTATTTCAATTTTAATTTATATCTATTAAAACAGGCAAATTATGCTGCTATCTGATTACTTTTAAATACTGAAAGCTTAATGTTTGTGATATTATATGATTTAGTAATATTAAAAACGTCAGCATGATGTAATTATTAGATAACCTTAGTCCATAAATATCTTAAATAGCAATTTATTATAACTTATCTAGATCAGGCCAAATACTTGCAATAAAACTTATCCAAGGAGTCATAAAGTATTTTTCTTCGCTGTCTAAATAATCAGATATTGTATAGGATTTGATATTAAACCCTTTAGTAGTATAATGTTATCGTTACTTATATATATTGTATGGTAACGGTCAGATAAAAATTAAAAAAGAACAAGTAAATTAATTTCGATATGATAAGTGATTATGCCACTACAGTTCTATATTGAAAGGCAGCGAAGTTATTTTTTCCGAAAATCATAAAATCTTGACACAAATGATTTGTGCAACTAACCGATATCGCCTGTTAGAGTAAAATTCAAGTGTTTATCAAAGCATTGATTTTAACAACTAGGCGAATAGATCGGAATAATTTGACACATATATATTCAAAAACGCTGTGCGCTCCCAACTTACAGAAACTGTAAGAATCTAATGATCATAACTACTCGTAAATAACATAATTAACATAATTAATTTCCATCTAAAATTATATAGGTATTTAAATAGTAACTTTATCCGATTCATTGCACCAACAGCCTTCCATCAATTGTCTAAGATTAAAACACTGTGCGTATAATAATAATGATCAAATAAGTAGTATTATTAACGTAGAGTTATTAATTAAGAATTTACGAGTATTTCAATGTGAAGTACAGTAGTAGATCTTATTAATGATTTAGATATTTAAGGCGAGAGTTTATTTGTGGTGTAAAGGAAGGCCTTGAAAACTATCGTGTTAGCTTATTTCTGCATTTAAAGCAGCTGGTTTAATCAGTATGCCTCCTTTTTTCTAGAGTTATGAATAATAACCACATATTTAATCTTCCTCCTAAGCTATTTAAATCGATGGTCATGGCAACCTCTTTGTGAGTCGCATTGTTAAATATCTTATTTATCTCAGTTTATAGTTTAAGTATCAAATCATTAGCAACTTTCATTCGGCATTACATTAATTTTACGCTTGTCTGGGTGAATTTTTCTTAAAATTTCAGTCAGGAAGAGAATTAATAGTCTTACTCTGAATATTCTGATATTAAGCTATGAATTATAAGAACATAATTTACCAATTACAATTACTCTCGTAAGTTAGTAACTTCCTTCATTCTGATATTGAACAGGAATATCACTAATACCCAATTGCAAGTATTGGACAACCATCAATTTTTGGGTCTTTATAACCTATTCAATCTGTAATTCTGTTATTTGTAAATATTTAGATCTTCATAGTAAAAGCTAACAATAAGAACTCAAATGATAGATATTCGCTAGAAATTATTAGCGTAGTAAGATTTCGAGTATGTCATAAGGGAATATTTAAAATTGGAATATTACATCAAATTTTCCATCATTAGGCAATTAAACTTCAATAACGTCTCTATAATAAAAGCTACCGCATTCAAAGACTTATATAACGTTACTACCTTGTAGGTGCCCAGTTATGGATAGTATAAAAATGCAACTAAAAATTATTAATAAAGTCGAATTCTAATAGTAGCAACATACAGCATTATAGGGCTATTTCTAATATTATATCATGTAGAGATTTGGCAGACAACGATATGACGATTCTAGATCCAATAGTCTTCCTACCGTTGGTCAAACTTCAAGAATTGTAAAATTCATTAAGAAGCTAGAATTTTGTAGATAAAGCTTATCTCTCTGATAATTAATTGTTTGTTTTAAATGACTAAAATTGCTAGAAATTTAAATGAAAATGAAATTCGGTCATTAAGCGCCTATCAGTTCCAACATCTCTCAAATCTTAAAGTACTGTAAGCATTAGCTGGCTCAAACTTCACCTAGATAATGCTGTGATTTTCAAAGCACAATTTGAGACTGCGAGTTGATTGCCATTAATTTCATAGGTTATGTTAGGGTTACTAATGTAGATTTAAATCTGTATTATGAAGTAATATACGTAAGATAACGATAGCTAAATCTTAATACACATAGTAGTTGTCCTGAGCTGATTTACAATCATTAGTTGTTAAAATGCTAATTTAAAAGCTATAAATTTAATAGCTTGCGAATATCATTGTCAGTGATTTTATACCGATTGAAAGAATAATACATTTAAAATTTAAAAAGAAGGTTTCTGTTAAAAAATAGTAGGACTGTCTATTATATAGAGTTCAAGCTGCATTTCGTAGGCAGTGCATACAGTGTTTGTTAGTTTTAAGCGAAGAATAATGAGTATAAAATTGTATAATAATATAACTTAGTCTTGATATTCCTTGATAAGATTAAAATAAGTATAATTGTAATAGAATCAACGTTACAGCTTAGCGTAATTTTTCTTCCAATTATTATAAAGAATTACAGGATCTGTAGCATGTTAATATAATCAAATACTGGTCTCTAATAGTGTTAAATTCTTTTTGTAGACGCCTACAAACGAATGAAATATTTTCGATTGATGCTAATGCATTTTCTGGTCTAAATAAATTACAATTATTGTAAGTATTGCCTGTGCTTCTTTCACTATGTAACTAGGCTGCATTTAATAGTTCATCAATTTTAATATTTCTTTAAACTTTTTACTTTCAATGATAGTTTGTGTTAACGAAATTTAAAGCAAACAAACTTACTTTGCGTAATTTTAGGCAGCTTAGCGGTAATCCGATCAGTAATTTTCAGGAATTTAAATTACCTGCTGTACCATCTATGGATTTTTTGTATGCATTAATTTACACTTATAATTTAATCAGATGATACAGTGATATACGATGCTGTCGTATTCTATGTCTAATTAAAAGCATACCAACATTTTTACATTATATTTAAAGTTATTTATCGCCACAGTTATCGCTAATGATTATTTGTATCCGCCAAGAGGGGTATCGAGATCTTATCCGCTGAAGTTAGATGGAAGACATAAATTGATTAACCGAAGAAGGAATACGGTAGTAATAAAGAACATGTAAGTCTTAACTAAGTTCCACGGATGATATGGATATCAATATAGCTCGTAAAATATATATATATAGAATAAAAAAATATAGTATTAGTAACACAATCATAATTGTAAAGCTTAGCGATCAGTGGTATAAAGTAAAAATTTAAACAATTTTTAATATTATTTAGTGAGTGCGAAATATTTTAAGCTAGTACCCTATTTAAAATTTTTTCTACCATGAATTCGCGTCATTGAGCAAATATAAATTATTTAAATCTTTAAGTAATCTTGTCATGAGTATCGAAATTATCTACACAAAGTGATATTATTAGTATATAACAAATTTCAAAAATAGAATGTACTAGTGTTTATTAAGATAAGTAATCTCTATATCTGGATTAGTAAATAACAATTAAGTATTAATTGAGGCCAACAGTTAATTTTGATTAATCCAAACTATTATAACTATGGCCTAGCCATGGTACAGTGTAATACAGCAAAGACTGTAACTTCAATTGTTGTAAACAATATTGATTACATATATTCTTGTACCAAGCACTAATTTAGAAAGGATGAAAAGATTAAGAATCTATTAAATGATCAAATTGACCATTAATAGAGTTTATAACTGATTTCAATCGTTTACCATATGTTACTATATGCTCATGGAAAAATCTTTTGCTTTTTGGTATTCTAACGTAGAGATTTGGCCAATAATTTCCTATCGGAAATAAAACGGTTGGACTTTGGAGACTGCAGGACCCTGTTAGTTATATCTTCATAACTATAGTTGAGAATGACAGTCGTAATCGATGTAAAATATCAAATTGCAAAAAGTATAGTAATTTTTGATCAATACTAATATTCTTATGTTAAAATTATATTTATATTGTATAATCTTGCTTGGTATCTCGCTTGAAATAGCAATTTATCTTATAACAAACTGCATGAATCAACTCTACTCAACTTTTCTACTCTGGATCACTTAGTCCATCTGTAAGCATGATTCTGATGATAGCATGAGAAACAAAATAATAGCTACTTATAGTTAAACTTAATTTCAAATAAATTTCTTACTTTTTTTCACTGATTAATATCTATTTATTATGTTAGCGATTTAACAGGCAATCGTTATAATAGCATTAGAAATATTAAGGATTCATTCTTTATGAATAATTACAATTCTATGCTTTCAATGTAAGTATTTCATCCATATCGCAAAATTATAGCTACGCAATTATTTACTTCCTTACTGACAGATCATTGCTAATATTTGTGTGCATAGTACACGCTGATACATGTTTTCCGAGGTCAATTTAGAACTATAATTTGTGCTACTTCGCGATGCAATATGGTTATCATCTAGTGTTGCTTTGAACAGAACACAAGTTATCTTAACGAATTAAATTCACGCCTTCGATTTAATAATATTTGCATGGCATATGTTATGAGTCTCATAAGGTGCTTATGATTCTAGTCAATCATGAGTATCTATTTAATAATCTTCTAAGTTGCATAAATCTAGTTTCATAGACATATTCCATACCAGTTTTATGGTAATGTAAGAAAAATTATTCTAATTTAATGCCTGTAATTGAAAGATAAAATAATTAAATAAGCATGCTACATTGCATAAATATCTACTACCTGATTAAAGAAATTACTACTAGATAAAATGAATGATTGTGCATTTAGAATAGCTAGTATATATATGTATTCAACATTGATGCAGTATCTAGTATGAATGGTTATTTGATTTATAATTTCTTGGGTAACTTCTGAGGTAACCGTTTGACTCGACCTAAACTCCTAAAATATAAACATCAGTAAAGAGCTACCTAACAATATACTGTACAGATAAAAGTTAAAATAAATTTGTAGCTTTTTGTAGTCAATTCTGCTAAAGTGATAATGTTATTGTGTGCAATTACATAGTAACAGAGAAAGCCAATTTCTTCGTCATGCAACAGTAGTTTATATGATGAATCTAGATTAGAAAAGAATTTCCCTATCATAATTGATACGATTGGATTGCGATACTCAAAATCAGGCACTAGATCGACTAAATATAAGTTATCACTATAAAATTCGCCAAATTGTTTTACGATACTTTTAATTTGGCTAAGATTTTGAGTTAAAGGTAGATACAAATCTTACTGGGGGTTTATCATCTATAAAATTAATGTAAGGGCATTTAATAAAATATAATTTTTTTCTTACAGTGGGTCAAATTCTCCTTTATGTTAAATATCAGATTTCTTGTCCTTACTTAATTGTAATATTGATACGATGCACACATAATTTTAGGTAAATTGTTTTAACTAGAATCTGTTCAATTTCTACAGGAATATCTCTTCAAATACTCTAAATTACATCCATATTGATGCCCTGAGACCGTTTTCAAAGTTACAGTCACTGTAAGTACAAAAAATATTAATCTTCCTAGGAATAATGGAAATACAAATAGCGTACTATGTAGTTTAGATACTCTATAAATATCCTAATCGAGCTAATTATTTCTCTGTTTACTATATAATATAAATGCGGTAGCTTTTGTACGCTTACTGCGTTCCAATTATCTATTTTATTGCTCATATTTTGCAGATTCTTGCTAAAGAACCAGTTACAGAAGCTAGATTTTATAAGACCGCTGTCACAACTTGTTGTTTTGTATGTTTATGAGCTGAAAGCTGTGGTTGTAAACTACACACATATGTGTATTCACGTACGGCATGTGTATCCCAATGAATTTAACTCTTTTCTTCATCTTGAATGTATGGCAATAGTGAAGAACTAGAAATTATTACCATATTTCACAAACTAGCTTCGTGACAGGGATAACGCAAAACAAATCTCTAAATTACTAAAGTCTCCGGGATTCAGTATCCCTTAGCTATTTCTCAAGCACTTACATATCTTTCCTTATAGATTAAACAACTAGAGAATTCCTATTTTATGCAGCTATCTGCCGAGCTTAAATACCCTTCGGCAACAGCTATCATGAATGAGCCATCATAAGATTATGAAACTTAGTTTATATTGAATAGTTAAATTAATACCGAGATATTCATAATCATACACATGTACTGAATGACTCTAAATAATTAGACTACCGTATGTCCTTTCACGGAATTATTTATGGTATCACCTATAAGTGAATATTTTCAGGATATTAATCACATGCGTTATAAGACATAGCACTATAATCAATTCACACCAGTTGCTATATAAGAACTCTTACTTCAGTACAGCATAAGTTACTGTAACAAAATAATAACTGCCGTGGTTCTTACTGTAAGCCATTAATAGTTATCTCCATATATAAATATTAATTCACGAAGTTTAGTCATTTAACTCTTCACGGTAGTTCGTACCGTGACACCATAAGATATTATTTTCTTTATAGGTGCTGAATTCTGTTATTCTTACAAACATTACGATCATTATTTAGTAAAGCATGAATTGTCAAATCATAAAATTTAATCTATGCTATATAGACGTTGACTATCATGTTTCATTGAGCTTTTTGATAGCAACTCTTAAATCTTCTGCATTTAAATATAAGTAGATAGTGCTATTGTTAAGAATAGCAGTACACTAACTGAGTAAGTAAGATCTAAACTCGAATTATATCTATCATCTAGATTAAAATCTTTGTATCACGATTATAACTGCTTCGTTAGGTCTTTGCATTAAATCCACTTATCGGGCAGCTATTACTGCATAGAAACAAGATTAATTTACAAGAAGTATTTTACTAGCCTTTATGCTTCTGAAATGCTAAATTGTGTCTTCTCTAATGTCCAGATCTCTTACGTTCAATCTTATCACGACAATAAGCACACAAGATTTTATAAACTTAACACAGCTCAAAGAATTGTAAGTAAATAATTGATAGTGAAAAACACCTGATGATTGTAATCATAAATAGTAGTAATTATTAAACGAATCTATGGTTATGAATTACTGTATTTGTTTGTTTTTTGAAGATGTGCAAACTATTTCATTTACTTCATTTAACTCCATTTGTATGCACTTTTTAACATTTATTGATCTATTCTTGTTTAGTACATGATATAAAATGAAAGGCATGCATAGAATATTTGCTTATGCGCTTTCATAATTATTACAATATTTTCCTTAAAAGACACCTGGACTCAAACAGGATTGGAGTTCTTAGTGAAAATTATTTCATGAATACAAAGTTAAATTCTTTGTAAGACTGATAATCGTAGCAAGTTGTAATATGGTTATTTTACGAAATAGCATTAAGACATGAATTATACTTATTTTAGATACTTGCAAAATAACCATATCTCTAATATTAATTCTATTTTGGAAGGATTACAAGACTTACGGATACTGTAAAACTGTTCTTTCCTTTATTAATAGCCAAGTTGTCATTATTTCTTACCCTATAAGAATTTTATATAGGCAACTTCATTATTTTCGAATGTTTGATCTAATAGAAGATTATTTTTTTATATTTATCAACTCTGGTGCATTAACTTGAAATACAAGAAACTTGAATTCTAATAATATTAGAAATGTTAGCAAGACTTTTAATGTCAAACTTTCCTATCTCGGCGAATTGTAAGTAATATGAATATACGTCTTAAACAATTTTAGGCTTTCGGAAATAATACTTGTTCAGTTTTAGTATAAGGTCCTGCAAAACTAAATAGCTTAATTTTAGGTATTTAAGTCATAACGGAATTGCGCAAGTAGAAAACAAAACCTTTTCTTCATATAAAAACTTAAGAATTCTGTAAGGATGACATATTACATTATTACTTTATATTAATAAAAGTAATTATTGAAAAGATTGTCTTAGCTGAATATACTGAATTTACTTAGCGATTTAAGTGATAACGCTATAACACTATCTGAGCAAGATGATTTGGGGTTAACATTCCTAGAAAAGCTGTGAGTGAAAGTAGCAAAAATTATGTCCATATTTTTAATTCATTTTAACAATTGTAACCAAACAAAATCTATATATATATATCAAATAAAATCTTGATATCGTAGATTTTTCAAAAGGCGATAAGTTATGGGTAAAGTATTCGTAGATGCACGTATAATGATATTGATATCTTTGTAATTATCAGAAATAAGCGTTACTGCTATAAACAGCAGCTGCAATTCCTTTTCCTGCTAGAGGCATCAATTTCATTAATATACGAACGAAACCTATGAAAGAGTTAATGTATTATTAGTGCATTCTCTTGTTGGTTGTAATAGATTTACGTAACCTTTTAAGCAGTGATTTAATGGCTACTCTGTTTGTATTAAACTTACGTTCGTATAATATTATAAAACCAAAATCACTTACTTGGATATTTTATAAGATTTTGAGTAAAATTGCCTATATCGTAATGGCAGATTAAATGATGTTAAAATATAATTAATCTTTATTAGATATAATCTATAAATTTTTCTTAATTGATTCTTACATTCAATGTAATTATAGAAATTTAGCACGAAACGATATAAAATACCTAAATTGCTCGGGATTACCTCCCGTATTGAGATCTTTGTAAGTGATATCCTCATTTAACTATTCTTATTTATCAATACTAAATACTCTGACGGCTATTTTTAAAATATTTACTCTGAATACTGTGTTTGACATTAATAGAATATTACATATTAAAAAAGCCTGTATCATACCTTTTAAGAATTTTAGCAAACAACAATATAAAAAAATTCGATCCTAATTGTGACCGTTTATTCTATCAAATGAAGAAAATGTAGGTAGATGCTTGAAGTTTATCGTGAACATAATTTGAAAATGATTTGTTTAACTGAATCTAGTACTGACATAGCTATTTTTGTATTTGTTAGTGACATGAGTTATACTAATTTGACTGCAAATGGGATAGAAATACAGAAAGGCTTTCTCGATAAATTAAACTTAGTTAACGACTTGTAAGTATACTGCTTATTTAGGTGACAATTAGATCTTAAAATAAGACTGCTACTTATTTAGAAGAGAGTTATTCAAAAACATTATCTTAGCTGTAATAGCTAAACTTATAAAGAATTATCTTATATGTAGTGAACTTGTCGATTGCTTTTAGGAAATTGGCAGGTAATAACTGGGTCGGAATAACGAAGGGAATGGCAGCTATAATTAACTTGAAGTTGTACGTATGCCAATAGATCCTCTTTATAAATCTTTTACTGGGAAAACTTTTCATTATGAACTATTAAATACTTCCCTTACATTATGAATGTCTAAGTTACATCTATGCACTGTGATGAATATGTCAGGTGATAAAACATTAACCCGATAATTCAGTCTAGAATCTTAAATATTGTTATTTACAGTAGACGAGCTTATAAGTATTATGCATAGAGCTATTAACTTTATAAAATATATTACTTAAGAAGAATTTGAGATCGATTTCGGAACTTTTTTGAGCAAATAGAGATGTAAGCGATAATCCAATAGTATTGGACACCTTCATCGATGATTTATACGAACGTGTTGGGCCGTTTCTTATCGGAATGTAAGTAAGCGAAGTAATAATGAGCTGTCTTGACCGTAGCATGTAAATACGGTGTTTCCTTATGCAATATGCATAATACTGTATTGGATACTGATAACAGTTGGACAGCGTAAAATTACAGATGCTGATTTTATATTTACTTATTTCACGTAAAAGTATTGAACTAATTTAAGAGAGTTTTAAAGCCAATAAAAGCAATTATGACTTTGGTTAACGATCCTCTACTTAGAGTATCTTGTTGAGCTGAGTCGGACGGCAGAGAACGGGTATATTTAAGAGGATCTATAACTGATATTGCCTATGTTTGTTGCAATATATCTAGTTTACCATCCGTTATATAGTTGACTATAAAATGATATGTAGTATGGTAAATCCATACTGAATTCGTAGTTGACATTAAATTCTAGACAAATCTTATCACGTAGTGGGATATTCACAATTTAATAATAGAAATAAATTATCGAAAGGTGTAATTTAGGCATTGTATACGCCTAACTATATTTAAATTTTAAGTAATCATAACTTAATCTTGGTAGTTTAAGGACAAGAAAGTGAACAGAAATTCAGCTTTAAGCACAGAGAACTTTCTGGCATAAATTTTTTAAAGAATCATCGAAATTTAACTAAACTGAATATAATGTCTGATTTGCAAGGTTTATAATCAGCTTTTTTTTCTAAATTAAAAAAATTTTTATAGTAATTTAAGTAAATGCAATATATCAACTATTCCTGGAAAGGCCTTTACCGTGTTTTACAAACTTAAAATTTTGTAAGTGTGTTATTTTAATAACTTGATGTTACAATAAAATTTACCGTGATCATATCATAGTATAATTTATTTTAGATTAAATTTAATGTAGTGCTCTAAAGATAGAATCGTTGGTGCAAGCAAACTGATATATTTTTATAATTACTTAAATTGATGTCTTTTCTAAATAATAGATCATTAAATGATAACAACTTACATGAATTTGATATGGTTGACGTCTCTTTGAAGGATTTGAATGAATTAGTAGAATTGTAAGTATTGTGTCGTATCGTCTAACAGCAAAAAGAGACTGTTTATTAGAGAAAACAGATATTGTATTTAATAAAATTTCGATATTTCTTTTAGAAATATTGCAAAAAATAGCCTAAAAAAGATAAAATCTACACTAACAATTCGATTTAAAAATATGGAAAAACTGTAAGTATGATTTTCGAAATATTCTGTTATGATCTTTATTCTCATAGAATAATACCGTAATGTATTGGACTTGTTTCTTAACAAGATTATCGCTGCAAAATAGTTTAATGCAAATAAAGTTTATTAATTTAAGCATAATATAATCAATGTACTAATACTTATGTCTAAATGAATCAGTAATATATCGAATAACAAGGTTGAAGGATTATGTAGGCCAAATTTGGACATAGTTGAACTATTTCCGAACATAAATTTGATGTAAGTCTGAAACTTGAGTATGTTTAGTGTTAACACGTATTTGCAAATTTAGTTCAGTTGTTGTTAATTAGCTGTTAAGCTTGTTGACTATAACTAATAAAATCGTAATTTATCATAAAGCGATGCAAGCAGAAACAAAATTGAAACGCTGCAGGAAAGATGCTTTAAAGGTTTATCAAGATTGCAAAAACTGTAAGTGTTAGGAGTTACAAAGGGTGAAAAGTAATGACTCTATTGTTACTAATCTGAATTTTTAAGATATACGATGTAGTCAGAGAGGAAATACAAATTTGTATACTTCCTGGTAATCATAATTGAATTGACGCATCATTGTTATCGTGTACGTACAGATAATTTTAGTTTATGCGACAAGAGATATATCGCAATGCAACATTTTTTTATGTGAAGATTACTTAAATACAGTATGATCACACCTGTTAAACATTCTTCTCTCTTATAACCTGATTATCTAATATTGCAATATTGATCCGTTCGTTACGCTTAGAAGTTATAAACTTAAAAGCATTCTGTAACTAATCGTATATAAATCGTGAATTTTGCTGTAATAAGTAGATTATCAGATAGTCAGATAGTCCTTGGTAGTTAGACGAACCTAACTTCTGTAATAAAGTGAAATTTGCAAGAAACTGTAGTTCTTGATTTATTGTTTTGAAGATCACTTTATCGCATAGCCAAATACCGTTGTTTATCATTACACATTAAATCTTTCAAATCTTTTCATGTAGGCTACAAATATAGTAATTTACTACAAATCCATTGTTTTTACCAGTTCAATTTATCTACCCGATATTTAAAGCCGTCCTTATTAGATGAATTTTGAGCTATTTCGAAGACTATGCTATTGTATTGCTATATTACAAACTTTATGTGTGGTCACTTTACATGAAAGCGAAAATTAAAAATTGCGTATTTCTCCCATCTTTAGCGATTTACGAGGGAATCTATTAGCCTATGTATCCCGAAAATCCTTTTATGGTCCACCTCAGTTGGTGGAAACGTAAGTCTGAGAGGCCATGTCTTGCAATTTTCCTACTTTCATATAGTACGTTTACATCAACCATTGAGCTTAAAGTGCGCTATCTTCTTTTCGGCTGTGTAACATGTCAATAGGTTAACGAATCGCCCTTATTTTTGTTGTATAATACCTGCTAAAATTGTGACCTGTGAACCATCGATGATATCTGATACTTTATCATCATGTCAGCACCTTCTTGCTCATACTTCATTACAGTACTTCGTCTGGGTTGTTGGTTGCTTGGCGTTTTTTGGCAATATCATTGTTATTATTCAGAACTGTTATCTCAATAATACTCAAGGGAAAGTTCATATTCTACTAATCAATAATCTAGCCATGTCTGATCTTGTTATGTCAATTTACCTATTTATTATAGCATTTGCTAATTCAAATTACAACAATAATCAGTATGGTCAACGGTCAGAGGAGTGGTTAAGGAATCCTTTATGTGTATTATCTTGCATCCTTGTGACTACATCAAGCTTAGTCTCTGTCTTTTTAATGTTAATAATCAGTGTCGATAGGTTTATCGTTATAGCTTTGGTGTTTAAGGCAGAAAAGTTGAGCATGCTTGCTACTCGAGTGATTACCGGTATAATATGGCTAGCTTGCTTTACATTTGCACTTGTGCCGGCATCATTCAGTATCGATAAACCAGGTCATAATCGATTATATACGTACAACAGCATGTGTATGCCAAGCAATTATGAAAACTATTTGTACCGCATTTGGATGATTATCTATATATTTCTCACTATTATTGGTTGGATTATCACTTGCACCCTTTACGTTGGGATATTTATTTCTGTGTACAAAACTAGAAAAGCCGCTGGAAAAATAATTCCCAAGGAAAGTAAAATACTTGCAATGCGTCTATGTGTCATACTGATAACTGACTTGATTAGCTGGGTACCGTATTATGCTGTGAATAATTTTGGTTTCATAACCAGTAGAGGTGTTGATGTTATTACATTACAATTTGTTGGTATTTTTGCACTTCCTATTAATTCTGCTGTTAATCCATTCTTGTATACCATAACTGGTAGAGCTGTATTTAAAAGATTATTTATTCTTCCAGCGACTTGTTTAACCAAGTTCATTCGCAAACCGAAAAGTCAAGCTCAGCCTACCCGCTCAAAAGTTCTCATTCTCAGCACAATTTATAACACCCATGAGGACGATTACGAATGATTAATTCATTCATTCATAAGTACTGAATATAAATGCATTACTTCTGGCATAAATAATGAAAAATAAATAGTCAATAATAAATAAATAAATATTTCACACATCTAGCGCCAGCGTAATGTACGATGTCAATTGCAACATGACTCACTTTGATATCATGGAAACAGCTCTATGTAGAAATAATGCCGTACCAAGAGCTGAAAGTAGGATTATGCTCGATATTATAGCGAATATCTTTAATAATATTGTTTAGGAATGGCAAATTTTACGAATTAAACTTATATCGCTCAAGTCGCCTGCTTCCACTGCGTGCGGTGATCCATTTGACTTTGCAAGATTTCAACATTTATTGGAATGGTAAATTGTTCAGATTGGCGGTAACTTTACTACTGTAGTATCTACTGTACAGTGTACAGTGTACAATGCAGTACTTAATGTCAGCGTTGAGTCAAATCCAGGATGCCGACTGTATTGCTGGTCATTTCAATAATGCCATAAGTCTGCAAGCGTACACTATCCACTTTGTGATCCAGATTCGCTACCCAAATTGTTTAACCTTGACATACTGTACAGTACAGTACAGTACAGTACAGTACAGTACAGTACAGTACAGTACAACTACTGTACGCTGTACTGTACAGTGTACAGTATAACGTACTGTAGGTCCATCTTTGAATTCTATTCTGCAGACGGTCCAGACCGGACCAGACCATGAACACTGTACTGTACAGTACAGTATGTTGCGATCAGTACTATCAGTACTAAGATGGTACAGTACTGTACACTGTACAGTGTACAGTATAATATTGTAATTAATATTACCTTAATATTATTACTATCCCATACTACGCATAGTACTGTACAGTATAACGCGCTTGCTGTAGTGTACAGTATAAAGTACTGTAGATCCATCTTTGAATTCTACTGTACAGTACAGTACAGTATTCTGTAGACGGTCCGGACCGGACCAGACTATGTACAGTACTGTACACTGTAGCGTACTGTACACTGTACTGTACAGTATAGTACAGTACAGTACAGTATATGGGCTTTTACAATACTGTACTGTACACTGTAGTACATAGTACTGTACTTTACTGTTGCGACATTGTGAAACTGTACAATACAGTAGATAGCAATTTACTGTTACGTGTACAGTAGTGACTGTCAGCAAAAGTAGTGAACCGAAGCGAAATTTCTCTGGTTTACGCAGTACAGTCATGGTACTGTACACTGTGCACTGTAGAGTACAGTACTCAAAGTCAAGGGCTCAAGGCTCTCTGAATATTCTTGATTCACTATCGAGTCAAGAAATGCTATCAGGAACATGTAAAGAAAAAGAAAGAGTAATGACCAGCTCTGTGTTGAACTCATTATTTTAAACCATAGAAGAAACTCATTGAGAGACATAAAAAAGATCTTTATAATAAAATACTAAGATTCTATCTTTAAGAAATCCTGCTGTACAGCATTGTACAGTTCCTACGAATACAGTGCCGTAGTAGAGCAATCACAAGAACTCTGAAATAAAGTAGATTTTCTTATGCTTTCAAAATCATGGACTGAAAAAGGACTGACACTGCCGCATTGTTATGAACTTATGATCATTGATCATAAACACTATAGTAGATACAGTACGTACAGTGTACACTGTACAGTACTGTATTGTACTGTACTGTACTGTACTGTACTGTCCAGTACAGTACAGTGCATAGTGCACGGTCACAGTACTGTACTGTACAGTACAGTATACTGTAGGACAGGATCTCAGTACTGTACTGTACTGTACTGTACTGTACTGTACTGTACACTGTGTCTGGTACCGCACTGTACTGTACTGTACTGTACACAGTGTACAGTACGTACACTCGTACAGTACAGTATTGCGTACTGTAGCGTACAGTACGCAATTTTCAGCGCCGTTCACGATTGAACACAATCCACAAAGCTTTATACACTAGTGCATAGCGGTAAACGTCAGATTTCGATACAAAAGAAAAGGACTCAAGGTAAGGAAAGGGAACAAAAGACAGTATATTAAGAAAGAGTGATATAACGTAAAGAATTATTGAGTTGTGTAAAACGATCTTTATAACGTAGTGTGTTTACTATATCCTATTGGATTGACTTGTGAGTCGTATCCTTCTTTTCCTTACTTTATCAAGTATCAAATTGTGCTTTAGACTGCGTTAGAAATATCGTAGTGTTGCTGCATTGAATGTTACAACAACTTCAATGTCCCAAGAATCATTGCAGTAGATCGACTTATTCCATGTTCTCTACAGCAGTATTCCTTGAGTTGTTATTTCACTTTTACGATTAACAAATCCAATATCATATTTGATAGATTGGATTAAAAGTAGTATGGATGGTAAAGATTTATGTAAAACTCCGTATCCTAATTCTGGTAGCCACGTCGATATGTTCAACTTAAAACAACCGCGATATCAACCTGGTCATACCAACATAGCCATCAATCGCGGCGAGAGCAATAATGTAGCCAACATAAGTAACTCATCCTTTGCAGCAGGTAATAGAAATTCATTTAAAGTAATACCACCATTCTAGATAGATAGATAGATGCTTGCTATTAACACTATTTACAAATAGGATAATAATTAATAATAGAATATTATGTTTCAATTGCTAGATAACACTTCCAATTCATCAGTTGGTTATCGACAGGGTACTTTTGTTAGAAATAAAGGAGTCGCATCTGCCTATGAACGATTGGGAAATTCAGCTATGGCTAATATGCAGGCACAGCAGCAGCATCATCAGCCACAAATTAATCCTAGCAATAATAGAAATGCGAATACAAATGCTAACTTAAATGCTTTGGTAAGACATCAAGCACCTAATCAGTATGGAAGTAACGAAAATTTACAAATGGCATCGCATGGCAAGACGACACCGTTACCTTACCGAGTTCCCGTTCAACAACAACAGCACCAGCAACAATCACAAGCGCAATTAATTAATATGCAACAAGGTCAGCGAGCATACTTGCAACGACACCATCAATCGCATGATCCATCTAGTCAACAGTTACAACTTGATGCCGCGTCTCGGACAATAGATCCTCGTAGCCAGCTGCAGTATCAAAATTATTCTTATCAGTCAAACTATAATCGAAATATTCCATCGTATCATTCGTCTCATCAACAATTGCAACAAAGACGTAAGACAAATGATACGACTTTAGCTGGAAATGACGGTAATAATGCTAGTAGTGGTACTGGTGGTAGTTATATGGATAATTCTGGTGGTATTCACACTGGACAATATCGAAACAGGCAAATTGCTTCTGAAACCTCTGTCAATGTTAATCCTCAGGTATTTATAGAAGATATGGTGATTTTTATCATCCTTTCCTACGTCAAATTATTCACCTGTTTTATCGTACATCTTATACTATCTATTTGATATGACTGAATTATAAGTTGAAATTACGCGATATGTCGGGACTCTTATTTGATACAGTATCCTCACGTCTTAATGTACGGTTTAAGATCATACCTTAATGCTTATTAGTAATACTAACTAATATACATGTATATCCAATTAGGATGGTTATAATTATAATATTGGTATTCTCTGTTTTAAATGCAACTACTGTATATATACTGCCCTTGCGATCATATCTAAAAATCATTTCATTAATTCAGAAGTTAGCCCGTATTAAATGTTATTCTATACTGTTTATAAGGCTACGAGTGGAAAGAGTATTTACCATCCTTTACATATTTGTGATTAATATCAATTTTCCAGCTTTACAAGTTTTGACAGTAACAGTGTTTCAGTATTTAGTATCATACGTACATAGTATTGACAAAAATTACATATAAACATAAGTATCTTTTTACATGATTTGGTATTCATAGTGTCATTTATATCAAATTAGTTAATTTATAATATTTGTATCGTAGTTATCTACCTACTTGCATAAACTTGATTCTGTATTCTGTAGTTCCTGGCTTATTCGCAGTAATTGATTTTACCTAGTTCAAAAACATTTCTGATTGATACTACTTTCAGTTATGCAGCATATTCTGCATGATCTTTACTTATTAATAGTCTCTATAACCTCGGATTTGAAAGTTTTAAAAGATTGCTTCAGTAGTTCGCTGATTAGCAGGTTCTACTTAATTACACAGTATCATCTGTATTAAATAAAATACTCTGGTCGTCATTCTGTAGTATTTATGTTTAGACTATTTCTTTTATTAGCATCGTTGATAGATTGTGCTGTAGATTGTTATGATGATTTGCGTTGGTGTTAACTAGTAATTTTGTATTCTTTAGTATCATCAGATAGAATCAAATCAGCCAGGAAAAGCACAGCAGCAACAGCAACAATCTGCAATGCCTAGCCAACATGTAGCGAGTCCAATCTTATCACCTAACTATGGTAGAAACGATGGTATTAGTAATATACCCACGAAATCGAATCCAATTCAACAACAATCGTTACAAACTTATGCTATACAAGCACAACAGTTGAAGTTACAAACGCAACAGATAGATAACAGGTCTATCTTGCAGAGATCGTTGGCACAGTCAGGACCTAAGCAAACCAGCCAACAATCATATTTTCGTCCTAATTATCAGAATACTCACATTTCACAATCACAGAGACAACAGGTGATACAAGTTCCTATCACTCGACATTCTACTGGAACTGCGCAAGTGTTACAGCATAAGGTATAAACAAGTACCTTTGCATATTTTATTTCCTTCATTATATTAATTACCATATATTATAATTCTTAACTTAAATATTATAGGCTTCATCTGGACTCGGAACCGGAAATAGTATGATCCAGCCTTCTATGACATCAGTTCTAGAGGGCCAGTCGAGACCAACTAGACACTCACCTGTAAACTCTATGGCAAATTCGAACAATCAAGCTACGGTATTCAAACAACGTACACCAGCACTGTTAAACCAATCTTCTGGACCGTCACCTTCTCTAAAACGTAATTAATTAATACAGTACTTACATATTGTAGTCAAATAGTAATATAAAAATAAATATAGCGTTAATGATGATAATTAACCGCTTTAATGTTATCGCTAACTGGCTTCACAGACCAGAATACTATGTCCGCGACTGTTACACAACATGATGACCAATTAGGTATGGTTTAATTAGCTTATGTAAAGCGTATGATTAAAGTTTTTTACTGTTTAAAAGCGTTTGTGATAAAGATCATCTAGTAATGTAGCGTAAAATACAATCCTCAAATAATCCTAATCGATGTTTTAGCACTCACTGTTAGTCTTAACAATAAATTAACGAGATGTATTGCATCTGCGCGTTATCAAAAAATTTAGCTCGTTCTGATTCATCTCCGTATTTACGTGGAGATGTATCGAGCCGAAGACCTGGGAAGAACGTTCCAGGAAGTTTGAACGTTGGCAATGATTTGACAGATGCGTCACAATTGGATGATATTCTTAGTGATCTTTTGGATCCACCTATTGGTCTTTCACCAGTAAGCTTAGATAGCGATTGTTAAAGCTTCAGTTTGATAACGAAATAGGATCAATAGATGTTTTTTAAACCAATTTTGCTTCAAGCATTTGATTGTGCGGTATGGCTATAGTTGATTTAAATGACTTATTTAAATAGGATAAATTAAATACTGATGACTTTGCTAATTTTAATGTGTTGTAGGTTTCGCAATCTAGTAGAAATACTCCTCGTGCTGTTTCCCCAGTAGGCTATGAGAAAGTAAATCAGTGTTAAATGGCCTAAATATAGTTTATTTTAAATTTTTAACCGTGTATTATTTCCATTTTAAAGGTTGATCATTTGTATAAATTATACAATAACAAGAAGCAGAAGGCTTTTTTAGATGAGCTTCTTTCATTACGACAAGCCCAAGGTAACTAAAACTGTAAAATATGTATCACTAACTTACATTTAGAAATGCTGCATAACTTTACTAAATTATCGCGTAAAATCAGGTAATCCAGTTGAAAGAGTTCCAATTATGAACAAGCAATTACTGGATCTATATAACTTATATAAATATGTGAAGGATCTAGGAGGTTCTACCGAGGTAAATTGTTAACAAAGTTAGCAGTAAGGCAGAATCCCATTGTAAAGTATAGGAACTTCTAAATCATTTCTTGTTCATACAGGTAACTGAGAAAAAATTATGGAAAGAAGTTGCTACTAGTATGGGATTTGAAAGTTCAGTTATGATTATTAACGCTCTTTTTACTCACTACGTACATTACATCCTTCCTTATGAATGCAAAAATGATAAAGATGGTATCGATGTTAAGATAGAGACTGAATATTTACGCGGTATTAAAAAGAAAAATTATGATGATGAGAACGTCGATCAGAGCACACCTACTCGCAATACGTATTCACCACAAAATAGCAAAGCTACGACGAAATCAAACAAAGAAATCCTCAATGATAAAGAATTAACGGATACCGTAGTTGATCTTGCTGATTTTGTAAATTCAGACGATTTTGATTTTAATTTTGATCTACCAGATTATATATTATCACATGAACATGAAGCATCTAATTCTAGCGAATCTGCGAATGTCTCTAAGCCTCCTAATTCTCGTGCACATGAGTTAAAATCACCAGGTCATAAAGCTGTACCATCTTCAAGCCCAGCTGCTAGACCAGCGTATATGTCATCAGCGCCTTGCCCTCAAAGCTATGATAACACTTCGACGAATAATGCGAACTCTTGGAATGAAAAATCTAGTTTAGAAACATTTAATAATGGCGCTAAAAATCAATTAGGTATTCCGTGATATCTACTTTTGGGTTGTATTAATAGAGATTTGATTATTTCTAACCATCGTCATCTTTATCTAGTAGCTAATAATCCTAATGCTTACCCGGTCGCGTCGCAAGGTCAAAGGTCTGGACCTGGGGTCGCATTATCGGCTGCATCACTAAAGCAGAGTTACTTGAATAACAACAACGATACCAGATCTGAGGTTACGAATCGTTATGTGAGTAACAATTTTATTATTTATCCTATCTGACGATTTCTGTAGTCTAGGATAAAGTATATAACCTTTTCGTTATACTTTTGATTATGATATCATGTTTGTTGTTCAATTTACCTTGCTTTGATGATCTTTAAGTGTATGCGCATACAAGCGATTGTAAATCGTTGCATTTAGTGTTTTAGCGCGGTCGTAAGAATCATAATCTTGCAAATTTCTAATATATATGTAAAGCGCGTATGCGAGAAACATTTTTTTAGTACCATAAAGTATCTTCTTACTATAATTGACGCTCTAATAGGCTTTAAGTAGTGAAACCATCATTTGCTGATGTTTAATTCGTAATGATATAGAATGGATTTTCTCTCAAATTAAAGGAGCAGAACAGAATTACTCAGAAAGCTGTAATTTCAAGGAGTAAAGAAAGTATAATTGTGGAAAACACAAAAGTCACATTGAGAGAGAGAAGGAAAAAAACTGCTCATGAACTAGGTGAAATACATTGAATTACGTATTATTATGTTGTGCAAGTTTAGCTATAATGTTTAGCTTCATACGCCAACTACGTCTACCATATTACTAACTTGAACTTATTGCGGTCTTTATTTTAGGACCCGTAGAAGCATGGCGTTTGCTGATGTCACTAAAGTCAGGACTATTAATTGAATCGACTTGGGCACTAGATACACTTAACATATTATTAGAAGATAATCAGACAGTGGGATACTTCGATTTGGCACGCTTACCAGGGCTATTAGATGCCATTCTTGATCATTACATAACGTCTCTGTCAATAATTTTTAAAAGCGTTAGAGACATAAAATCCAATGATATAAAAGTTGATCGATTAGTGCAACAAAAGATTGATATTCTCATTCAAAGCGAACTAGAGGAACTTTCTTACATTCAACACTCTTTGTCCAATCTTAACACTCCAAAATTGGATAAAATGCTTGTTCTGGAAAATAAGCGCTGTAAACTTTCCAGTTCGTTCTCCGATATCAATATGTCTAATCTAAATGAATCTGATCAAGCTACTCTATTTCAGGAAATCACTCAAAATGGTGATTTGCTAAAAAATGGGGATACTGAAATGATGGATATAGAGGGAGAAAATGATTTAGCAAATCATTCGCCGGGCTCTTCCGACAGAGAGAGTATGGTGCAATCTATAGAATATCGCCGTAGTGCTAATTTACAGGAGTGCTGCTTATATACCCAAAGTGAATCTGATGATGAGGCATCCAGACGCTGCATTTGTATTTCGAATATATTTAGGAGTTTGTCATTTATTGTTGGTAATGATGTTATAATGTGTAAACATTTACGACTATTACACACTTTAAGTCAAATGTTAATGCTGAAAGATAGTAACTCATCGAAATGGTGGTGGAACTGCCTTCAAGTCATAAGACAAAATACTCTTGTTGTTTTTTCCAATTTATCTGGTCAACTGGATGTTACCTTGTTACCTGACGATCTCTCAAGACCGATTATAGAAGCACTAATTTACTGGTGTGTTTGTAAGTGCGCTGAGGCAGTAGATGTGTTTCCACCCTCTGCAAATGCGCCGGGGCTTTCTATGGAAAAGTTGGCTTTAGAGTCATTGGCAAAGATCAGTATTCTGAAAAACAATCAGAATACACTATCATCAATAATAAGCCCAGCTCTCGCACAACAGTTGAGTGCATGCTTAGTGGAACTTGTTAGTAATCGCATGCATGTATCAAGTAGAGAATTTGCTGTAGTTCTCATATCGAATTTTTTTCGATCTGAGAAAGCATTTTGCGAAGAATGTTATTCGAACACGTGTCTATCTTCATTAATTCGTTTTATTGAGGATCATGTTTCCATTGTCACAGTTCGTTTATCGACAAGAAAAATATCGAACGAGCAGCGAATTGATCATGAACATTTGGGTGGCACAAGCAATTACATACTTTGTTGTGCTGCGGAAGCTATAGCTGCGCTTGCTAGATCGATCGAAAATAAAGAACACTTTCTTCCGTACATTGATCGAATATTAAACCTTACTATGTCCAGGAATTTGGTATCGAAGGTGATCAATATCTTAGCTCAAGCACTGCATGACGGTAGCATGTAAAATTAAACATCAATGATTATAAAGTAAAGTAGTGTCTGCCTTGCATTGAGAGTTTATCGTAAGTAGTGAGCATATATATGTGTATACTGTTTAAATATTTAAGTAGTGTTCATGTCTCATTTTACATCAATGGAATTGGTGTCTTTGTATTCATTAAATATGTTGGGACGATGTCTTTTGTAACGTTTTATCGTTCAAGTTTGTAATTATGTTTCGAATATTGCCAACAACCATTTTTCTGAGGTTGTGATCGACGATATTCCTACAAGATGTTATATATTGTAGATACAATGTTAATCTATTATAATTATCAGAAAATTATCAATGTTAATAATATTCATAATCTTAAGCCGAACCTACTTAATATTCACTTTCCTGTTATTAAGATAAATATGCTCTATTGTATTATCTGACTGTTAATACGAGCTAATTCTTCAAAAGTATATGAAGAAACTGTTTTTATTTAAATATCAATTCATAGCCTATACGGTTATCAGGATTTGATTTCTTTGTACATTGCAATAGAGGTCATAGTACTGTATTTCAGTAATACGACTTAATTGATACAAATACGATGGCATCGCTGATGATGCTTTTCGTAATCGTTTTAAGTATTAAAATTGAGGCAATTTATAATTCATATTTATGACTTTTACCGAACTTATAAATAATTATAATTATTAACAAAAAGAATTTCTGTGATTTACATTATTGTACTGCAGTAAATTTGTGTTGATGCTAAATAGTATCATCTACAACTCTACGTGCAAAGTATCACTGTATAGAGTATATTCACATGCAAACTACATATGTACAGTTTAAGATGTTCGTATCTTACGGTCTACAGATATACGTACGTAACATATACCGCAGTATTTTTGTTGTTTTTAAATGTTTCAGGGTGTTATTTATGAAATATTACATACAGTACTGTATTAAAGTGAACAATCCGTACTAATATTATTATATACATTATTTCAAAGTGAATAAAATATTTACAACCGGTAGCTCAAGTTCCTTGTATTTCTATGAATCAGGATATATGAGTAAGCTGTGCTACTTGAATAACTTTACTAAGCAAATATAACAACGAAGGTGAACTAATTTTATTGCTTTCAAAAATGTAAGTATATCGACGATGTAATTTCGCCGAGAAAAATGACTTGCATCGATTGTACTAGCTAGGTAGGAGCATTTAATAAGGGTTGCAATTCTTAAATAGCATATCGTTTTATTGCTTGGTGAGGCAACGTTAATAGTTTGTGCAAAGAGTTGTAAGAGCAGGTTGAAAACGTTATAAATTCAGCAGTCCTTGCAATACGAAGAGTTATGCCTCCTTGATTCCAAGTTAAAAGTATCAATATTGTGTATGCTGCATTTTCGAACAAGTATTGCTCCATATTGTATTGGCATTTCTTATTTATTGATTCAACACAAAATTGCTCGTACAGTATATAACATTTTCATGAACAGCACATAAACCATAAATAAAAGTTTGATTTGGAACTAAAAAGTAACTTCCAAAATGCATAGTGAACACGTGTGTCTACTCTACGTATACTGCATCCACATCAGGTAAACAGCTAAATAAAATTAATACTTTTAAATTGTAAATATATAATATCTATCAAGGCGGTTGTAGCGAAGTCATAGGTTGCCACAAGAATTGAATCCTTATTTGTAACCGGAAACCTCAGCTGAATGCTTCGCCATTCCTATTTAAAGCAAATCGCAGGTCTATTATTTAAGCTATCTTCAAGAAGGTAAATCGCAAGATAAAACATTTCAAATTACATCATCGATAAAGTTTATTTATTAACTAATAGTGTAATCGAATCCAACAATTATCATTAATTGTATCAAAACATATATAATCATCTACGTTATAAATTTCAAATTAAGGATTAAGGTCCATGAAGCACTAGTAATGTTTTCACATTTGTATTGTTTTTAAAGATAGCTACTTTGCTTATTTCAGATGAAATAGCATTGACTAGACTGAATCCAGTTATGAAATATAAAAAAATTGGCATTCAGATTTTGTATTCATTCCCTGACCTTACTAATACCCAAACGTATTAGACCTTGAAACCATGCTGTCTTAAGCAATCTTTATGCGCCTCTATTAAGTCTTGACAGTCTGCTTCACCTTTCTCTATCATGCTGTGTAAAAAATGAAAAAATTGTAACGTCAACGTTTAAGTGCTTTTACAATGATACACGGGTTATCAAGCATTGTATCAGCAGTTTCGAGTTTAAAGTAGCGAAATGAAGCCATTAGTAAGCAGTTACAAAACTGATCAATATATAATAATATGCTGATACTATTGTTGATTATATGACTTGTAAATAATATTGCATGTACAGCTGGGCTACAGTTTTAGATGCTTGATTTTCGGTAACATGAGGCATATACTGCAAAGCACAATGCTATATTTATTGTGTCGTAACTGGGATCGAGAAAACGAGGGCATAGCTGATTAATTTCAGCACAGTATACTAAGGATGATGCTTGTAGAATGCTACATTGAAGAAATTGATTGAAAAAAGAAGCTGCAATGACAAGTACAATGCTGAACAATCATGATTTACAGACTACTAAAGAGAAGGCTCCGAAAAAAAGGTAGTCTATAGCGTAAAGTTAAGCGATGGACTACTGCATACTAGAATATGCAGCTGGACTGCATAGTACCCTAGTAGTACAGTACTGTACATTACGGTATTATGACAAAAGTAGGATCAAGTCCAATAGATTTACCAACTATTTTTACATATGTATCATATACAAATAGGCTTAAAAGTAGATAAGAATTACCACTGATCCCGAGCTTTTTTAGTTTCAGGGCAAGCACAACAAGGTCTCAATTTCTTCGGGGTTTCTTTGGATTTTTTGTCGTCCATAATTTATTAGCAATATTACTAATATGAGAGAGATCGATAGATCAACTAGTATTACTGTACTGTTCTACTGTACTGTACTGCCGAATGATTGATGGTAATCCCTATCCCGAAAGACTGAATTGCGCATGTACAAAAAGTTCGACCTTGTGGACCTTTTATCGTACTGTACAATCAGTGTACACTGTACTGTACAGTACAGTATTACGGATTTACAGACCACAGTACTTGTACACTACAGTACAGTACTGTATAGTACAGTATACGGAGTACAGTACTATACTGAACAGTGTGTGTCAAAGTATTTTGTCACCTTGAAAAAGAATCAACCAGTGATCTTAATAAGTAAATATTGATTAAAAGTTGTTACATTGCATAGCATTTATAGCTTTACTGTATTTTTAATGAAAAATATTGCCCGAAAGTGACAAAATGTTATGATACGTACTGTACAATGTCTCTGCCAATTACAATTTCTGTACTGTACTGTACTGTATACCGTCCTGTGATGATTATTAATTAATTATATTATCAAGCTTATCCTCTCCAGCCAAACGAAGCCTTCCTGGCAATCCGTAAAACAACTCACCACCGGATACACGTTATTATCATACCGTAGGCTCATACACAGTACGGTACTTTGCACATTTTACTTACTCATGAGTTAATACTGCCTCACTCGATTACAGTAGGTGTCCGCAGGTCTGGTCCAGTGTTGTTTGGATTCATGACCTCTAATGTATTCATGTTAAAAATAATTAAAAATAAAATTAAAAATAAATTAAATTAAAATAATTAAAATGAATCTAAAACATTTCACCACGTTTCATAAAATACCAATACAGGGTTAGGCCACCTAAAAATGATTCGATTTGCAATTACAGTGCTGCATAATATTTCGACAAGTCCCTGCTCTAGTCTAGTCCACAAAACGGACGAATTTCAGGCCATTTTTACCATTCACTACAGTGTAGACTGAGAGATTAAATGTACATGCAGTATGTAGTAGGTAAAAGGTAAAACACCACTGGTCTATCATTTTACCAGCCTAGCTTCTCAAATGATATTACACGGTCCACCTACTATAAGTGCTGTCATTTGAAGATATTTCAGTGAATAAAATATAATTAATCTAAGACGTCAGGTAGAGCAAATCATCGTTTATGTTCTTACTAATGTCCATAAGGAGATTCCTAAGCTATTACTCAATGATTGCTAAGCACGATACAAAGCCAAAGTATAGCTTCTGCAAATTATCATAAAGAAAAGTTTCAACGATTGCCTTAATGCAATGCTATACAGACGCAAATATTATGCGATAGCATATCACTGAAGGCGTTGCACTCTACTCATTGATTAATTTAGCGACCATATTAATTTTGCTATAATTACTATGTTTTGATAACGTTCTGAATAATTTAGGCCTGAACTTCAGGGTATTTGCTGTATGTAAAGTCGGGATAATGTCGAAGGTTTATAGAAAATGGTACAGTAGCGTACTGTAATTAAAGGAAACAAGAAAAAATTGATGGCTGCAATTCCCATTGATCCTAGGTTTTCTTTCACCATATCTTTATGGATCCTAAGCATTTAACAGTGTTGAACAACACTAGTACTTACAGTCATGGATTTATGATACTCCAGTTTACTGTACACATCAGCTACATCAGCTTATATCGACTGCTAGAAATTTCTAGTGGTCCATGATACAATAGTATGGCTAAAAGTGTATCATGTGCATTCCAAACCGTACTGCTGGACTTTATGACTGCTCTTAGTACCGTAATATAAGTTAGCACTCGATATTTGATTGTTTGGTGCATTGAGATTGTACCTTGATTGACGCTTTTCGATAAAGACGCAATTTTGTCAGTTATATTATGCTATGCGCGTATTATACAGTTTTCTAGACATATCCTGCACGTCTTTTACTATATACTAACGGCATAAAATTTAGTTTAGAAAGTATATTGGATCCTCCGTCACAAGTGATCGATTTAAGGGCGACTGAAATGGTTAAAAGCAGCACTGCTCCTTCACCATTTTGCGTAGATTAAATGAAAGATATTTGAAAGTAAAACGCCGTAATTCATTGTTATGAGAGTGGGTGCAATCTAGAACTTTCGTAAATATTTTTTAGGATATAGTATAAGTAATACTGCAACCGTATCAAATTTCGATATCGCCTCGTTTATTCATTAATTATATATTAACTATCATGTTTTTGTATCATCTATATACTTGCTTTTAATAAATGAATGCTGAAATAGAAGAAAAATTTCAAATATGCTATCCATAATTCTTTTGCTAATTAATTGAAAACAATTGGTGTAGTTTGAAAAAGAGTATATCCTTATGAGATTAACTTTTTCAATATAACGTGGGCTTACGAATATGTATGCATTTACTATTCCTATATGAGAAATTGACAATTGTTTTTGTCATCGTTGCAATCTAATTCCATTTCATTATCCTGTACATGTCTAAACATGTTTCCAGAACTGCATTTGTTGGTAATTGATTAATTGTCATGCCAATATTGTACGATTTATAATAATATCGAAGTTAATATCGAACGATATTTCGAACAGGATATACAAATAGCATATTAGTTAAAGTTATTAATGTATAATAAAACAGCTGTGGAAGATCCATATAATACTAAGTAAAGGCATCCTACAAAATTGTAAAATAAATATCATATAGTAGATGATGCATAATTTCTTTAACCCTTAATCGATCAATCAAATTTACTTGCATTTATAGAAATCATCTGATAATATATCAATTTATTGCTGTAATATTGAATAAAGGCTTAGTTAGAAATCATAATATTCCCTAGAATCGAGAACGAGATGAGTTTATTGGGTTATATTATGAATTTATTAATATTTCAGCTAAATGGTATGATACAAAGAGTGTAGTATGAATTATGAATTACGTGATACTGGTACACCAATCCTAATAACGTATAAGATTTAAAATTATCTACCATGCTCTAAATTTGAATACAGTGCATTTATTGGATGATGAGTGTTATTTTAAATACCTAGTTATTTTACTCTAATACACGCTAAATTACGTTTGCTTCTGCAATAAAATTAAATATTCTATGAAGAATACAAACGTTAGGAGTACACTTATACCAAAGTAGAAGTAATTATTATCTATGACATTGATATATGGGTCAAGATAACTTTTTTGATATGATGAAACGGCTGTTATGCGCCAAGCCCATACTGTGCAGCACAGCAGTTATGTATTATGAAATGATAAGTGATAATTGACTTTGATGACCAAATATTTTAGTTAGTAAAGGATTGAAATGAAAGGATTTTAGCATGATTCAGTGTTGATAGCAGACTAAGAAATCATATTTCCTTATTAGATGATTGTAAGGTTCGCAGTCATGAAACCGTTATTAATCACAATTTATAGATGATTTTCACCCAAAAATAAGGCTACAAGGTATCTTCTTACAGCCTTTAGAATTACCATCGAATAGTTAATAACATAATAGTCATCGCCAATTCTTTGCAAATCTTTCGCAATTTTCTTCAATCGTATATTGTTGTCGATGTTTTCATGTGCTCCATCATCCACAGAATCGGTATAGTAAATATAAGACAGTCTGAAAATATCTCTCAATAGCAAGAGTTTATAACCGTGCATCCTAAAAAGAAGCTTCGTAATGGTATAGCCTTAATATATTACATAATCAATTTAAATTATTCTAAGAGCAAATACTACAACAATATTGCAAATATATCTCTCGGTTAGATAGAAAAACTCTGAACTAATTCAAGTTGAGCCGTCTAAATATTGTTTGCTAGCAACTTGAATAAAAACAGAAGCTTTCTAGCTATGGCACTTAGTCGAATACACATTTAAACTGAAGAGGACCGTATAATATTCATACTCCACAGATTGTATGTTGGAAAGTAAATAAATATTCATAGAATAGTCCTCTCAATTTGTCGAAGGCTTTTTGTTACCGCCTACCGGTAGTTGGTAGTTACAAATGAAAAGATGTGATAGATAAATTATACCCCATTTTAACTGCGAGAGCTCTTCAAATGGTTTACGACAAATGAAAAATGATTGATCTCTACGTATTATAGGTTAGTGAATTAGACTACAGTATTACTCAATCAGTTAACTGATAGTATTCCCGGTTCATTGTTGGCTAATATCCTATAGATCAACAATTCATTCTCGGCGGAAGTCAAGCCAAATGCGTGGGGTATTGAATATGAATAGCGCTCGCTTTAGTTCTTTTCCGAAAGGGTGGATCTAAATACCTATCGTAGTAAATTAATCTGTACATATCGCCGGAATAGAACTTTATTTTGCAATTACCGTAAAGCGTGCGTGTTTTTCAATTTTTGTGCGCTTAATTGAAAGATATAGGGACAATAATTGTTTAGTACTAGCGGTGTATCATTTTTAAATAGGCACTAATGTAAGAATGAACACTGTATTACATTTTTCATCAAAGTTTACTTTCTATCTTAAGCATTGAAATGATACCACAGTCAATCCAAGCAAGTGCTTAGTAAAATTGTCCTTAAACAAACCGTTATATGAACTCGCTTTCTTTATCAACATACTTAAAATCGCTCAAAATAGAATCTCCTTATTGAATCCTTTCTTTTGCCGAAAACAGGGTTATTAATATCATTTAATTTTAACATCTTAGAATCACGATAAAGTAAGCTATAGTCACCATCATCATTCTATGGCTTGTTATTTATGTTCTGGCTTTACACATAACAGATGCTGAAGTTGATGGGGAAATTGAAGAGAAGATATCCGGAATTTAAACACGTTAATAAAATAGAAAAACAATCGGCATTACATTGTTATTGACAAATAAGTTAAATATAGCATAGCGAACAATACCATAATGAAGATATTTCACATGGTTGTGTTAAATATGGTCGTTACCGTATCACTTTCGGCCATCGCATAATTGTTACATCATTCATAGATTACGTTATTTTTGGTATAAAAAATGAATTTCCGTTATTTAAAGTAAATTGATTATTTTCAGTCTCTTCGAACAGAAAAGGTGATATTGACATTGCTATGTAAGGGCTAGCAATGCTCTGATGTTGCTTACGTTGAGTTAGAGTTAAAATAGTAAAGTAAGAACACATGTACTGTATATGTATGGTAAAGTACGCGAAGTATAACGGGCGAGGGACCTGCTAGCATACTAATAAGAGTGACGTCTTGATGATTTTATGGAGGCCACGAAATAATACAAAAAATGCAACTTAGTCCATTATTAAAGAATGTTTTTGATATTACTCTAGTAACCTGCTATGTTACATTGGCAATAGCTATTAAATTGGATATAAATAACCAATTATCTGACGATATACAAAAGCTTCTTCAAAGGCTATGTAGTTTTCTATCTTACTTTATTACTTATCTATCAAATTATGTGATTGCTGTATTTACAACAATTATATAATATACGCTACTTTAAAAATTCAAAGTTTAACTCTTAAAAGCGAGCGATATGTCACGATTTAAATAACACAGATATGAGCATATACTGAGTGTAAAAATCAGCTAATATTATTGGAAATCTCATTCTCATAGTCGTCAATTAATGGCAACTTTCACACCAAAGCAGCAATCTTTTATGGGTTGTATTTCGACTGTTACAGTATTTGTTTTAAGAATAAATTTGATAGGTTTAAGACCATTAATTGCGCTCAATAATATCAGCTACGTGATAGCAGTAGAGTGCATACCCGCAATTTGTGGCTTCCAAATATACGCAAATATAGCATAACAAACTTATCATGGACTAATTAGTGCCAAATATTGATACTGGATTAGACTAAGCACCGCAGTATGTACACTTGTACAGTAGGCTTCTAGAATTGAATATAGTTAGGAATTCCTCACCTAGAGAATCTTTCGAATCTTTCTTAATGACTCACATCTGCAATTTTTAATCATAGTATGTACAGTATTTTAGCTGTATCATTTATTGTTTATCTAGTATCTGATATTTGAACTAGTTACAGTCATGGAACTACTGTACACTGTACAGTAGTATGTCAAAAATACTGGGTACGATCGGTAACTTTGTGAAGATAAACTGTGGGGTACATTCTGTATATCCGCAGTGTAAAATCCAAAGCAAAATATGGAACTGGTAGCAGGCTACATTATGAACGTTGCTGCAAATGTAACTAGATGGGAATAGATATTCTCTATCATTCATTTGTCCGACCCGCCTACAATTATTCATTGTCTGTGTTCAATAACTATAGCTCACCCAAGTAAAGTAACTGCGCATACTTTACGCATTAAATATGCATTTATTGATATCTCGTTGATATCATGCAACGCACAAAAGTCAAAGAAGAAGTAAAAGATATTAAAATGAAGGTTAGATTATGAAAATTGCTTATAATAATCTCCTATCATAAGATTTTTAACAGATATACACAGATTCCATATTATTCAATGTTACATTATATTTCTACTATTTATCCAAGTCAAGCTTATTGTACTTTTTATCAGTAGAATAAACATGTTTATCTATCAAAAGGTTCTTAGTTTATGTTTACTGCTACAATAGTACTATTTTAAGGTCATAATTTTGATACAAATGCATCTTGCTAGTATATATATACAATAATTCAAACTACATCTTAGTTTAACTGACGTAATATTACTTAGGATAACTATAACGATTTCATCAAATTAAGTTTAGACTGCAATAGTGGCCCTCCTTTAATTGGTGATGAGACTCCAGCAGTAGTTAATTTTAGATTTTCCTGTACGAAATTACGCCTTCTATGGATAAGTGAATGACTAGTTGCATGGACAGTGCTATGGCCTGAAGGAGGGACATAGTCTTTGGGTAAGCCTTTAACTGCATAAGTCCATTCCATATTCTTCGTCTATAATGGAATAGAAATATAGCAAAATATAACTACATTTTAAACATCTACATGCTTAACAAAAAATTATTATAAAAGATAAGCAAACCTGAACAATTAATTTAGCACGATGTGTTCTGCCGTAAGTGGAAGGTTTATAGGTAATTGTAAACGCTGTTCCTTGAGTTCCTAAAGGCAGTAGTTCCCCATACTTTGGAAATACTGTGAAAGCAGCATCAGAACGATGCTCGAAATACGCCTCAAATGGAACTGGAAATCTGTAGTAAATTTTATATTTGGTTATTTAAGGTGTATAATCATAATCAGCGTATTGTAATTTCTGTTCGGTTACAGTTAATTGTTTGGATATCCAACATTGTAACTTACTTTTCTTGGCTATGCAAATGGAATGTAATAACAGATTCTTTATTTAATCCAACAGATTCAATTGATATGGTATCATCAACTTGTGGTGATGATGCTCGAAATTTTAAAGGAAATTTCCAAACTCCACGTTTCTTAGCAGTAACCACTAATTGGACCGTTGCGCTGGAGTACGATCATAGTTAATAAAGTATTTTAACGTTAGATTAGAAAGACATAAGATAAATAAACGAAATTAAGAAATGATGTAAACGTAGTAATACGAACTTGAATGGCTTGAAAGGTGCAAAAATTAAATGAAATACCAATCGGATTGAATTTGTCGAAGAATTAATAATTTTTCGGATCAAACTTAGACCTACAGCTTGTTCAATTAAAGTCTTATTAGCATCATCTGCATAAACAAGCCTATATTCGAAGTCTTCATTTAACATGATCTCATCATCCATTAAAAATGAATCTTGAGGTGACGGTGTTATTGCTCTAGTCAACAAAGTATGGTTTTTCTCTTCAGTTGCTGTTTCTGCTTGATGATTTAAGGTAATCTCTAGTCTCTCTTCTATGCGACTGCGTGATTGGCAATGTACAACGGCACCGTTTGAATCAACGGTAACTAATTCCGGTATTCCAAATATTGGAATGTGCCACTGTAAATGATCAAACGGATTGCCTGCATCATCAACAAATGGCACATCTTCTTGCCTCTTAACATTAATACAGCAGGTTGTTTCAAAGAATGTCATATTCTCAGGTGCAAAGGTAAAGGGTATTTCCAGAGTTCCTTTAGCTTGTAAGGTAATATTATGAGTATGCTTCAACAGCAACCGAAATACGGGCTGTTGTACCGCAGGATTATTGCTATTATCTTTGTCAATCAGCTCCACAGTAACACGCAGTGGCTCATTAAATGGGTTATGAAATGGTAAAATTAGCGAAGCGCTAGCTCCAAGTAACGAACTGACATAAACTGGATCGACTTTAGATGGGACTAAACCATAGCCTTTAACACTAAATCTCCAGTCACCAATCTAAGTTGTCAAATTGTAAAATTCATGAACGCAAATTTTATCAATACCCAGATGGCTAGATTGTTACATTGAAATATCATGCTACTAATAAATGTAAATGGATAAATAATTGTACAAATTTTTCTTATTTCGCTCTCATACCTCGGTACTCTTGAAATTGATGACGGCCATCTGATTACATAAGCCAAGCATGGAAGGTACAAATTCTAATGGCACTTCGATAGAAGACTGAGCATCTAAAGTAAACTGAAATTTGTAATGTATTGATTAGGATATCTATAACATTTTAATTAATAATATTACAGATTGATAATTATACCATACTTCCTCGTTTAAAGGAATATCAAGGCGGAAAGAGCTAGTATTCGAGCACTGTGGAGTAAGATGTAAAATTTCATCGGTTGGGTTTTGCAGTTGTATCATTTGCTTGCAAGACCTAAATACGGGTATTTCCAAGTATATATAAAGACAATTAAGATAGCACAACTTGCTGACAGATTATTTTTCGATCAATAGAAATTAAAATTAAAATGGTTACTAATTCTTACTTTCCAAGTTCACATTTCATATCTTGCAATTGCGTCGGCTCAGGAGGCAATGCATTCAATTTCAATTCATACCAAAATTCTCCTATAATTTCATTCTGGAATAGAATGCTATAAAACGCATTGATACCCAATTAATTTATTAATATAGATACCGATAATGACTTTGAGCGGGTTATATAAAAATCTTACTTAAAATCGTCATTGTTAAGTTTATAAACTGTAGCTCTATTACCTTGCACTGAACGTTCCAATTATGGTTGGTGAGTATATGACTCGAAATTTAGTTGATTCATTTGATTGAAGGCGCAAATTATCGGCAGCACTTAAACACTGTGAATGAAGGATTTGGACTTGAAAATTGATGTCGCTATCGGTAGGGTTTGCAATTCCAATTTCTATCGCGCAGGAACTTTGTACAGCACAAGAAACATCAAAAACTTTTTCTGGTGGCGGGGGATCAGCGTTAATTTCTACGGCATACCATACTTTATGACTACCAATGGGCATATCCATTAGTGTATTTAATGCTAGATCATCTGCTTTATTTGGTAGGTATGCTAATTTGGTTTCATCATTATAAGATGATAATCCATGATTTTCACTGCCCATGTCGCTGTTTTCATCACTATTTTCATTAGATTCTTGTTGGTCTATTGCATAAGCTTTACCCCTAAGAAATTGAAAGAGTTTTATTGCCCTTAATCCTTATGAAGTAAATTCAACAAACTTCATTATTTAAATTACACGCATCGTTAATTCATTCGAACAATTTTATATTGCGATAGTGATTCTATTTAGCCTGTGAATATAGCGTAATTAGAATTAATTAACTTACATTGGAAATATTTCTGATTCTTCAGCGATGAAAGATATTATCCCTTTATGCTGTCCTCGACGCAACGGAGTGACAATGAATTCGTAATCAGCATCTTTACCAGGACCAACAGAAACTTTACCTGGTCCAGTTACACAAGCTATGTCGGTAACAACCTGCATAGATAATTGTTTGACATAATCTTCCTTCTAAAGTTATCGAATAATAATGTAAATATACTATTTCAGACTCCTATACCTTGAATGTTACCCATTTCCTTGAAACGTTGGGGATGCGTATCACATGCGTTAGACTAATACCATATCATCAAAAACAAATAATTTAGACGTAAAACAAGTAATAATCATAATTATCTTAGCTTTACTAATGCAGTGCTATAATTAAATAAGGATATTACCTTTTCCTAGCTTGACATTTTAAGACGATCTCGTCCAAAGCAAGAGGTTTTTCACCAAATCCTTTCAGATTGAAGATATGAGTATTGCCATCTTTTTGATTGCTTAAAACCAATCGGCCCTATATTGAGTCAAAATTTAACGGAAATTAGCCAATAAAATTAAAATGAAAATAAATATAGCGAATTTTGTATATAATATAATGTGTTATTCATACCGTAGTAGTATATTCATGAGTTGGCCTGAAATATACTGGAAAATAGGTTGTCATGAATGATTTAGCTACTAAATGAGAAGGTCCAACGAAACCTTCTCCAGATAATTTTGCTTCGAGATACCAATCCTCGATTGTATAATTTGCCTGTGGAAAATAGTTGTTAACAGTATCGATTAGTACAAACATCATTATTTTAAATAATAGTGCGTTATATTCGAAAATAACAATTTAATAGTAATGTTTGGTATTTATAACTTACAATAGGAATCTCCTGTTTAATTGATTGATATGCTGGGCTGTGAAATTCCAGATCCGCAGCTGCAACCGTAGCGGTTACGGTACACTCAACTTTTAAGACTCGAATATCATACTTCGAGAGTAAGATTACTTGGCAAGGGTAGTGGCCAGCACCATGAGGCTCGAACTTGATAGGTACGCTTAATTTATCTATTTTAATTAAATAAGCAACGCTGTACCATTAGTCATACTAATTGCTAATCAAGGTAGAATTGGTCTAAAGAATTCACATATTTGCAACTGCCAAATATACTCTACTCATACTTTCTTATGATAAGCTTCAGTTATGAAGGACATTTCTTAATCGATGGTGAGATTAAGAGATATGTATTCATTTATGAATGTAAATATAATCCAGGTAGAAGTATGTTTATAGTCTTACGTATAAATTTCAATTTTAACTATCACTAATTTTATCATCTATGCTTATATATCTGGCGCATAGAGATCAACGAAAAAGTTTTCTTAGGTAAGTACTTGAGACTTACTTTTATCATGAGGTGAAGATTGGGCCAAAATAGGAATAGTAGTAGGAGTTGAGAAGTACTTTGAACTGACTCGAACCTGATATTCACTTTCCGGTAATTCCTCATATCCTGCTGGAGCATTTTTAAGCTTCATGGCGGCTACACCTGCTAAAACTGTACAGCTCCGTAGAGTTTTTGTTAATTTGCGCCTCTCTATTTCATCCTGAGACATTTGCTGTTTAGCAGCAATAGCTAGTGCTTGCTCACGTACTGTATTAACTATAGGCAGCTTAATAACTTCATTTAGTTTTTGATCTGCGTTACATCTCCAATAAATAATAGTAGGATCCCCACCAAATAAGCCTTGACCGCGCCCTGCAGCCGCTGCACTACTTATACGGACACTTCCAGGTATGCTAACAAATGGTACGACAGAAGGTAAAGGTAAAGTCGCCATAGTTCGGATTAAATATAAAAATTCGCCAACAACGTTATTCGCAAGTAAAACGGAACAAGTATGAAGACCTAGATGGAAAGGTAAGAATTCTATTTCGATTGTTGTTGATTCGTTGGGGTTAAGGTAAATTTGTTTGCTATTAGACCAGAAGGCTTGCAGCTGTTCATGTTTAGACGATTTTAATTCTGCTGGACTTGTATCTACCCGATCAGTCATTAAACGAGAATGATGTGATGGTCCCGCTTGATCGCAAGATTCAATTAGCATTAGACGAAATAAAGCTCCTTTATCGAATGGGTTGCTGATAGTTAAAGTTAGAGGCTTAACTTCAAAGCAGGGAGATTCCGTCGACAAGGTGTTTATCGGTTTAATGATATCAATTACCGCATTCATCTTAAAGACTAATGTTGATGCTTGTGAACTACCCAAACGTCGTCCAACCAAGACTAGACTTGCTTGAGCAGCGCGTAGAAATCGACTCTTAAAGGCTACTTCTAGATCGACCTTTTTATGTGGGGCAATTTGGATATGATTAGAATGAACTGAAAAATCTTGAGCATCCTGACCAACAATATTAATGCTGTAATGTAATGGCTTAGTGCTAGGGTTTTGCAAGCGGATTTGCCTAAGAATCGTGCTATGCAAAGCTCCTTGAAATTCTATGGTACTCTTTGATTGATAATGAGGTAATCGATCAAATAGGAAAGTAGTTAACATCAGTAATGAAACTGGATTGGGATTCATAATGTCGCTGGCTTGGATATCATATTCGAGACCAAGGCTTTGAATTGCGTTAATAATATGGATCGCATTGTGTAAGCATTGCTGTGTATTATTGGGATTAGTGTATAACATTTTTATGTAAGTAACATTTAAAAATGGCGCGTAAGCACCTAAAACACAAGCTAAAACTAGTCCATCCATTAAATCATCACTAAAATTGACAACCCATCTTGCTGCAGGAGTTTGATCTGGCCAAATTTCATGTCTTTGCTTTTCGAAATGATAATTTAACCAATCCAATAGGATACGTTCCGACATATTGTAGATATTGCTTGCTAAAGGATCTGGGTTAATAGCGTCCAATCGTTTAGTACCGTCAATTAATGCAATCTTTTTATATCGGCGTTGCGTGACACGATTTAAGATGAAAACTTTATGCAATTGTAGTAAAATGTGCGTCCAAGAACGTATCGAAATTCGCTTAAACTGCTCTAAATTGTAAGAATATTGGCCAGTTTGTTTGATCCAACTCTCATAACATTGGGGTTCCAACAAATATTCGGCTCGAATTGAGCCAACCATACCACCTTGTGTTCTTAAAAACGTCAAAAGGGTCGAATATTGCCAATGTAGATGTGCTGCTTTATCCATTAAATTAGATGGTAGAGGAGAATTAATTGGAATACCAGGCACATGTCTACCACATAAATGATGAATTAAATCGAAAATGGTTTTAGATTCTCGCTTTCCATTACTACTTGATTCTAGTCGACCTGCACGTGTAACGCTGCTACTCCGTGCAATAGATATATAACACGATTTAGGCACAATTGTTGGTGATATTCCGCCAGGCCAACCATGAAATGAGTACCACCTTTCTACAGCTTTAACTGCTTTAGCTAAATAGCTATGACTGGTATCAGTGGCGGCATGTCTATCACGCCGATCGATTTCGTCTTCATCCTCATCATCGCCCTGGTTGTCAATAATGTTAAGATTGCTCAATGTGATTTCGGATTCAATACCTTCATCACCTTCAGTAAATGGTGTAATATTGTCGAATATTGAACTAGTATTATCAATAGATTGTTCGTGATCTGATAATGCTTCACATTTTACTAAAATTGGTTCAACAAAAGGTAAAGGGGAATCTTGCTGATTTCGGATTATATGATGGTCTTTATTTTTGGATGCGATGAACGGATAAGCAGTCAGTAGGCAATTTTCACCAGTCACGGCAACATTTAAGGTATAGCTAAACAGCAGAAAGGAATTACGTTTATTCGCGCGTTAGATTTACTATAGTTGTTAGTAACAGTAGTACGCTTGTAAAACGTATTTCTATTCTATTAGATTAAAGTTGCTAAACTTTTAAAACTGTTTATTACTACCTTACCTATTTCCAAAGGAATCCTTAAATTGTATCGGTATAATAGTTGAAACTGGCTTGCTCGTTTGAAATTTAATGATGAAAGGAAGAGAAGAATTATCACATTCGGCTTTATTTTGAACATGCCCCTGGATCAATCTACCCTTCGGAAATTCAACGCATAAAACCTGAGCTAGACTACCGTCTTCCAATTCACATTCTGGTATAAAACATTCAATTTCTGTATCCCTGCAAAGCATTAATGCGATCTATTAAAAATGCGATAATTTTATTTTGGTTTTAGCTATCGTCCATATTTACCTATTAAATCCACTGGCAATTAGAGCACACGAAGCTACCACTTCAGTCTCAATAGGAGCTGGGCTTAACCAGACTTCTCTAGGTTCAAACTCTATAACTGGTGCTCTTAGCTCTCCATGTAGCATTAATTCACGCAATGCCTGCCGTTTGTTCCTAACGCAAACCGGTAGCGAAGCGGAATAGATACCAGGTCGAGCTAATGATTATAAATTATTGTAAATCAAAAGTGTAAGGTCATTAACGTTGGCAAGAGCTAGAACTTGATCTATAATGAGTAAGCTAACTTAAATCTATGATAAATAAATTTTACCTGGATTAAAAACAATTCCAAGCAGGCTACTTTCCCCTGGTTTTAGATTTCCATTTTCGAACTGATTACCATCTTTATCCAAGAATTGGAACGCTTCTAACTGAGGATTGGTAGCCGTATCAATATCCAAGAACCACTCTAATTCATCATCAGTACAGTTGGCGACCATACAGCCCTGAAAGGTAGCAATACATACTATTATCTATCATTCTGATTTTAAGACCTAACGTAGATTCTAGGTTAACATTTGCAGATTTTAAAGGACATCTATTCCTATCTAGTAGGATTTAAGAGTATTATTATTAGCTGAAATTGATAAGTTTGTGTTATTATTAGCTAGTACCTGTAGAGGTTTATCCATTTGTTCTTCACTAGTATATTCTGCACTTAGTAAAAACTCTACGTGAGTGTGAGATAATTGCAAAAGAGGTCGTAAAGCAGTTGCCAGAACATGACGCTTCGGAGTGGCTAACTGAGTTAGGGTGGTAGGAGTATCAATACGTGGATAACTATATTTCGATGTAGTTGGCGTTGGTGGTAGTGGAGATTGGGGTGGAGAAGGGGGATTTATTTCGTTAATTGTAACCGGGAGATAAAAATCGTATGATGCAACCTAAACGAGATTATTTTAAAAGTGTCATTCTTAAAAGATCTAAATTTCAGTACTATAATTGCGTATTGAATTGACGGCTGAATTTACATGCTACATTACTTCTTGTTTCTAGTAAATTATATTTAAGATCGATTAGCTATTTATTCTAATATGTCTACCTCTGATGGATAAAATTGTAGTATATAGCTGATGACTTCATTGCCGTTCATACTTATCGTATATAAATTTTGATTCCCATCCTCTCTAATCAATTTCTCTAGGAAGGCAAATAGAAATGGATATTAATATTAATGCAAGGAGTAAATACTTGAAGATAATTATGGACTAGATAGTATTAACTTAACACTACAATGATAGTAAGTCAGAAAAGTAGACACTCTCTCTTTGATAAGTATGAGAACCTTAGTAAGCGTACCTCCAGATTCAATTATAAATAATGACAAACACTAACAAGATAAATGATAAGAAAATAATGAAATTACCTGGATTAGTTTGTGAATCGCACCGAATTTTAAAGTCTCGAAATCTACTCAAGTCGATTGCAACTTTAACCGGTGTATTTGTCTAAAGAAGAAATTTCCAAGGAGAATTTGTTTGTACGCGTATAAATGATATTAATTGCAAAATTTATAATTCGTGAAGTTGAGATCAAATGAATATTTATCTCATCTTTTACCTTGTTGACCAACTTAAATGATTCTTCACCAAAAGATCCACAGTGGATACCACCAAAATAGAATTGTTGCTTTGGGAATTATTAGTAAATAGCAATGAAGAATAAGACATATCCACCACGAATAATAATACAATCAAGCATCTATGCTAACCCCGAATGTTGACTATCATCCTCATACAGCATAACTGCATTGGGGTGTGCAACTCTTTAGCAATTTATAAGTTAACGTACTTTATCAATGTCAACGCGGGGTTCTTCAACACGTCCTCCAACTCGGAGTGAAATGGTTTTCCATCCGCGAATCTTAACATGTATGCTTGTATCGAATTTCTGAACCACTGTCGGAGTAAAGTCCACCTGAGAAAAGAAAAAAATTTACAATGTGCTTGCATAATTTACTGCTGTAGATTTATTTTCTGAATACGTGTAGAAGACGGATATTTTGCAATTAAACTTAACTTTCTATAGATGAGGCTCAGATGCTTTTAGAAGCATGATATAATGCTGTTAAACTCCTCTGTCAGCTAGTCAATATTATTTCTACTTTATATCCTGATTAACATGTGGGCAAGGGAGGCACCAATACTTGTACCTCCCTGTATCATGTGTTCAGGTATCACTGATTATACATTGGTAGTCATATCTCATATCTGTATCACTTCTACGTTAATATGAGAATAATTTAGAAGTAACCACATTTCTTTACGTTAGGATTTACAGAATACTAGATTACTTCCTGACTATACGAGTATTGCTTAATTATAATGCTATACATTATGATGTACTGTAACATACTGATATCAATTACATATTTTGTTGAGCTCATAATTACTAGGAGAATACAACCACTATACTAATTGGAGACTACAGATTATAATTATCAAGTGCTCATTTGGATGTACAAAAAGTAGATCACACTTCAATTTTGTTAATGGGAAACGGTAAATGCTGTTGTAGTACTGAACCCTATTACCGACCTAAAAGCATTTTTCTCTTAAATTGACTGGATGTTTCGTTATCTCATGTTAATGCTATACGTACATTATGACATATCTATTAGAAGCTAATGTACCTTAATTTCTGTATATCCTCCTACTGCAACTAATCCAGATATTGGTGTGATAGTCATGCCTTGGAAAGGATTTGAGTCTACCACCTGTTACAAAATTGTCAAAGTGATAATATTTTTTAGAATAGAATAGTAATTTAACATGGGCAATATATTTTAGGCATGCAAAATAATGTATTTTACAAATTAATTTTTAAAAATTTATGGTACTATACTTCAAAATGAGCATGATGCTGTCCGGTATTTTGCAGTAGAACAATTTTAGTGGTAGTTAAGTGAAGAGGTACCGAACCAAATAAAAGCCTTCTTTCTACAAAAGCGCACTGAGCTTGCCCAAACTGCAATAAATAGATATAAGGTACATATGTAATCGTATATCCTTTACTAAAATCGAAATGGAACCGTAATCTCGATATAATAATAACTAATTAATCAATACTTGCCTCACAAGTGCATCTTAGTAATGAATCTGCACCACCTTTAACGGATAGCAAAAACTCTACTTCAGTCGAGGATCTGTATGTTGGATGACAGATAACTTCACATGCAAGGGTGGAAAATGCTTCAACATAGCCTAGTGAACATGAAACTCAGATTATTGCTTAAGTAAAATGAAAGTAAGTGACTTTAATACTGAATGCAAAAATATAATATTGAATACCAGTGGCGGGGCTGATGTAGTAAGTTGGTTCTCCGCCTCCTGAGTTGTTTAAAGTCCATTTAAATTGTGCTGGATAATTGCGCGGATTAGTCACATAGACTAATTCTCGAATACCTTTATAAAAAATATCACCAATACATAAATGTTTTAATAGCTTCTAAAGCTAATGGCAGTTCGATTCTCAATTAATTGTAAACCTGCATGTGCTGGCTGTCCAAATTTGGGTTTCAATACAACTTTATTAGTGGACAATTGTAAATCGACACTAACGACATTGGCGAATAGCACAAGATGTTTCATATGCTTGCGATTAATGTAATAGGTAATATTACTAGAAGAAAATTGAAATGCACTTAAGACAGGGTTGATAAGATTTAAGCATTTCGAGTGCAAATAATTTACTGATATAATATATGATCGAAATATATCCATTTAAAATATGTACAATATAGGCATAGCATACCGATGATAGCTTCCAAGTTGATTTGCCTCAAAAATACATTCAAATTGCGCTACACATTTAGGAGGTATAACTTGAGATGCAGGAAATGATTGCAACATTTCAGGGCAGTTATCGAACTATACAAATGGTCGAAATACAATTAACTATTGTGCGAATGTCGTTAATTAAGAAAGCGAGTTTGTGGACTAGTACATAGTAAGCACATAATACATTTGTTAATTCACTTACTTCTAAAGAGAACAGAATATGGTTATCCAGATTATTTGCAACCCGGAGATATTTAGAATTAGTGGATTGTTGACAAACTTCTCCATAATCTAACGTTCCTGGAGCTAAATTATAGTTAAACACAAATAAATAATATAAAATAGTTAATGCCGTGGATGTGACATATATACATATATCGCACTGTCTGGCTATGTTGTGATTCAGTAATGTTTATCATAGCAATGACATTGAGCATCATTCGGTAATTAGAAAGACGTGTTATCCTATGCTCTACTTATAATTAATTTTAAAATTAAATTTTAAAATGAACGGGAAAAAATTTATTTATGTAGTGGTTATGGAATTGATTGATTACTATCATGTCAATTCCTTACCTAATTTAATCAAATGTATTTGAGCAGGCATTAAAGTCCTTGAACAATCGCTGATTTCTTCTTGTGTCACAGGTATAGTTCCCAAGCCTAGCTTTAGGGCCTATAATGTTATATTAAGTTTAGTTGATCATAACATCTCATTAAGATCAACATTTATTGACTGCTTTGTTCACTCATTATAAGTACCTCTTCGTTGCCCGTCATATTATGGCAATAATCGACAATTTTATTACTTAAGACCATATGATTTTTTTTCGGTTTTTGATTTGAGGCTGGCGTAATACCAGTAATAAAAAAGAAATTTTCGTAATTTGATTTATTGTATCGAAATTGATTAGAGCATTTAGACTAATATATAAAAACATACTTTTAACATCATCATACAGTTCTTTCAATGAAGCTGTAGGAGGAACAAGCCCTGCTCCTGGCTTTATTCCCAAATCTATATCACTATCAATTTTCTGGTACATTCTAATAAGAAAACATTTTTTAATTGCGTTAGCGAGGCATAAATATTCGATCTTATAGATCTTTAAGTGGAAAATTCAAGTATATAATCATACTGTCTAAGAAAATCGATTAACTCGGGAGCCTAATTTATGGATTAAGGATTACAGTGATAGCTAAAAAATTTATTAGCAAATTTCTTAAAATTAGAAAGATTACTTGTCTCGTTGGCGACTTTTTCTGGTATCCCTGAGATCATCAATGTATTTTCTATATTTGATGTTATTGATATCTCGCTTTTGGGTTTCTTCTTTGCTTAGTGCATAATCAGGATCAATATAAGTATAGCGATCTGTCCGTGTATACTTTGATCTAAGTAATCGGACAAAAAGTTGATTAGATTAATATCAAACAACTTTTCTCAATCCAAATATTAGTGATATCGTAAGGTAACGACGTAACTCGCATAACTACTTGAAGACTTGACAAAAAAAATTAATCTTAATAACTTTAGAATTGAAAATAAAATAAAAATCTTGTACCTAACGCGGGACCTGGGATCTGCCGGTCTCACACTCCCTGGTAAATCATTCGGATTCGCAAGTTGGACATCATCTCTGGATCTATTCTTGCTGGCTACTTTACTTTGACTTGAATCTATTTGGATATGACCGTTACTAGTCTTTCCTTGCTGATCACGATTTAGTGCAATACAGTTTACTTCAACATGGATTGGAACAGAATGAATGATTTTGCCATGATTATCGATAACGTTAAGGTTAATATTATTTTTATACAATCCAAGTTGCTGAGGGCGAGCAGATATAATTATACTTTGTGATTGTAATGGTCGAAGTTTTCCTTCGCCTGGATTGGTATAGAAATGAGCAATTTTGCTGAATTTAAATTTTACAGCTAATTCCTTGGATTCATTGGTAATCGTGAATAAAGCATCTGTTCTTTCACTGACTGTACAACTTCCAAAATCATACTGCATGTCAGGCTTGATAGATAATAGTACAGGTAAGGCACAACCTGTGATGGCGACTTCAATGCCTAAAAAAACAAGCACGTAGTCATCATAAGAAATAATTAATGTAGCACAGATTTTCGCTGCTATTACGTGTGATTTTAACTGGAATGGAAAGTTACATGGCGTTATAATGCTAACTTTCTAGATTTAATGTTTTAATCAGGATATCAAATTACCTTTTTGGCCATCCTGAAGTAGCTTATTTTCTTGCTCGCTATTGATTAAATTATTTTGCACCAATGTAAATTGCATGTAGATAGCGTAATCGCGCCTTGGGGGAGATTGCTGCTTATTTTTGAAGCCAATTGCTGAGTAATGATATTCAGGTTTGAAATGGAAATCAATTGCCAGTTTCTCGTAAGGCTTCAAAATTCCTTGATTAGGGGTTGTTGTAATTAGAGATAAGATATCATTTGTACGACCATCATGATGAGCTTTTTCCGTTAGAGCTTGGGCAGTTGTTAGGCTAAGATCAGAGTCCTAATATAATAAATATGTAAAGTTGATATGCTGTTGATGTAATTACTATAAATAGAAGATTATACTACGTAAACAAATCATATTATCGCAAAAATGAAATTGTCAAGCCTTAAGCCAAATAAATTGGTGTTAATTTTTAATTCATTAAAATTATCATTATTCGATCAAACAACTAAAATTTCTATCTTACAATTGATAGAATTAAAGTGTAGGAGTACTTACAACTTCTTGACCCAATTGGTCTTCTAGCAGAATTGCAACAAATTGGATTTCATCAGGACTATTATTAAATAGGATTCCTTGTTTTTGTTGCTGAGTACCGTAATAAGTTGGTCCAAACTCGACACATCGCAGAGGTTGAGTGTCATCGGGATTAAGCAACATTAATTGACGTCTCATAACCTTGCCTTTAATTGACAATTTACTTTCGGGACGACTTTCTAACATAACACTATCGAATGATGGTTGTTAGAATAGAGATTCAAATATGATAAGAAGAGCGAATATGCTACTAATATAATAATATAGCCCTAAATAGTCTATTTACTTATGTGCTGCAAATCAATAAGTTTAACTAGTTATGCTAAATAACAAGGGTTTGGCCGATAAATTGTTTTAGTTCATTGCGCTATAAATTAAACAGAGCTATTTTCAAACTATTCAAGGTTAATATACCTGGCATATTCTTCGAATTCGGTAGCTGTATCCGCGATAAAGTTAACCTATCAATGCAAATGTATGATAGTTCAATACATATTTACACTTTCGTATTCAATACAAAATTATCGCCTGATAGCAGTAAGATTTCGTCCTACATGATTTACCCTCAATGCTAGTTAAAGACATTACCTCAATATCTAATTCGCTATAGGGTTCAACATTGCCTGAACTTGGTTGAATTGTTATTGACTTTGAACCAGCGTAAGATATCTCGAAATGCCCATTCCTTGAACCTTCATTAATTATTTTAACGCGTTTTTTAAGAATTCTTCCATCAGCAGGTGCAGTACCAAAATCTACGGTTCCTTCAATATGAAGTAATGGTACGGGACAAATCCTATAGGATAGCACATTAATAATAATGATACGATACTCTTGTCATATGTATAGATAAATTCTTAAACAAATAAAAGAAATTCAAGTTGCTTGTAGTGTGGATTGAATCTAATTTTATAGCAAGAGTCATTATTCCTAGTTACCATTAGCTGTATGTCTGATAACTTCCGAGCTAATATTGTTTGTATCGCCGTTACTCTGACTTACCCTAAAAGCGGTATTTCAATGACATCATCATCTGCTATAAGTAATATGCGATCCTTATAATGATCATCGGCGGCCGGACAATATTCAATCGTCGTCTTTATTAGCAAACCAGGTGCGATACATTTTTTATGAAAGTTTGTAGTGAGTTTGAAAACCTGTTAATGTAGGGTTATTAGAAAACTGCGATTAGTTGATTGATTTATAAATCATATAATTCATCATTCTATCTTAGACGGATTTACCAGCAAGTAACACAATTTTATTATTTGGTGGTTTAGCTTTACCTCCGTTTCAGGTCCAGAAAAACGAAGTGATTTGGATAATCCACTAACATTTTGTAACGTCAAAGTTTGTTTATAAGTCTCATCCGCAATCGCATCATTGAATTGAACCACTGATGGAAATATTTTTATGCCTGCTATTACAGATCCACTATCCATGATACTTACAACAATCAAATTTCGAAATAAAATGGCTTCAAAATCTGTTGATATCTTAAGTAATGATCAGGATTTAATTTATTTTTGTAAGATATCTATTAAACATCGTTACTCTGAATTACGATAGTGCTCTTGTACTCGAACTTGTAATTTGCTATCTATACTATGGCAAGCTATGTGGATCATTCGGGTTGCCATGACGACGCACGATGCGATCCATCGGTAGTTCTCTATCTGATAAATGGGTTCATCCGACGGTTGTATATATAATCATATAAGTTTTATGACGTGTTATCGTTTGTGCACAATAAAGGGAATGCGCATAATATGATTGTATTATGATCGAAGAAATTCATCCCGGTGACCGCGATTAAATTAGATTGATCCTCAGTTGCATATGTACTGTACTGTACTTTAACCCATATAATGCACGCTATATGTGAGTATACTACAGTCTACCGATAAATCCTGCACAGGACTGGTTTACGGTATAAAATTTATCTTATTAGTAACCCGAAGTATATAACTTATACATGGGTACCCGACAACTCATAACTGTTCATTCTTTCATATCCAGTTTATGCGAGCTTTAATTAATACGTATGTACTATATACCGATTTCAAATTAGCGCTTTGTTGACGTACTATTATACCCAACGATTCATAAAAATATCCCTGACTACGATCGAGCTCAAGTGAGCGGGACTTATTTATGTATACTGGAAATATAGTACTGATTTTTATTATTGTAGGTTAACATTATATTTATATATTATACTGTTCGTGAAGCCACATAATAGTACAACGTATTTGTTAATTTTCATTTTTAGTGGAGATGATGAACTTCTAACTGAAGTTAACAATCATAGCAAGTATTAATAATTATAATTAATAAATAAATAACTAGTATTACAAATATATGGCTGATCATAATTCATGAAGGTCATCGACGAAGATCATATTTTGTCCATCTTGTACCTCTATGGATTGATAGTTGCGGTACTTGAGTCATAGGATGTGAATAAAATTCGTACTAAAAAGACTCTTAAATAGCAATAAGTTCATCAACACCGTACCATCGCTTTGCCATCCATTCATTGTTTGATAATGGTACCTACTTAATTACAATGGAACAAATAGACTTATTTAAAGAAATGTAGGAAGCATTCTTATTCACTAACTCACAATTCATCAACGAATTGTAACGTTGAAACGTGACTGAAGTTTGATTTATGTTTAGATACTAACTATTCTCACTAAAAATTGCTTTACCAAATCTATCTAGTTCACTTTCTGCAGCAAGATAAATTACTATAGATATCGAACGTTATCAGTAAGAAGTTACTAGAGTACAAATTACTGTCTGTATTTCTATAATATAAATACATCTAGTAACGCTGTAACAACAACAACTACTAATGACTCAAAGTAATAATGATATCGACAATCTAAATACGAACGTTCGTATATAGAGACGCACTGAGATGTGAACGCCCATCGGATTTAAAAATGTTGATAAAACTAACAGTTTAACCTCGTAGCACTTCTAATCGTATTTCTTTGTAAATGAAGCTTTGTTCTAATGGCAATGAAGACGTAATCAATGCACGGCGTACATTTGCATTTATAAATACATTTCGTATTTATATAGGGCAAACTAGTGAAATAATTTCGATATCTATACTGTAAGTCATTGCTAAAGTACATCCGATATCAGAATGTCATGTAGTAAATATTCATAGAGTATTTTCTTTAATCATAAAATTATAGACTGAAGATAAATTAATGTGGTAAAGAGATAGAGCGGAAATACGCTTTATTAATAGGCTGGCTTATTAATACTCTTCATGCTTTAAATAAATAAAATAAATTAGGAAACCTGTACCGTGTACTGGTCAGGAACCAAAGACTGCAAATGATAATCCACGAGAATATATTTAGCAGAATCAAATATGATTTAAGAAAATTGTATATCTAAGCTATTTTAAAAAGCTATCGAACAAAAAATATAATGTTACAGATCCGCAAATAAGGGGACGGGATGCTTCAAGTCTGTACTGCACCGATGTATTTAAGTCATTAATTATTTATTGCTGTACATGTCGTAAAAATAGCTTTCAATCATTGTAATTATAAGCCGTTACCATTGCTACATTTATTAATGTGAATCGATGTATTCTATTCCGATTATTTAGTTCCAGCCTTATTTTAAATTAATACCGCTTTAGTGTTAGCTTTATTGTAACCGAGCTGTTGGAGCAGCGATAAAAGTCAAATTGACTCTAATACCTGCAAGTTTTAGACTAATATTACTACGATAGTCCCTGACTTCATTCTACTAAACCTAAAACAAAATGCATATCAACAACTTTAAAAATACTACTGTATAGGTCTCTATGCAGATCAACATCAGACAGCATTAACGGTTGAAGTAGTTTTGCCCAGAACCTTTACGGTTACTTAGCACTTACATCCAATGAAATACTAGTATTTACTTTTACTCGAATTTTTTTCATTACTAGTACACAAGAAATCATTGATATATTTACTAATAGAGGTAGGATTTGTTAAATGCAAGTGATGTTTTCCAGGCACAACGATTTGCTTAAACTGTGATTAAAGAATAAGTGTAAGTTAGTAATCAAACTAGTAATAATTATATAAAACATAGCAATGGCTCATTAGAAAACGGAAAAATGTGATATTTCAGGTAGAATTAAACAAAATTACTACCGAGCTGGAGTTTTTCTTATAGGCCTCATGAAGAGCTGAAATATTTTCATAGAGTGTGGATTCGTTAAGAATAATTCCTTCTTCCGCCCTAATAATATCGTAACAAAATGGTTTAATGATTACTAATCAGCAAAAATGTTGCATTTAGTAAAAATGTACATACAGTATAATCAAACAGTGTGCTTTTATTCTAGAGATTATTTCTAACTGCATTTCCAAAGTCAATCGAAGCGTATTCTAAAGAAATAAAATTGTAAACGATTACAAAATATAATGCAATAATATATATAATGTATTCATGCAAAGCTTCATTACGTATTGCAGAGCGGGATCACGTACAAAACGGTATCCTAAATAAAATGATTTAATAGTAATTAAATTCAATGTTATCTCACGACTCAATTTAGGCTCATATGAAGAGAATAAGATATGAAATTTTACGAATAAGTGTGTAAACAACTTTAATCAGCAATAGAATTGAAAGTAGAGAAAATATTGACCATCTGCGCTTTTTGAAGTGCCTCTTTTAACTAGAATTCTTGCAGCATCATTAGTGAGGGAGGTATTTATCGATTTCAACCTAAATCAGATGGTATAGTAGGGATACGAGATTAATGTTGCTTAAGGATTCTTGATGTCCTCTTGATATTTAGAAGTTCCATTGCAGTTTGTTGCTCCATTTATGAGTCAATAGACTATATGAGTACGGTAATATTTACAGACATGATAAGTTTTAAACTATACTAATACCTAGCCACGGCGGCTTCTATATCTGCGTAAGGCTTAGCTATTCTGTGATTTTCCTTTACGAATGAATCCATGCCATCAGAAAATAAGTCAATGAGATGTTTCTAAAGAATTTTGTTTATTTATTTAGTAAAACATATCATGACAAAAGAGGTGAATTCACCAAAAATTATTAAGAATAATTAACTGATCTTACCGGTGTACCAGATATAGCACATATTGATTCTATAATAACTAGCTGCTGTATTTTGTCCGGAAAGGTACCAGAATACTATACTTACAAGGAAATGAATACTAATTACAATCTTGAGTTAATACTTGATTTATTCATGTGAATTATTACTAGCATCTATCGAAGCAGATATAAATCTCTTACCAATGCAGCAATTGAACCACCTATGAGCAATAAACTACTTCAGTCATAAAATATCGTATATGCGAAAGCAGGTATACTTTAAGAAGTTTACTTACCAAGGCTATGTGCCATTAAAGAGAATTTATCTAGGTTTAAACCTATTCTTCCGAAAAATAGTGTAGAGCGAAATATTTCAGTTAGAAATAAGACTCGTTACCAGTAATTTATATCGTAGACTAATACTATATATCTAATAAAATTTAAAATTTATGATTTTGTGTCCGTAATCTAACGGTGCTTGGTAATTATCTTACAGTGTATCAATCCAATGCAAAATTTTTTAATACACTCGCGCTTTAAGATTACATATGTAGTTGAAGGCTAATCTTATGCAGAAGTAAGATCTATATCATTCACATAAACTACAGCGATTTAGCAACCTATCGTGTAGAAATAAGGCTTTTATATAGTAATATTTGAAGTACTACGCAAGAATCGTAATGTCAATGCTAGAAGAAATTAAAGACATAGTTCGGTAGTTGTAAAACGTTAAAGAATAGAAAGTAGTATTTTTGCATACCCTTCGCAAAGAAGTGTAAACTCATGATGTATCTTTGTATTTCATACATCACACCAGAGGGAAGATTTGAAGATTTGCCATGTCCAGGGAGGTCAATAGCTATAAATTTGATATCTATGCCCAGAAATGAGATGAATAATTATTCACGATCTATAATAAATTTGTATCACTCGTAATAACATAAAAAATTAATATCATAAATCAATGATATAAACACATCAGAAAGTTTTGCGATTGATTTCTTTATCTAATAATCTGTAAAATGTAAATTTTAAATTTCATGTCTAAAACAAGAAATGCGGATGTGGTAAGATGCCTAGCTAGTGACTTATGTTGATGTAGTCGTATTTAATTAATTAACATTTCAATTATTTCTTACTTCTATGATCAATATCAATCAGAGAAACTACTTGATAGTATCTGTTACTCTTACTTTTTGGTAGCAACGGAATCAATCCATCAAAGGTGTTTGCGTTATCCTGCCAGCCTGTGAAAAGCAACGTCATTACTAATTAATTTCGCATCTTCATTAAAAATTGTGTAGCTTAAAAAATCCATGACTATTTCCATATTGGCGCTATACTTTTCCTATAGCTACAATATGACGGATTTATAGAAAATATCGTTACAATAGGCGTGAAATGGGTAGAAGAGTAAACTATTGACACTCAATAACGACCAGGGGCGATTATCAAATAACTACTCTTGATTGTTCCTGGACACGTCACGCACCTCAATGCATGCGTGAATATCTGTAGGGATAAGATGCCGTATACATGTGTCCTGCAATTATTCTTATCCATAAAATGTCTGAAAGTCAATACAATCTTACCATGAACTCCTAATACAGTCCTGGTACCGCCGGTATTCCAACATTTAGCAGCCATTCTACCCCATGGCACCGCAACCGATAGTTCCTCTAATGCACAGAGAATATGATTTAGGGCGACTAAATCGATATATAGCAAGGGCTAAATTCACTTTAGATCGAAGGCATTATTAGTAAAGTACAAATAAAACTGACCATTCTACAAACAAAAGATTCTATCCTGCAAATACTTTATTACGCTATAAATGAATGGATGACGAATTCATGTATGCTTCCTGCTACACGTAACAAGTGCTATCCTACGTAGTTTACCCAATGACCCCTACTTTAAATACATTCAGGAATTATTTGCTTATCGCTACTGCTGTAGCCTTATTCATATTTTTCTTTCCAATCTTGCCTATTACTAATGCCTTCTATTTCATTTAAATGATCATACTGCACTATTATATAGTTGAGAATAGAAGTAGGATCTGCAGATATTAGAGATGCAGTAATTACAATTAATTAGAACAAGATACAGTACAGAAGTAAAATGCAGTCGAGGTGACAATGATAATTATAATTACTGTATTAAGCTTAGAATATTCTTGATCAAATTTCACGACTGTACAGTACAGTACTATCTTATCGCTCTCTACTGTGCTAGTTTGATAACAACAAGTGGTGGGCAAGTGCTTGATGATGTATTTGCTTATCTTTAATTATGATCTCTTGGTAATACTCGATAGATTAAAAATTTCGATGTAAAATAGTGCAAAATGTTACAGACTCTTATATACAGTACAGTATATGAAATGATACTTATAGAGAATTGCATTCAGCTACGTTTTTTTAACGAGATTAGTTCCAACACGGTTGAAAATGCTGCAGATCACTTCTCGTTAAGAGAACACACTACATTGTAGTAAATGCGCATTTTTACTGGGGTTGAATTACGAAATTCGAATTTTATTTACGTACTAATTTATATTTTAGTTACGTAAATATTAATAAATATCAATAAATATTATTAGTATTATTATATATAAGCGTATAATCTGTTGTAAAATCGTGAGCTGTTATCAATTTCAGCTGTGCTTGTAGAGTAGTGTACACAGTAGAGTGTACAGTATATTAATCTGTAATTTCAAGATATTAATAGAAACGAAGTTGTAATTTCCATGATAAAGTCATTCCATAATAAGATATCCTTATAGTCACCGTATAAAGCCTTTCCTAATCGAGATGCCATCACGAAGTTTCCCAGATAGGGTTCTATACATTAGAATTATGTACAGTTTTAGGAGATTGCCCAAGCAGATTTTCTCATCCGGATTCAGATGAGAGCCCTCCGGATTTCAGTCATTCAGAATCGCAATAGTTTGTATCAGCTGGCTGTGTGTACAGTAGATTACTGTACTGTACACTGTACATACAGTACACTACAGTGTGTAAATGCAGCGGCTTATTCTTTTTCCAGTCATTCTACCATATTATACAGTACTGTACAAGACCAACTTCGCAGCATCATTAGCAGCTAATGTCGGACAGTCTTTTCTCTTCTTTAGTACTGTAGTCCCTGCCGTACTGTACTCTGCATACTAAAAACAGAGTAGCAGGGATTACTAGAAAGAGAGGGACGCATAGTGGGCATTTAATGCAAAATAATAGGGGGCTTATCATTTTTTGGGTCATTCTACGATATACTACCACATAAACCGTATACTACGCTATACTGTACAAAATCAACCAAGCGGCTAAAATTTGGATAACAATCGTAGACAGTATAGTGTATCGTTTCAGATACGGTTCAGCTGAGATAACCAACAAAGTAGTCAGCCCCCCTCATTTTTGCTATTTTGAACGACCGTTCTGCCCCTTTCTTTCTTCTTAGTACTCCCTGACACTACCCTAAAAGTAGTGTTCTGGCCTTGTCGGGTAGTGGCAAGGCTTCCAAGAGGCACACTGCCCATAGAGTGGCCTTGGTGATTTACCTCTATTACAGTTGGTTAAGTCATCATGGACTACTAGGTCTTCTTCTAGTAGTTCATAGGTAAGTTAATTAATGAGTATTATATGACAGGCTTAATGCGTAGAAAATCACGGGTTTAGACATTCCAGGTGTATCTATGACTTCGCAGATATGTATATGCTATAGCATGACGTGGAGCTGCATACCGACCCACGCTTAGTGCAATTGCGAGTTTAAAGTATTCTTTGTAAGATATACGTAATTCATTCCAGGGTACACTGGTATAATAATTAATAAATAGAATGACACAATACATGTAATATAAATTTTAAATATCCGCAGCTGGTTTATTCTCCTCAAAATCTTCAATTTATATCCATCAATTTTTTTCATTATCAGAATAGATAAATAACATATTGCACATATGGGTACAAGGAAAGGATAGAGCAAGTATTGTGTCAGTCATTCTTAGTATCTTGTAGTAACCCATAGCAAACAATGGCAAGCTGCAGTGAAACTTTATAGTACTTTTTATATTTATCGTATAGTGCTATGGTAATCATTCTTATAATGTTATGCTTAGTACGAATATCACCTTATTACGTTCAGTAGAATATTAAATTATGAAAGAAATTCGTTGACCTATTTTAAAATTTAAAGTTTTTACCCTTAGGAGAAATGTAGCAAAACTTCAGTTACTTAAAGTTCTAAGCGGTACCATAGGATATCTAAGTCGTATCAGTTTATTGCATCATTAAGATGAATCTTCTACGCTGTCATTTAGGAAGTCACAAATAATTTGACTGATAGATTCTGGATCAGTCAGGTGTATGTGATGTTTGCCAGGCACGGTAACTTGCTTGTACTAAATCCCATTTAAATGTAACAATGGCGAATAGAAATGATATAAACATTGGTATATTAATATTTTGTTGCATTTCAGTGTTGTATGGTAGCTCATCAATACTAGTGTTGATGGTATTTATATGGCTATTTAAGAATGATGTTATGTTAATGCTTCGTACAACACTAGCATAACTATAAAGATTTCCAAGATTCTTACCAAAGATGTGCTTTTCTTGTAAGCTTCAAGAAGACGGGCTAAAACTGCAGCATCAACGCCTTTGAGTATAAATCCATCCTCTGCTCTATAAGTAGCATATTATATTTTAATAGCACTTCGAATACTATTTAGTTCCAGTGGTATATTTAAAGATCACCTACAGAACAATTAACGTTTTCGCTTTAATCCTGGAGACTATTTCTAGTTGCACCTCTCGCGCCATTCGAAGGGTACTCTATAAAACGAAGACGTGTATGTAATGGTATGATTTGGAATAATTTTACGGCATTTAGCTGAGAGTACATTCTTACTTGATACAATACCGGATCTCTAACAAATAAATAGCCTTAAAAAGAAGAAAATTCGGTTAACTTATAGATTGTAAAGAATTATTGACTATAGTACTTTGATCATAAGATAACCAGTAAAGCGATTCTGAATACAGTGAATTGATTTAGCTACAAAAGTTGAACATAAAAATATGTAAGTTAGTTTTATAACTAACCATTTTCCGATTTGACTGTGCCTCTGTCAATTAGAATTTTTGCAGCGTCATCTGTCAAAGAATTGTTTGCTAGTTTCAACCTAGAGAAAAGGTCGTTAATGACGCAGTAAAGTATATCTTATTCTAAATTTTATTAATGTTGCGCTAAACTAATATAAGTATGCTTGTGTTTTATACGGCAATATTATGTGATATAAGTTAACAACTTAAACTAACCTTTCGACGGCTGCGTCAATTGATGGATAAGGCTTTGCCGTTCTGAACTCACCCTTTACGAAAGAGTCGAGACCTTCAGAAAATAAGTTCACTAATCTTTCCTGTTATTGAGAAGAAAAAGGATTAAAGATTCTGATGATGGGTAGCTTTATACATGAATATAAACTAAACATTTTCTTACTGGTTCTCCCGATGCAGCACATATCGATTCTAGTATAATTAATTCGTATACATTATTAGGGAAGGTACCGGAATACTATGAAATGGCGTAATTCATGTTTACGTAAGCTACCGTTAAAAGGTTATATTCGTTTTATATCAGATCCAAAAATTACACAGTAAGCAAAAAAACATACCAAACAGCAGACAGCACCACCTACAAGAAGGTTAGATAGATAAGTTCAACAAAATGAGAGAAAAGGAAGTATACATAAAGTAGGCAAGGTTAAGGTTGCTTCACCGTGTATTAAACTAAGAGACTGATATGATATTTACCTAAGCTATGCCCCATTAACGAAAATTTATCTAGTTTTAAACCTGTCAGCAATTAAGATACAAAAATAAAATGCAATCAGGAAAATCGTTACACAACGGATGAGCCTGGAATCATAGAAATATTTGAATGAAATAACGATGAGAATAACAACGTTAACAAACTGGATAATCGTATTCCAACAATAAGGATGAATAGTACGTGTAGCTGTACGAAATAGTTAGTTCTGGTAAACCCATTTTCATCAATCAATCTATATACGTATATAAATCTATAGCTACAGTAACTATATAATTTTATTCGTGGTGTATGTAAACGATACTGCTGGAACGTCCGATGATTGCTTGTAACTAGTTAAAAAGTAATTACATCGGATACTATACAGCGTAATAAGTACCTAAAATACTTATTATATCAATCCATCAGTAAATATAGTAATGGTATAGATGTTACTGATCCGCAATGTGCCAGCTTACCCTTGACAAAAAAGTGCAGACTCATGATGTATCTTTGCATTTCGTACATAGTTCCAGGAGGAAAATATGACGATTTACCATGTCCGGGGAGATCAAGGATAATGTATCTAATACCTTAAGAGGCAAAAGCCATTAATGTTATCAAGCTTGGAGATCAATAGAAATAATATGAAAACCCAATATGTAATACCACAGCATATACATTATTGCAATAAGTTATTAATGGTACTTGTACATCAAGATTGCAAACCTTTCGGTAATAGTGGGATTAATTTATCAAATGAATTAGCATTATCTTGCCATCCTATTAACAGGAAACACAAACCATCGATATTATATACTGTGCAAATCAATGCAAGAAATGCGTATCCTTTTACAGGAAATGAATTCATATACTCTATAAAATCACCCTGTCCTATTGAATGATTGTATAACTATTATTGTACCTGCACACTTCATGTAGAGCATTACTATATACCCGTATAATGTACTGTATAGCTAATACAGTATGTTCTAGTAACATAAACCAACCGTGAATTCCTATTATTATCTTTGTGCATTCTGAGTTCCAGCTTTTAGCAGCCATAGTACCCCATGGTACTGCTACTGATAGTTCTTCTGTGAGTTAATTGATTTCAATAGCATATTAGTAACAATTAGCTACTAAAATATTTCATTTTATTAGAATTTGCAGATCTATTTGCAAATCCTGACTAACAGCCTGACGTAAAGTACGGTATTAGATTCAATTTTTGTACGGTATGTGCAATGCTATATAGTTATATAATTATTCCTAGCTAGATTATAGGATAATGGTATAGACCCACTGAATATAGAAAAACACAGTTCTATAAAATTATCAACAAATACATATCCCATAAAGGGCTAAAGATGAATGATATTAGCTAACTTTGGCAACGCATAACACTTGTGCTAAAAGTCGGGGACAGCTTGAAAGACATCTCGAAGTATATGCAATAACTTCCATTCGCCGCCTTCGTATCGAAGTTGATTTCAGGTAAATACAGTATCGGTATAGCACAAAGACTAATTTTCTAGTCTAATGACAATACGTTGCAATACTGTATCCATGAGTAGTTTTCATTCTCTCTGTTTGATTACATGCAATGATCTCATGGCTTGACAATTCTTAAATTTGCTGAATTGATGATTTCAAATCCAAGCCCTGGCAATAATGTCGTTATTACCAAAGCACAACATTGGCTATTACGTTATTATTACACATACAGTACAGTACAGTATGCGCATGCAAATTACAAAGGTTACAAGACGTTACTATCAAAGGTCAAAGGCTTGCTGATGCTAAAGTTGAAATATTTCTTATACTTGCAGTAGCTGAAATTGCATTGCAAAGATTCGACGTACTTTTAGTTTGGTTAAAGATACTAAATTCTGTGCTAGATCATTACAAATATAGCTAAGGGGATAATATTAAGCAAAATAAATCAATGAATACTTAACTGCAATAACTTTGTTAATAGCGTAGACTAGAGTATAGATTACTGCTATAAACGTCATCAATAAGATTCCGGAGCATAATGACGTTTATACGTAGTATGTGTCAATATAATATAAAATAATATAAATGCAACTGCAGTAAGTGAACGATGGTAATGATGACGATGTTTTACTGACAAAAAAATCGAATTCAGTATATATTATACATATCGTACCACAAGTAATTTCTTCCATAGGAGATGCTAATTGTTGTAGTTCGATTTCTGATTTACCTAACAGTAATTAACTTTATTGTTGGCAAACTTGGCATACAGTACTGTACTGTAGTCAAAATTTACATACGATTCTCCATCGTTACACTGCGCATACTATGCTGTACAGTACACTAGTGTACTGTACGGTACATTGACTCAGCATTTTACTGTACTGTACTGCACAGAACTGAACCCTGAGTTTACAGTGTACACTGTACAGTACAGTACTGTACTCTATTTCACCGCTGTGTACTGTACAGTACAGTACTGCAACATAAACTTTCTGCTGAGTCTTGCTTTTTTTCTCGAGAAGATACGAGTAAAATAAAATCTATTTCATCCAGATCAACTGTATATTGTATAATATACATATCGGACACATCCTTTGCGAGTATACCATCCGGTAACATTACATCGTACTGCTTAGAAGAATACAGTACAATATTACGAGATAAAATGTCACTTTCTATAATAATCACTAATAGACCCCTCGCTCGTTACACTACGCATATTATACCGTATACTGTACTCACTCATACAATACAGATGGCAGTGAATCTCCATTCTAACTCAAATGTGCCAAGTTAGCGTAAATAACTTGTTTGACAGTGGGTGATGGTAAATCTATGTCGCTGTATCTATGGGTATGCGCTACAGCCACGACTTGATTCAGAGTCAATTGCACTAGAGAGACCATTGTTGACAACCTATCTCGATTTGCACTATCAATATTAATTAATAAATACTGTACACAAGCCAAAAAGGCACAGCGTACTCAGCAGTCAGCACTTTTGTCAGACATACAGTAGTACACCGTAGAAATTTCTAGAGCTCAATTAGCGTGTACTGTACTTTACTGTACAGTACTAACAGTACAATACACTGTCAGATTGTCAGTCGCCACCCATAAAGGTTTTTTCTTACCTCTGTGGTCCCGTCCCACCATTGAAAGCTGCCATATAGTACTGTCATGTCTAACAGTACAGGACTGTACGTGTCTAGCGTAAAAGGCATACAGGATATGATGCCGACACTCAGCCAGCATTAGAATGAATCTAATCTATTTAAAGAAAACAATGATCGCAAGGCATGCCGGGATTGCCAGGGGGTTGGACGAATTCTCTATTCAAACATTCAATCAACATTATTAGCCAATCACTTCCGCTATCTATCATTATGAATGCATTTCTATAAATAAACGTCTGTTGTTGCTATGCAATAATACACCCGACCAATGAACATCGTGATTGCGATTTCATTGAATAATTGATTATTTTCTTTTATCGACACTATTTGTATATTAAAGCAATTTAGTATTTGAACATTTTATTTGCGACTATCCCCCTTATAGACTTACTTGTGGACGATTTGACATTTTTAGAGCGATTTGAAGCAGACTTTTCCGTCATTTTTATCGTCAAACTTTTCAACATTGTAGAAAGTTGCATTTGTCACTTGTTCAATTATTAGTCAGGAATTGAATTTCTGCTAGCCTTATCAATCGATAACTTCCAACTTCAATAGGCGTAAAAGTATCAGTAATTCAAAAAAAAGTAAGAGAGAAAAAAATATAGAATTGTACCACGGTGCCTAAAAGTTGAGTTGTTGTTCGGGCAAGTTTTTTTTTAATAGCATATTTGCATCTGTACGCGAGTGAGGAACACGATATTCTTGTGTCATTGGATATTATCTCATTTGAAACATCATCTGCAAGCAAATTGACAATCGTGTACTGTTGCTATTTTCCAAACGTCAAGAATAACTTGCTGCGATTATATTATGGCTAACTCTCATATATTGGATTATGATCAAGTCAGTCGGTTGGACGAAATTTTGACTCAAGTGATATCCATCGATGGAGTTGGAAATTTTCCTTCATTGGAAGTCCGTCCATATCAATTTGTCAATTTAATATTGAAGAAACTGGCAATCCACGGTATACATTTGTATGATGTTCGTTTGAATGGTAGTGGTGCTAGCTTCGCCTTAGGTGGTCACGAAGCGCCTACATACCACGATATCGATGTTATCTTTCGCGTCAAAATGGATGATCAAGAAGAGATGGATAAGGTCAAGCAAATCGTTCTTGATGCCTTACTCGATTCACTACCGAATGATGTAGTCAAAGATAGATTGACTGATACAACATTGCAGTCTGCCTATGTTCGCAAAATGGTGAAAGTGATCAAAGAAATGGATTGTTGGTCGTTAATTTCCTTGTATAATAACAACGGAAAAAATTTCGAATTGAAATTTGTCGATCGTATGAGACGTCAATATGAATTTTCTGTCGATTCCTTTCAAATTATTTTGGATTCAATGTTGGAACATTACAAATCATCATGTTATGAAATGTGTCGTAACATTTTTCCAACTGTTATTGGTGAATCGGTATATGGTGATTTTGCTTTGGCCTTAAGCCATCTAAAAAATCGTTATATCGTCACTCATAAACCTGAGGAAATTCGTGGTGGTGGTTTACTAAAATACTGCAATTTGTTAGTTCACGGTTTCGTGCCTATAGATACCGATCATTTGCGAAGTTTAGAACGTTATATGTGCAGTCGATTTTTTATCGATTTCGCCGATGTCCAGACACAATGGCAAAAATTACAAAGTTACGTCGCAGACCATTTTATTGGTGAAGATCACCATAAATTGGAATTTCTAAAGACACTATACAATGTTATTGGTAATTCAACTGTTTGCTTGATGCGCCATGAACGTTGGCAAACATTGGACATGATCGATTATTTAATAGGTGAAATGTACAATACAAATGTGACACTACAATCACGTTATAATCAATATATCCCTATCAGTTATGTGCCTCAACACCAGCAACAGCGACATCCTCATACATATCGTCGCTTGAAGCAGCAGCGGTTGCAACCTGGTCCACCACAACTATTACCCGGCGCTTTACCACTTCAGCAACACTTGCAACATCATCCGACAGCCAATCGTATACAGCAACAAACCCAATCGCTTCAGATGATGTCTATATCTTCATCAAATCTTGGCTGGCCTTCCAGCAAATGGGTACCCATCACTTGTTAACCAATAAGTGTTTAAACGATTCTCCTTATATTAAGTACTAGACTGTCGTAAAACAAGAAAAAATACAGATGGTAATCTATGGACATCAATATCAATTAGGTTCATGGTATGTTTGAATAAGTGGGAAGATCTACGCTGCAACTCGTATAAATCTTACTGTTAGTTATTTACTAATCGGAACTCCTGTAATTATTAATAGTACATCACAATAGATTGCTATTAATAATAGATGACCGATTTAGAAACTGTCATATTATTGAAACTTAGGAATGCGATATATTCCGTAATGTAGGTACAAAAAAATTATTTTTTTATCCTTTAAACTGGTATCTTGACAAAAATTCATCAATCGTCATTAATAGATCGTGTATGTATTTTAATTATTAGAGTAATTGCTTGTGCTTTATCAAGTCCTAATTTCTTATAAAGAAACTTAAAGAATCGTTACTTGTCGAAAGATAATATCGACTTATTATGATTACATTGCAATATAAAGGTTTTATCAATTATTACAGTTATAATTTTTATTGCACCGATTAGTATTGGCGGTGTCGACGTTATACTACTGTATCTACTCCTATCGTAATGATCAAACGTGTAGCTTGTCTCTATACATTTGTAAATCTACTATATATGTACGTAACTATCTATCTATCTATGTATCCATACATCATAAAAACGTATAAATATATATATATATATATATTTTCACATATATGTGCTTGTCTAGCGCAATACTGCTTGATAACCTTTACTATAGATTATAGATATGTGGCATACATGTATGTAGTCATCATCTCTTTAGTTTAATTTTACTCATAAAGAAACTAATTTCCGCATAATTAAAAGTACTGTTCATCTGGTTTTAATCTAGTATATATATATATACATTTATGCACAAACAATATGTATCGTTATCTTAGCTTGTCGCACTATAGCATTCATCAAGATTTAAGATTTTAAAGCTTTTGCTTACCCAGAGCAATATGGTATGTGTCACTATTTGTACATAATTAAGCTATTGTAACCATGCTCTTTACGAAATCATTACCTAACTTTTGTCTAATTACGATGAAAGATGGAAATAGGCCGTTTACAAAGTAGGTAAAAGGATTTCAAAAGCAGCAATGTAAGAAATTGCTCCAATTTTTCTTCCCTAAAGGGTCTCTAATTCTAATTCTGCTAGCTTAATGTTTAAATCATTTTAAAAAAGTAAAACATAAAACTGGTATAAATTAAAGTTATGTAACTTGTTACTTGCTGGATCATCGCAACCATGAATACGTAAATGAAGAACACATGGGACATGCACTAGGATTAAATTCGTGTCATCACGATAACTGTATAGCATGGATTATCGTTTTAATTTTGTTAATATTTCAAATCGATCGATATCCGTTCAAACTATTTTTGTTTTCTTTAATCTGCCTTGTCTTATTGTTATGATTGCAAAAGATATCATCCAAGTTCATTAACCCTAGCATATCATAGCGAAATTTAAATTTATTCTTGTCATAGTTAAACTTGTAATTATCTCTTCAAATATGTCAAGGCTTACATTCTGCTATCATCTTAATTTGCGTTATCGTAAAAGTTTTAAGTATTACTGTTATTGTCCAAGTTATAGCACCGTACTGGTGTATTAAGTTATACTTACTAAATTCTGTGTAACTATTGTACCTATTCCATCGATTGAAAGGAATGATTACGTCCGCGCTATTGCTCTCTTATCATGTAATGATAATAATCATCGTTGTATCGTATATTATTCTAACATCGACCATTCTCAACAATTTGAAATGCACATCCATGTCATCATCTCTAGTTTGAACTAAAGCATTTTGTATTCATTTCAGTGTAACTCTCGCAGTATTTGTACAATACTTAAGGAGTACACTTCATTCGATAAGATCACAAACGGATACACAAATCTTTATGATCATGTTTATGATGCCAATAGCACTTAGCATAGATAATTTGTTTCGATCGATTATTTTGTTTTTGATGTTATTATGTGTTACATATAAAATATGTATGTAGGTTACAGTCTGTAATGCAAAATCTTAAATTATAATATTTGGAGTTGGTTAAACGAAGTTCTCTAATATAATCGATCCACTAAAATTATATGTAATTAGTGACACAATGTGATACACATGGAATGTTACTAATATATGTTACATCCATATCTTCGAAATTGGTTTATTTTTATGTCACTAGTCATTAGTTGTGCCTATTCATGCACCATTGGGCGAAATTAAGAATGTAATTTTAAAACCGTGGAATAATAAAAAAATTTCACATTTTAATCAATTGAGTGTCTGTAAGTGCATCGCGATAAAATAATCAAGATGCAATTTTTTCATCCTTCCACGAAATGCGGTAATCCATATTTAAATGAATCCTTTATTTTGCGTATGATTGCATGCGTAATTATTATTGGTCAATTACTATCATATCACTAAAAAATAAATTTATAGTGGAATTTGCTGACACAGTGATTTTTATTTTTTTTTGTATTTACCTACAGTACTTATTTTCACAAATTCAAACAACTTCATCTCATTATTTACTATATACCTCAATCAAAATAAACGATTACATCTGATGCTATTTTTGCAACGATCTCCTATCTTCCGCAATTGCATCATATGTACGTATAATATTAAATGACATAAATATGCTTGGAAACGGTAAAAAAACCCATTGCGAAAAATTGTTAAAATCAAGTTCAATTTAATATCCTCATTTATGTTTTTAGTTGATCAACTCAATATATGAAGGGCAGGTTAAGGCTAAGACTGGATAGCCCTAATAGCATGTTCGTATACCGTTTTAATGTTATTGTATATGTATTTCTTACTATTAGATTCATCTGTATGAATAGTTTGAAATCAAGTCGATAGACTAA